CCTTTTACTTAACACTACTTTGTACTAAACCTCTCTTAAACATCTACAAATTAAGTCTCATTTTTTGGCTATAAATACGAACGCAAATAAGAACATTTTGAAACAACGGTCTTTATTTCCTGATTTTCCTTCAAATTACATGCAGCACGTCTTTCATAATCCCAGTACGCACTAATTTTGAAACAGGCTGTCTTGGCAGCATCAAGCATACACAAATGTCTTTACATGTATGCCATCATATTCACAACCTTATAAACCAAACAAGCCTGCGTACACGAAGTTCAAATAACTTCCTTTGCAATAAACCATTCAGTGTGCTTAATATCGACGGTCACCAATTTACTGGTCAAAAACTATACCTACAAATTTAAGTTACGCTATGATTACAGTATATGGACGAAAAATGGAACACCTATTTATACTGTCTTCTACTCAGGATTTTTGTGTTTACATTATTTTTTGGACAATAGTTTCTCAATGTCAGGTGCAATTTCTGAAGTGAGAAAATAACGACTGTATCTTTGAAACGGCACCCCTTCTGAATCGATCAAGAACTTCTCAAAATTCCAAGCTACATCTGATCTTCGCACTGGATTCCAAAGTATCTCTCGACTCTTCATCAACAGGTCTGCTTTACTTGGGTCTTTGTCATGAGGGAGGGGTAACTTGTTCTTCAGGTAGACAAACAGGGGGTGGGTTTTATCTCCATTGACAGACACCTTGCTGAACAATTCGATCTTGGGCACAAAGCCATTCCCGGGTCGAACATACTTTAAAGAGTTGAGGATTTCATCATCTGAAGTATTCTCCTGATGACCAAACTGATTGCAGGGAAAACCCAGAATAACGAGCCCCTTTCCATTGTACTTTTCCATGAGCTCATTCATCTGAAAAAGAACAAAACAAAACAAAAACAAACAAACACAAAAGTTAGGGACGGACCATTAGAAAACTTATGGGGGCGAAGTACAAAAAATATATTTGTGCAATGGAAATTTAAAGGAAAAAAAAATTCATGCACGCCAATTAATCCTAAAAAATATTCATGGCTATGGCCTTACAAAAATTCATACAAGGAATTTGATAACGAAAACATTCCTCCGGCTCAAAAATTTCCCTCCCCCCCGATAACTTTTCTAAAGGTCCGTCCCTTATAGGGCGCGATACATATTCGGATGTAATTCGTCAATTTAGAAACGTGAAAGGAACTGGTGTCGAAATGCGGCGCGCAATAGTTTGTGGGATCGTTACTGGGGACGCGCCTCCCAGCTAATAAGGAGCTTAAGCAAAGATGTTGTTAAGCGACGCATGTCAACGGGAAGTGGGGGTCTTTTCCCTTTTCATATATATGCTTTGACGCTACCAAATTTGTATTGTTGGGTGCCTTTACTCTAGAGAAACGATTTGCTCTAAAAAAATGTGGGCAAAACCACTTTAAAAAACAACAACAAAAAAGTACATTTCCGGTTGACGTGCGTCACTCAAAAATTTTGTCGCTTAATCCTCCCCTGTCTTTAGCAACTGTCCCAGAAGTCTTTGCTAGGTTTCCTTCTCGTTTCTAAAGTGGCAAATGGCGAACAAATAGGCACGCAATGCGTGTATGAGTTGCTTTGAATATGACTGCTACAAAGTCAAGCAATTTAAGCGATGAGAGCGATCGTATTTTAAAACCAGGATTCACATAATATTCTCTAATAGAGGAATGAAGGTGAAGGGCTTAATTATCATCATGTGCCTTTTATTATCTCGTAATGCGGTATTTTCACTCGATGAACGCAAAACCTAGCCATTCATGTATTTCCCTTTGCAAAATGCGAAAAAGACTCCGTCGAAGCGATTTGTGCGAGTTGGCTAGAACCGTCCATTAATGTCAGAGGTGGTTATTTTTATGTTCCACTCATCCACTCATGTTTTTTTTTTGGGGGGGGGGGGGCGGATTTCTCACTGTTTGAATTTTGATACCTTTTGTGACAAAGCTCCGTTATACTTTACCTCGGTATAATCCCTGACAGTTGTTCCTCAAAGAGACGCCACATTTTCAATCAGCACCACTTTCCCTTTGTACTTTGAGAAGCTGACCTCTTCTCCTTTGAGGTTTACAGCTTTGAAATCATAAAATGACTGGCTCATTTTCCTCGAATACCTGTAGAGAAATTGCACAGAGAGAAGTCCTCATCAGATGATCTATACTTTGAGGCATACACTTCAGCCTTCAAAAGCGCAAGTCCCTACTGAAAGGAACCTTCACATCGTGAATGTTAATGAGCTTGTTCTTCAAGATGTTGGCCCACACTTCCTAACCTTTAGTTACAGCTAGCTTTCTAACAAAAGAAAGAAATATGACGGAGCAATTCGATACTCGCAAAAATAGCGCCGCCTCCAACAAAAACACTAGCCCTAAATGAGCGCCGCAGCCATAAGCTATTCGCCATTTCCACATCTCCCATAATACATCTTGTTTGCCCCCTCCCCCTCTCCCCAAAAAACTTTGCATAATCTTTGTTTTTAATTTTTCCTGGGTATTACAGTGGTCCCAAGAGAAATTGAGGGCAACGCTTATGCAAAATTTTGGGGGGCAAACAAGGTGCGTTATGGAAAGATGTGCAAATGGGGAATTAAGTATACAGCCGCCCCCTAATAGAGTCTTTAAAAGGCGGCAGCGCGTTTTGAAACGTGGGGGGGGGGGTAGAAGGCTTTGAAGCTTTTGAAGTTTCAGCTGACTTAGATCTGGGGAGAATACATGGGCACTTATTTCCATGTCATTAAAACATATGTTGTGATTTGAAAAGTGGAGTTTTAGGTAGCGTGAGAAAACAGCCGACATTTCCCGACGCCACCAACGGTTTCCCAGCGAAATGACGTCTGAGAAACGAGCGCAGAAATTTCATACCTGATGACGCGTCACTACCCAGATCTGGGTAGTGTTTCTGATTGGTCGTGCCGCTTGCGAAATTTGCTTGAACCAATCGGAAGCACTACCCAGATCTGGGTAGTGACGCGTTATCAGTATGGAATTTCTCCGTTTGTTTCTCAGACGTCATTACGCGGGGAAACCGTTGGTGGAGTCTCGAAATGTCGGCTGTTTTCCAGGCTAAACCTGATGTTACACGAGACGATTCGCAACGAAGATTTTTAGCGCAACACAGCGTTGCAAAATTGTTTCGAATAGTTGCAACATTGTTCCGGCATTGCAACGCTGTGATCAACTTCGTTCCCAGGGTTCTCTCCTATCCTTCCCACCGAGCGAGAGGAGAGAGAACCTGGGACGAGGTTGCGCTATGATCCGCTAAAATATCATCGTTGCGAATCGTCTCGTGTAACATCACCTTAAAGTTTAGGCTCAAAATGTTTTTCAAAATTGTGACTCGGCCAAGTTTGTGCAAGTTAATTTATCAAGATCTAGTATTTACACTATACCGCAAATAGCAACCGCTAGTCTAAAATTGCGTGATTTCTTGATTTGCGCGTATTTCTATCTCGATTTCGTAGGGTATTAATAGATAGATCGATCTAGGTAATTTATGTATATACACTAATTTTATCCTAAGGCATGTGGACTTTAGCCGCAATTACAAAGTCTCGTATTCAAACAATCGTCTGTACACGTGGGTGATGCTTGTCCACAAGGTGACGCGTTATATATTAATCACAGATAAAGAACTAACTTGAATACTCATATATTTTAAACTCCTGCAAGTTAATTTTTGGCTCTTCTAAAGGCCTCTCTGCTGTTTCCTACTAGAACATTTTCTTTAAATTTTATTGTAAGAAATGTCAACACATTTGAGCGAATGCAACCTCGCGAAACACAAACAACCATTGAGGGTCGCTCGTTATCAATATGACTATTCAAATTCTACATTCAATTAATATAGGTTGGCATGAACTCAATTGTTAGATTGGTTGCATGCTCTTTTTTTCTCTGCATTTAAACGGCGGATTTCGACCCCCATCTGAAAGGTATTTGATGCACATAGTTACGTAATTCTTTTTCATGCAAAACAACGGCTCAGAAATGTCACATTGGCTGTGGTCATTAGAAACTAAAACTCATAAACAGCATCTCCGATGATGAATTAATTTTTTAAAAAAATAATTACGGCAGCTGTCAATATGTTTGGTTTTCGGAGCACAAACTCACTCATACAGTGAGAACAGGGAAAAGCGGAAACCTTAAAAACTCTTCATCAATAAGGATTTTCATAATTAAAAGGATTTAATAAGTCCCAGAAATCTAAACAAAATTTGCACCAATAAATATGGTGTTGATAATAACCCTTTTGTTGGTGAGAAGACTGATTAGACAAACGAGGCGTTACGAAATTTTTAAAAATGAAAGTACAGTACACGCGAACATGTGTCACCTCGATATTGAAGTCAGTAGAGATCAGCTATAAAATGTTTGAATGATTTGCACGAAATGGTGAAAATGTTTGAAGAACTGCAGTCTAAACCACACATGGCCTCCTATCCTAAGTTGGACAAAGACTACGATTGATAGCTTGAGTAGACGGCTAATATGTGAAATTGTCTGTAACGGTATTAATCTCAATCAAAGGAGAGTACAGCTTAAGTTTTTTAAAGATATACGATATAAAGAATTTGATTTTATGAGTAATAACTGATTTCTTACCTTTAAACAAAGAAGTTTGTTAAAAACACGAAACGATCGAGACAAACGACCACAAGCGGTGTTTAGAATTGTCCGCCAGCTGTTGAAATCTGTCCGAACGCAAGCCCGACACAAACTCTTTGCCGAGCTGCGACCGAGAAACTGTCGAAAAAAAGTCGGTATCTCGGGTCACGTGGCAAAATAAAGCCATGCTGGGTACGAAAAATGGCGGTATTTTGTTATTTTTGACTGATTCATTAATTCTTCGCTTTCTCTGAAGCTAGTTGGTCATCTGCATTAGAACACCTGGCACATATCGAGTAAACGAAAATTTTGCCGGTTCGTGACAATGAGGACCAAACTTCTAGACCAGTGTATGATTCAGTGATGACCGATAACGAAGACCCTTCAACGAAATTCTGTTTTCGTCTTGCAACTTTGCAAAATGCGTCTTGCGCTGAGGAAGAAATCCTTGCTTTGCAAAAGCTTAGAGAAACGCTCAGTTCTAATGGCGATGAAAGATCTTTAGATGAAGACGATTTTGAAAAAGAATGGCTTCGAAAAGGTCTAAACGATACCGCCAATCCTTTCCCGACAAAATCACCTGAAAGTTGCGTTCTCGGACAGGACGACTTGGATGCGTTCACGTTCTACCTTTTCGAGCGCCGGTTTGGCTGGTCGGAATGTACTGCCTATTTAGATGATGCGGGTTATTCTGTAGCAGAAGAGCATTTAATTCGCAGATCATCGTCTGGTTCTGTACGAATACAGGACGAATCCAGGTTTAAAGGGAAGTTGAACGAACTCCTTGACGAATTCCTCAAATGGTAAGTTTACTAGTACGCCTCCTTAATTCTTATGATTGCAGCCCTTGCGATTACTTTTCTGTTAGCTCATATCCAGCAGACCAGGGGTCAAAAATCAGATTTTTGCTCAAGGACAAAATTAAGTTAGTGTCCTTGATTTTTTAATCACAGGGGCAGCTTGAATACTTTCAACGGTGGTCGTGCTTATGTAGACTTGCAAACAAACGAACCAGAAGAAGCAACTGATTTATTGTTTTTTTTGTCTGAATTGTAACGAAAAGAATCGTAAGAGATCTGGGAAGCAAAAATATGAAGAGTTTAAAAGAAGAGTTTTTTTTTAAAGAAAAATCTCTAAGTAATTATTACACTGATTCAAGAAAATTAATATTAAATGGTGCGACACTCTATACTCACTTGCAGTTTTTAACCAGTACCTGTACAGTATTTCGTGTTATGATTTTGTTCAGAATACTTTGTTGTTATGCTTGATTAACTGCTGAATCCCTTGGTTGGAATCTGCAATTAAGATAGACTGAGAGTAAAGGTATACAGCCTATAGAGTGTTGGTAATGGCAGGGAGACTAATAGTTTTGTTCCTTGTCGCCAGCTACCTGGATTTATTGCTTGAACAGTTTGATAAGGCATTAGCGATAGTAATGATTTGTTTCCATCACCTCAGTTTTCATTTGGTTGTTGACGCCCTCTATGTGGTATCCTTCCCTTAAAAAAAACAGCATCAGCCATCCCCGGGGAAGGGACCCCAGGCAAGGGAGGGAACGTTGTAAAGGACCCTGTGAAAGTGCTTAATTTCCCCCTCCTTGATGGGGGCACTTGGCAATAAAGTCAAGAAATTCTCCCTCTTAGAGTGGTATCATGAAACTACATTAAACTTGACTTGCCATTGACCCAGCACATCTGATTAGAAAATAGTACTTTACCCTTAAATGGATTTACATAACTGAGATTATGCAGTCTGCCAAGTCTGCCATTATTTCCACCCCAAGGAGAGAGGTACAGTAAGCCAGCAATCTTCTGGACAACTGGTCTATATAATTTTATGCTTGATTTAGAGACAACTTGAAATCAACCTATTTTTTATACAAAGCCCACAGTTTTCCTCATGGTGCAAGGCCATTGTACACCAAACTTCCCTTATTTCCACCACTTCCGGGAAAAGTGATTCTCCAAATCCATCTATAAGTCCCTGTACAAAGTTGTAATTGCCCAGGGCGCGGTCCCCCACAGGGGATGTCCAATGGTAGGTGCTTTATCAGATGAGCACCCTCCCTCATTATGTTCAGAAACAAAGTACAGTGTTAGCTCCCCATCAAGTTTAAGGGTATAAGGAAATGTTTGAACCTACATTGTATTTTCATTCTTCATATTTACATTTTTGTATTGAAGCATTCACTTGTGGGATGTGGTGGTCTACTTGCAGGGTTTAATTTTAAGCGGGCATCCATCTGGCTTGTGAAGTTGGCAGTTCTGATCCTAAGATGTAGAAAATCATTTTTTACCCAATACTCACTAGGGCATCCAGAAACACCCAGATATCTGTTACAGGTCAAATTTAGTTTCTGGTTAAATTTTTTTGACCTAGGTTGATTTTCAGTTTCCTAGCCCTAATTATTCATGAATTAGGGCTAGGAAACAAAGGAAATTGAGAATCAACCTAGGTTAAATCAAAATTAACCTGAAATAAAATTTGACCTGTAACATATCCACCTGGCTAAAACCTTGCCTTCTTGTTTGGGAATCCTTTCTCCTTGCTTAGGACATGTTTCTAGTTAAGCAATCTACTACCTTACATGTTCGGCCATGTAAGCAGCTTGACCAGCCTATTCTGGCTGGTAGAATTTCCTTCAGTATCAGACATAGTTTCTATTTTCTTCTGTAATTTAATTTTTACTCTTTACCCAGCCTGCGTAGAGAGGACAAGTCATTGTTACCTCATGTTGCCATGGTAACAAAATTTCTGGATGACAGCAAACTGAAAACGTCACTTAAAAAGTGAATTCACACTGTTTCAAACTTAACCAACGTTATTCAATTATTGAAGCTCCCTATTGTTTTGATCCAGGAATTCTGCTAACATGGTAGCATGATGTCGCACTTCTCTTCTCTATTGCAGGACGTATTTTGTTGGCAAGCAAAGCTGCTTGTTTATGTTCATAATGCCGTGGCTGCCATCTTTGAATTTATCACTGGAGAACTTAGATTGTGGAGAGTGGAAATATTGAACTACAGGGTAGGCAGGGGACTGGTAGGGGAGAAAAAATATGATTGCCTGATCTCTTTGTTCATTTGGGAGATGCCACAGGCTCTACAGTATACTCCATTAGCAATCATACAAACATCTTGTTTTATATGTCTGAATATTTATACCAAGCATTTTTTTACAGGTACCTTGCCCAAGCTAAGCTAACTGTTAGCCTGCTTAAGAGCTTTAAGTATGTAGTTACTAAAGGTAAGGATTTTAACTGCTTGTTTTTTTTTTCAGGAAAATGATCAGGTAGACAGAATACAATGATTTATGATCTAATGATCGTAGGTCTTTTGCAACATTGGGTCTTGTGATCAGCATTCTGTAAACCATGAATTACAGAAATTTATATTGTAAATTCTGAAATGAGCCCAGAGGCCTCTTTGTGAGGGCCTCATTTCCAGAGGGGCTTATGTATGTGGAAGGGCCTATTTTCTAATGGAAATGTTCATGTTAAAATCCCCTGGGCTTTTAATTGAAGAGAAATTGGTTTCAGCAGTTTCGGAATGTTCGAGTAATAGTAATTGTTGGACTACTGAGAAGAAAAGTTCATGAGAATGTAATCCCACCTCAAACTCCATTGCAATAAACTTCATTGAAAATAGTAGTTTCTATTTAACAATAGTTAATTTGCTTGGTCAGCCTCTATAGAACACTAACGTTTGAAAACATGCATATGGACTTAGGGAGGGACCAAAATAATGTGGAGAGGGTGTGGGGCAGTTTGTAGTTTGCAGTTTTCCATGTGAGCATGATTTTTGTTCATGGACTTTTTTTTTTCTGCCTGTTCCAGCTGTACGCATTTTTTTCATGTGAATTTTTCATGTATGGATTTTTCTTTTTCTTTTATTTTTGCCCCACCCCCACAAGGCCGATTAGGCCGAGGGGGATAACACCCTCCTCGATCTCCTGTTTATCACCAAGTTTAGGAGATAACGGGTTGTTCAGTACTGCAAATATTCTCTAAATGGCAGATGTTATCTGTCGAGTTGTCTTCTTGCTGTTCTTGCTATATTTTTAGCCAATAGTTTGCCTATTTCTTCCTTGTGAAACAAGTTAAATGTTCTGCCATTTTGTACTCACTGCCAAAACAACTCAACCTCGTCCCTAGGTCTTCTCAGTTAACTGTTCAGTTTTCTGGCAATTATGCACCTATCAATGTTAATCCTGTGGGGGGAGGGGAGTGCGGGCAAGGGGTGGGGATTTGATGCCTGAGCCTATCCCCCTGTCGGGCTTTTGATCGTGCGAAGCGACCCTGGGGTCGGGACATTTGACTTTGACCGATAGAAGCCTGGTATCAATTCAGAAGCGGCAACCAAGTCCGTCCCTCAAGGCTTTCTGAAAGTCACGCTGTTGGAGAAAGTTATGAAGTTTTCATTTGTTTTAATCGCCATAATCCGATACTTTACATGTACACTGTCATCTAAACAGATAATGTCTATTTTGAGAAAGTTTTTATCTTCAAGTTCCCATCTGATTGTAAACCTCGATTGAAATCGAATTCTACCATGAAAGTCAGAGGATTTTTTACAGGTCACTGATCCGACCTGTTCCGCCATGTTCAGCAGATATTATAAAGCATTTTACGTTTCATTAATATAATAGCACGGTCAATCTTCCTGGAGTGATTATGTTGTTCAAAATAAGAGATGCTAGTGGAGAGAGAAAATACTTTATTACAGCGAGTAACTTAACGGAGCTTACGTTAACCTTAAATAAAAGTAGTAAGAACGTACTTTTGAAATGTTCTTTCATTCGTTTTATATAGTATTATAGTATTGTTTGTTTAGATTTTTCCCCTGGGGTGGGGGCTTTTTTGACACTTTTGATTGACCTTTCGTTTCCGACCCTTGGGAATTTGATCAAAAAATTTACATTGATAGGTGCATTATGCTGCACAATTGATGTCATTTTTCACATATTGCAAAATTTTTCAAAATTTGGTGGACACTAGCTGGTTATGATGAATTATGTGTGAGTTTTTCTCCAATAAAAAACAGAGAAATATCTTAAATGAATAATAATCACTCTTATTTCAAACAAGTAATAGCCTTATTGTATAAGAGACATGTGAGGGATTTTGCAAACTCAACTTCAAAGATTCAAAATAATGACAGTTTCTTTTTTTTTAAGCTCATAGCATGCCAGTAGTTAGGAACCAAACATTTGTACACATCATGGACTGGATTAAATTGGCCAGCTCTGATAATGGAGTTAGCAGTGAAGTATTCCCTTTGGTCAAGGATGTGATTCTGGCTGGCATCACTGATATCTGGTCAGCTATCAGAAATACATGTGTAGCCAAGTTGTCAAAGTTTTTGGAGGTCTTTATGTTGTCTCAAGTGGAAGAATTCTATAGAAGTTTAGTCAAGGTAGTGTTTAATTTTTTCCCTTCAAAAAAAATCTCACTGCATTCTTCATCCGAGGAAATCATTTTCGCATCTTGTTAATTAAGGTACATTGTAAGAATTAATAAAAAATAACAATCACTCAGTGGGAATCGTTCAATCTTTTCTAAAATTTCTCAACTTATTCTTTACGGAAATAATTATTTGGAGATCTGTCCGGAGAATGTTTTTTGTAGAATGGCTCTAGATATTGGGGCTTTAAAGGAACTTGGAATGGGCTAACTCTGATCTCCAGTTTAGAGAGGTGTCATTTTGGAATAGTTAGAGTTAATTGAATGTACTCTTTTGAAGGAAATTAGTGAAAAATATTCTACCTACCATGTGAGTTTCACATTATTTGTGTATTTCAGATGTGTTTGGAGAGAGAAACTTCCTGGCAGGCTAAAGAGGGTGCAGTTATGGGTAAGTTGCTCAAAGCAAATGAAAACCACACTCTAAAGTTACACTGTAGATGCATTTCCTTTCAAGTTTACTATTGATTCTTTGAGTTGGGCACGCACATATACATTTTCATTATTCTCTCCATGGCTTAATAGGCATGACCGCCATAGTCTGCCAGTTTCTTTGGAGTGGAATAACCAGTGATGAGGACAAGAACAAGACAGAAGGACGTCAATACTTGCTGAAGGTCAGAGGGCTTTGTGTGTTATCGAGAGCAGGGGTTTCAATAAAAATTGAAGTAGCCAGCAGATTTGAATAGAGTAACCGACTATATCAACAGTCCACATTTTCAAGGGGTGTCTGGGGGCATGCTCCCTCAAAAATTTTAAAATTGCAAACCCTAATAAACGATTTCCAGCGTTTAAGGGACTAAACTGAGCATAAAAGAGCGAGTTTTCCATTCAAGAAGATTTGGGTTTTACTCAAATTTTGATTTATTAGCCACTCAATTAACTCCTGCAAGCAATAAACAAATGATAATTAAACTAAGTTACATAGATTTCCGGGCAAGCAAATTCCAATTTTTGTCCATGACTTTATTCAAACTAGTTGCTGCTTCTTCGGGAGAAAAAGTAGCCGACTTCTCTGAGCAATGTAGCCGACGCGTTTTGTCGGTTGTCGGTGCTTATTGAAACCCGTGCGAGAGTGACTCTCTGACTTCTTGGGTGGTTACTGAGCTACAGTGTACATTTCTTCGCTGATAATTCCGTAATAGCAATTGGTGTGAACTGAGGAGTCAAATACAGAGATCTCTCTTCTGAAAAACCCTTCCCTCCTTATCAAACCACCCTACCCCCATGCACTCATAATCATTGAAGCACTAAAAATTAATGATTTTTGTCGTAAAGTTGGTCCATTGATGTAGCATGATCAGTACAAATTATTGTTCCAAATGGCAAAAGATGCATGAAAATGCTACCAAACACTGCAGCAAGAATTTGTTGGGGTCTTGAAAAACTGTGGGATCAAAATATTAACCAAAACTGTTCATGTATAGTAAAGAAAAGCTTGCTTTTGTTCACTAGGAGTTTTGGTGACCCATATGGGAGACTGAGAGATTATTTTGCTCTATATCTCCATGTCCAAGACTCCTGGGTAATCTGTGAGAATTAGCATAATAGTAAAATTATGCATAATTTCATCATGATGCAAGTTGCTACCTCTTGCATGATGTCCTGTCTTACGGATTCTCTTAACACTTTGTTCTTGTCTTTCAGTTTGGTTTTACAGCATTATCAGCCCTACCAGATTTCATCATGTCATCTGTCCATTCTGTCATTTTCTCATTGCTTGTCCATCCTCAATTGAGTATAAGGGAACATGCCACTAAAGCACTGTCTGCTATTTTGTCCAGATGTGAGTTTGAGGTAAGGAGCTGGGGCTGTGCTGCAGATCAAAGCTCTCAGAGACCCTGAAATTAATAGCTTAGTCTCTGAAACTACAATGTAGTTTTTCATGAAGAAAATGGGTAGTTTGTAGTTCACATGGTACCTGCACTTTTCTCGGAAAAATAATTATTCCCGTTGTGTTTGTCGACCTCAAGGGCCAGGTATAATTTAATTAGAACGTGCTAGTGCTTCCTTTGTCAGTGATATTTCTGCAATTTTCGTGCCTCAGGTTGCCCTGTTTTCATTTCAAGAGGTGATCAACAGACTGTGTCGTGGAACACAAGGTGATGGCCATTCTCAAGAGGTTACTCAAGGCATTGTAGAGGTATGTCATACTACATATTAATTTTATTAAACTTTAAATTTTCAACTTTGTATACACCTGTACTCTTTCAAGGGCATTATTCCTCAGTCCTGACAAAGCTGTCCCAATAAATTCACCACCTGAACAGTAAATGGATTTTAGAACAACTAGTTTAAATGATACTAAGTGATATTATTCTATGAGGACCCGTATTCTTCATTCTTAATTTTCTGTCACTGCTGTGACTGCAAGAATCTTATCTTATTGTTTGCTTCATTATATTTCTTCATTTCACATTTCCATCAGATCATTCATTATTGCATCTTCAACTCTCCTGGATATATTAAGAACCAATTTAATGACCAGCTCCCATTTGGCTTGTTAGCTCAATTAGTTAAAGTGCTCCACCAGTGTCTCAGAGATCAGAGTTCAAATTCTGGCAAGCCTGAATTTTTCAGGCTTTCTTTTCTCAACTGCATAAGTTGCATCTTCAACTGCAAGGTTCTTCTTCAGTTCCAACAATGTGAAAGTTATAATATACTCATTATCATCATTTCAAGAATCTTATTGATGGCCTGTAGAGTTCTGACTTTTACTTTAATAGCAGTCTCCTTAGGCGCGGTTCAGACGCCAAACTTTTCATGAGCTGAACCCAATACATTGAATTAACCCATTCGCTCCTGGAGATTTTGCCGAAAAATGCGTTTTGAAGCTAGTCGAGTGGTTTTCTGGTCACTGTCGTGCTATAAAGAGCTAAAACTTACCACAAACCGGTTTACAGGTTGTACACTTCGTGGCCTTCTGATCCAGATGCAAAATATTAGCTTGCGAAGTTCGGGCATGCGCAGAAAGCAAAATTTCGAGATAGTTTTTGGGTTTAAAAGTGACACAGCAGTCTTGACTTTTACTTTTCGCTTTCTCTCCTCCCTTCTTTTTTTGCTTTTCTTGCCTCATTTTTTTTTTCTCTTGCTGGGCATTTAGTAGGCTTCATTTTGGTGGGAAAGGTTTTAGGAAAGCATTTAGGATCTTAGGATTAGGTGAAAGAAAAGGTAGGTGGGCAATGGAACAAGATTCTCATAGAGATTTTCAGGTCAATGTCACGTGGTTTTTTGCTTCTTTCTCCGGTGTCCTTGACTGAATTGTGCTCATTCTGGTATGGTTTGAAAGATCTCTTCACTCTGCACAAGTTAGCGAAGAAAGTTGACCTTGACTGTTAAAACTGATGACGTCACAAAGGTAGAAAGGACCTGGATCCACACTGGCGGTTACGGGCAGTTCAGGGGCAAATGGGTTAAGTACATGAAAAGTTCAGTGTCTGAATCAATTTGGAACACCTGTTTCAATTTAGAACCGCTCAGCCATTCTTCCTGCCTAGCCCAGCCAGGAATTTCGATCATGGATTGACTTTGGAACAGCCTTGATTCAGATGCCGAACTTTTCATGTACCAAACCTAATGCATAAATAACATTGTTATAACCTATTTTGTAAGCAGTTTGACCGAAATGAGCATTTTTCTTGTTTTGAATAAAATTCAGCTGGAATTAAGATCAGTTTCCAAATAAATTCAATCGGTCTAAGTAATTTAGGTTGGGCTTAATTCGAATCACGTTCGGCTCATGAAAAGTTCGGCTTCTGAACTGGGCCTTACAGTGTACATTATACTTGTAGCAATGAGAAACAAAAATGCCTCGTACCCTAAGGGCAACTTGGCAAATGCACTGTACGCAACTCATAATAATATTATATTCATGCCGTACCTTAAATTTACTTGTTTTATTCAAGTTACCTCACCATGCTGTGTTGAGACAGAATTTCAAGTTCCTCAAAGCTCATGAAGCTGAAGGATTACTGGCAATCTGTATTTTCTTGATTAAGGTGAGTGGCACTGACGCTGTCAGAGACAGACATGTAAGCCTGCTGGCATGCTTCTTATACACTGTATTCTTGACTTACCTTTGTAATGTACAGAGCAACAGATGTCAGAAATACAGTGGAAAACACACAAAAATGAGAGAACAAAATTCAAGTCTTTGAAGTGTTTGTGAATGTTAGGAGGTTAGACCAGGGTGCAAAGAAAGTCAGTTTTACAGCCTGCCATTCGGGCAAGTTGTAGCTAGCATGTACTGGCCCACAAGTCATTTCTAATTCAACTAGCCCCAAAACCATTTTTTATTAGCAGGATTGATTACAATCCTTCTGTAGTTTGACTTCCCAAAAAAACAGCACTTGCCCATCCGGCTCGTTAAGAACAAAAATCACTAGCGCGATAGAAAAATCCACTAGACCCTGGCTATCGGACACGACTTTCTTTGCATGCTGTTAGACTGATGTTATTAGTTGTCATGCATAGGAGGGTAAAAATAATCACTCCAGTTAGAGGTCACAGTTGCTTGCAAAACCATTTAGATGAAAATTAAAATCCAATACATAATAAATACTCTTATTCATAATATTCTTTTCTCAGTTCACTGAAAGTCATATCAATGCTCTTCAGTTATATGATCCATGTACATGTAAAAAAGAAGGTACTCATTTCATACACTTCATGTCCCCATGTCCAACTGCCATAAACTTAAACAACCAGCTTTAGTAGATCTTCTGTTATCACTTCCACAGCACATTCCTCCAGGGTATCTATTACCAAAATGGCCTCTCTACTTCTCCACATTTAACCTCTATCTGATGCATCCTGCTTCCACTGTGCGACAAGTAACAAGTGTTGCCTTTAAGTATTTGGGTAAGTAAAATGTTCTTTATGCCATTGTCCTTATTGAAACATGTGACATAATGTACAGTATCACTCTTCAGGGCTTGAAGCAAACTTAAACAAGAATCGCCGAAAGGCGATTTTTAACTGGGCTGCAAAAGGGGCTATTTTTCCTGAAGGGAGGGGGCGGCTATACACACTCAGGCTACCATAAAACCTTGTCGGCAACCATTGCATGCGATAGAACCTCATGTGAGACTGAAACATAAACTCATTCAGAACACTGTACCCTTTTGAAAGACTTGCATAACCAAAAAAAAAGAGTACCATTTTTAAGTGGGGGCTGTATAATAACTTTTGAATTCCACCATTATGAAGAAAAATAAACAAGTTAGCCATTAATTCTAAGCAGGAAACAATTTGCATTATTTCCACGTACCCCTCCCCCAATCCCTCTGTGCCCCAAAATATAGCGTGACAGTATAACGTGACTAATTTGACGTAACTGGAAATTCCAAAAATTGTTGTCGTTCTACGAGCATAAAATGCGACAGACTGAGCTGATTTACACTAGACAGAAATATTGTATTGTATGAAAACCAGAAGTATACTAAAACAGACAGTTAACTGCCCATTGATCCCGCCTGATCCAGGGGCCTCACTGACTGCACGGAGACTTTACTGCGCTTTTCACAAACATGCGAACTCTAAAGTTCAAAAGCCACCTTCACAATTGTGTTTATCGCTGCCGTCAATCATAATTACGATCACAAGCAACGAACCTTGAAAGAGAGAAACACACAAAACGGATCGAAATCCACAAATCACAAACCATGACCTTTTGAACCCGTGAAGTAAAGTTTTGTTTCCTAAGAGGTCCGTTAAGATGATTGACAGCAGCGAAAAACGCAATCGTCGGTTGGCTTCTGAACTTCAGAATTCGCATGTTTGTGAAAAGTGCGATCCTAATTTGCGGTCCACAGTCTACAAGAAAACGCACTATTTTTTCCACAAGATGAAAAATACTCAGTTTTAAGATTTTTCTCATGGTATTTTTCTCTAACTTAAAGGAATAAAATCCTTTGCATTTTGAGACCTAAAAAAGTTTTAAGATTTCTCGCTCGCATGTTGCGTTCACCAGCACGCACTTGAAACAATGTAAATGGGTGAAACGATCGATAACATTTTTTTACCTGATACCGATGCGAGTTAAAAATTCACTCCAGTTCTGTTTGTCTCACCCAAGACGAACTTTTCTTCATGGAAGATAATAAACTATGCCGCTTTATAACTCGTCCGAAGTTTTTGTGCCAGCTAAACAATATTGAAACGCTATTCACAGTGACTCCTTGGATATTCAAAAGACTGAACGTGACGCACTATGCCTTTGTTTACTTCTGATCACATCTTCAAGCGAAGTCTCTCTTTTCAAGCGATTCATCTCAATTCACAATAATTGACCCTTATATTAGTTAAAACCCTATGGTTCATTTATGTTAATGCTGTTTTTGCCCCTCGCATTGACTGTGTTCGTTCGTATTCAAAACACCTTTCCGAAAATAAAGGTCGTATAAGTCATGTGTGTTATGTTTCGAGATAAATGGATTATACGCTTTTTTTAATTTCCATTTTGCGGTGACTTCAGTTTACATCTCCATAAAATGGTAAAAGAAATATCAAGAAACATCACGAGAGCTGAAAACTTTCAAAGGCATGTTTCTGAAACTCGCTAATGCTGACATCAATATAGCGTGCTTGCTGAATGGGCGAAAACACAGAATTGTGATCACAAGATCATGTACAAAATTTAATGATAAAAGCTTAGCAAGATACAAATACAAACAAAAGCAAACCCCCTGAAACCTCGACGTGGGCTACACTTGTATGCTCTACTCAGTCACCAAACCTTGTCAGTAATAGCTCCTATTTTCCTCAAGTCGCTCTCTGTGAAGCTCCTGGATGGGATGTCCCGGTGAAGCTTTAAACTTGTGTGCGAAATTCTCAGAGTCCCTATTTTTGTCCGTGTCTTCTTTATCCTCAGTATCCGAAATTTAGACCTCCAAAGTGGCGTGTGTTGCATTAAATAGAAGGAAATATTTAAAGGAAAAGCCAGTCTTCTAACATGGCAAAGTTGTCACGTCCCTCGCTCATGGACGTGCGTAGTGCCATTCATCAGCAACTGAGTTGTTCGCTTCACTGACTACGAAGGCTTACAATCAAGTCTTCAGCCATAGTGTCGTCAACTGGTGAAATACCTTGCTCATAAATTGTGGTTCTTAATTGCTCATGTACTACATCGATCGATAATTCTCTCTTTGAGTTCACGAAGCGGCCACGGCGTTCCAAACCTGACGCCCACAGTCATCTTTTAGTGTGAACCTACCGTGAACGGCGGGTCGGTTTGAATGCAACGCGAGCATTTCTCTGAGTTTCCCAGCGCCAACATCATCTAACTGACTTAAACTCGAACAATACAAAAATTATAGAGTGACTCCCATGATCGAATCGCTTCGAACAACGCAAGTAGCCTCCTTCAGGTTCGCAACGCTTTGTGGGTTTTTCAGGGGGAGCGCAGACGAGGTAAAAAAAGTATCCGTGCAAGGGTTCGTGCAAGAGAAAATCATACGAAACCATTTGTGAGAACATCGTTTCTCGGTACCAGACCGTCGTGTCTTCCCTCCCCCGGGAGGCCGTTTTTCGCCGCAGACGACCGAAAGCCCATTTTATGACTGGGCGCACAGGCAGCCCAGTAATTAGGGCTTGTCCTTTGGGCATGCAGCTCTCCCAGTTTGCTTTCCCAGGGCCACTTCTTGCTTGTCTTAGTAAAGTTAATGACTTTTCTAGAGGCTGACTTGCCTGTACCCTCGCCCATTAGGCAAGTTAGGTAAGCCTTAAAAGTTACTTATGCATCAGTCAATTCCAGTTGCGCCCAGTAAGTATTGTTAGTATAGTGAGATTCATGAGAATCTTTTTCAAAAAATTAATAAATGATTCATTGATGTCTTTTACTGTTTATCCCTTGTTTTTGCAGTTGCCAAAGACAGTAATAATCCTGTGTTTTTAAAACTGGTCCTTCATGGGCTTGCAGCTGACTGGAGGGTTGACAAAAGCTTGTTGGTGGCAAACCTAATATCATCTCCTGAAATTACTAACCATTTGGGACCCTCTACATCAGACACACCCCAAAACTCTGAAGATGATGTTATCAGCCATGTACATCAACGAGAAATCCCATTTCAACGTACTCCAAGTCCTAAACCAAGCCTTGACTTGTGCTATGTGTCAGCTGATTCAATAAGTACATGTAGTGCAGGTGAGTATTTTGCTCTGTTTGTCTGCTCTGTGTGTCAGACAGACACCTTTGGGACAGACCGGCATTAGGCAGGGTTGTCAGAAAGTTTTTAAGTAGATGGCTTAGTTGTCAAAGTAAGTGGCTATCTCTGGTGGAACTGCTGAGTGCCAAAGGCACAAGCTTCTAGTGGGGGTCTGGGGGCATGATGTTCCCCCAGAAAATTGTTATATTTAGATGCTCTGAAATGCTGTTTTCTGTAGCATAGTGAGATTTTTGTAAGAAATTTTTTGGCAGGCCCTTTCTGCTAATCAATAAATTGACAGGCTCACACTTGACATCATGAGAAATAAAGGACAAAATAATGATTATAAACAATGACGTTAGCAAAGATTCACCTATACGGGGAGACTGACTGACCCATGCTGCAGGCAAAATTTTAAAAAAGAGCACTTGTCAACATTTCATATGAATTATTTTTATGTTCTCTAGTTTTGCAGTAATGTGCTTTCTAAAAATACAATGTATAAATTACATCTTCTAGCATTTCCTTAAGGAGTTGCACTTCTCTGCTTGTAATGACAAAAGACCACTGTTACTTTACTTGTCTTTTTATTAACATTAACTTACTATTTTGTTTTTCTTTTCATGACTGATCTTGCATGTTAAAGGAACTGAACCTCACAATGCATTTTCTGTGGGCCACAGCACTAGCTGGACATCACAAACACAGTCTCACAAATCAACAAGAACCTGCATTCGACAAGTTGCAAAGCTTCTTGCAGGTACTAATCATTCCTTAGCACGGAAGGAGCTGCATTCTGGAAGCATAGTACTAAAACACTCCCTCACGGGTTAAAATAGAAATAAAGTGCCTTGGCCATACTTAAACTGTTCACAGGTAGCTTTTACGACTCCTGAAGGAAATAGAAGATCATGAAGTTATCCCTATATTAAGTTCTTTCCTTACAGATAACTCACCCAGCCCAGGAAAGGTTAGTCACACCACTGGGGTTGACGTCCCCTACTCTTTTTGAAAAGTGGTGTGGGTTCTTTTACGTCCCACAAGTGATAGTTCTGTGAGACGGGACCTACAGTTTTTCGTCACTTATCCAAGAAGACTAGAAAGTCTAACTGTTTGCAGATGCCATTACAATGGAAGTACTTTCTTCTCAGTTATTTGAAGACCCTGAGTGTTGGTTCGGCCGGGGTTTGAACCTGTGACCTCCCGCTCAGTAGACTGGCGCTCTCCCAACTGAGCTAACCAGGTGGCGGTAAAATGGGTTTTACTGACATCGGTATTTTTTTGAGGTGTTATGATACCAATCTCCAAGTTGCTTTTATGCTCACACTGCACAGCACTGTGCATACTTCAATACTCAACACTCTTCCGTTTGGCACTTAGTCAATGCTAAGTTCAAGGGAGTCAAAGGGAGCTAATTTACTGTACATCATTGCTGACCATTACTTCATGTACAGTGTATGTCACTTGTTGCAAACACAGTTGAGAGTTGAGAAGAAGGAAGATCAAATTGAACACAAATAATCCTGACAGTCCAATGATTTAATTTAGTGTAGTTGACTTCAATGTGATTTGATGGCAATTAAATCAGTCTGTAAAGAATACACCGGGGTGCTTATTAACAAAACCACACCCAAAGTTGGTCACCTATTAGGAGGGAGTGCTTATATAAAGGGCACGAAATGGGACCACTTTGTTCAATGAATGATAGCTAAGGATTAGCACCTCCGCCTTCGAGATCATGAGTGTCCAGTGGAGAAATACATTTCCTACGTTCTTTCTTTCTTCTTTTTTCTTTGTTTGTTCCAGAGGACATATCCACATCCGCAGATCACTTGATGTCAAAGAGTTGGGAATGGAGAGAAGGAAGACTTCTGGCATATGAGTTAATCCTTAAGTTCCTAATAACAAACCACATCCACTATGTCTTCCCTGCTTTTGTATTACCAGTGTCTAAAAATAAGGCTTCATCAGCATCTGTGGATGAAAGTCTCATCAGTAGGTAAGGCCTATCGAGTGCAATTGTCATAGTACACCCTGCCTACAATACAATGCAATATAAGCATTGCTGATAGTCAAGGGAAAATTTTAAACGCAGCAGTAGAGCATTGAAAAAACTAAAACAGCAACATATAAGCAAACAACTTAAACATTTTTATGTCCAAATAGTGACATAAATAAATCGAAATAAACTTTCAAAGAAACATTTCTCTGTGAAGTAGATTCCAAGTCCATCAGCCGTCCACCTCGGGGGAATGAGGTCATAAGGGCGTGAAACTCCTGTCACAGGCGTTAAAACACACTCCAGTGAACTTCAAGAGTTTCACACAGCAGGAAGTTGAATGTGATAATTTCGTATGATTCAACATAACTGTAACTACAAGTATTTTTTGTCACAAATGAAGTGAAGGTTACCGGTCGTTTCGATACCTGTTTATTCAGTCGAGGTGTAAATAGTTCCACGTAGTTGGCTTAAAGAACGAAGAATACTCACCCCAAATGTTTTTCTTGTTCACGCGTAAACTATACTTGAAATGAACGAAAATTTTTTTGCTATTTCACTGCTTTAGTTCGTATCGAAATGCCTTGTATCGAAACGATCGGTTTCCGAAGTGAATGTTCGTGAAACATTGTGTGCAGCCGATACAATAGATAACAAAATACCGTAAATTTCCGAAAATAAGTCCCAGGGCTTATATTTTTTAAAGGCCCTTTTTGAGGGGCTTATTTTTGGAGGGGCGTATCTACGGAGAGAAATTTGCGTTTCAAAATCGATTGGGCTAGCCTTATAGTTGGAAGAAAACTTACCGTTTTTGCTTTGTTTTGCTTTGTATTTGAGGGCAATTTCCAAGTACAAGCCCCCGGGGGAGGCTTATGCTTGTAGGGGCGATGTAACGGAGGGTCTTTTGCGTTACGAGTGTGGGGGGCTTATATTTGGAGGGGCTTATTTTCAGAGTTTTACGGTACTGTATTGGTGTTGTTCTGCTGAGAAGTTCCCCCATCCAGGCATAATGATCAAAAATGGTTTACGGTCAAGTCCGCCGAAAGTTACCCCGCCCGAAGTTATGTCGCCAGAAATTGTATCATGCTCAACAACATTCTAACATGTTCCGTCTCATCAAATGTTGAAGAACAAGATATATTACTTATTTATTATCGTGCTTGTTTCGCCAGTTCATCAAGCCTTAAAGAACGAGGTACACTTTTATGTTACACATTTATTCCGCCTGTTTCATCTCATCACTTAAATAACGAGTCTTTATAACACAATTATTCCGCTTGTTTCGTCTCAATATCACTTAAAGAACAAGATATTTTTCATAAGTCTTTATTACAATTTTGAGCGACTTAACTAAATATTTCGGACAACATAACTCTGGTTTGGCGCGAGATGACTTTCGGACGACTTGACAGCTGGTTATCGCTCTTTGACGGGTTACCGATCAGGTCTTTGAAAGTTACGTGTGTTTGCTTTTATCTTTATGCCCTTGCCTGTGAGATTAACAGATTAGGAAAGTGGTCTTCGGACAAGTTAATAATAGCACAGTACACCAGCCATTGCACCACTGTTTCATGACTCTGTAATGCACAACACATAACCAAGCTTACATCACCGTGGTTGTATCTCATTTTTCTTTTTAAGTTATTTTGTTCTTTCACTTTGATAACCCACTAACGCAAGCACTTTCTCTTTCTTTCTTGCACATCTTCTTGTGTCTAGTTTGTCAAGCAAAATTGTTGGCAGTGAAACAACTGGTAAAGTCTTTTCTAGAGACAGGTTAGTAACAAAATAAACAAAACGAGCCACGCGAAGGTCAAGTTGTTTGCAGGGCAAAGGCAGTACCTCCGTTTCTCATGCGAACCCGCAACCGCCCGATCTTCTGACTGTGCTAATCCTGCCGCGGTTAGTAATATGTACTCTGGAAACTGCGGAGGACAGGCTAGGATCATGTCTGGAGCACTTTCAAAATGAAAGTGGAGCAAGGGCGGTGCATTAGTGGAGGTTCTTGCCCCACACCAGTATGGCCTGTCTTCGAGTTTCGGCATCGACGCCATATGTGGGTTGAGTTAGTAGTTGCTTCTCTCCCTTGCTCTAAAAGGTTTTCTCCGGAACTTCGGCTTTCCCCTCTCGTCAAAAACCAATCTTAAGGGCTCCTGCGTGCTTCGTGGGTAAACAAATTACAATATTATTCTTAAAGGAAAATACAATTATAATGACTGCCCAGCTAAGATTGCTACATGTAACCGTGTATATTTTTGTGGGTTGATCCAGGCAAAAGTTGCCCGTAGCAAGCCACTCCGGCATAAGCAGCTTTGGGAACACGATAAAGGGATCAACTCCGTGAAAAGTTTTGTATGAAATCTTATCTCAACTTTTTCCACAAAAAGTTTTGTTTACTTTAGAGTTCCTACTCTTCAGGGGTCGTAGGTGCAGGTGGGTTGAATTTTGCATGGGTGGATTTAGAGGGGGACCAAGGGGGGTGCTTCCCCCCTTTTATCTGAGATTCTGTTAAAATTTCTCAGTAAAATCTGTATTTCAGAGCCTTAATTTCTGGACGCAGATGTTCTCAGAGTTCTCTTACCAATAAATGAATAGTATCTAGGTAGCTGGCAAGTTTTGTGGCCCCCTCTGTCTGAAATTTTGGGGTTCGCCCCTGAAATTGGGATACACTGAGTAAGCAAATATTAGAGAGAGAGAGGTTGGAGGCAGCAGTGAGGAAATGTTTCAACTTTTTTTGCCACCGGAGTTTGTCATCTCTGCTTTGTGATAGTGTTGCAGTGGACAATGTTTTAAATACTGTAATTGTTATGGCTGACTTTTTTTTTATATCTTTAAAGGTCCAAGTCTGACTTTACAGCAGAGAGCTCACACAAGTTATGCTTGAAGAGCAACAGTGTTGGTGTCATTAATTCTTCATCAGACACCCTTTACACTACAACAACCATAAAAGTATGGAGACCTTGCATTACTTAAGTCAGTCAAACAGCTTATACCTGCACTGTTTCATGCATGGTATACTCATGATGAGCAGGGCTATCACCAAGGGTCGGGGGCTGGAGATTTCCTCCCGCTTTTTTAATTTGACCCTCGGCTTTTATTGTGGAAAAGAAAAGGAAAATACGGAAGAACCCGGTAGCTCGAACTAGGATAAATCAAACTCCCCACTAACTCATACTGTCTTATTTCCCTGGGATTTCACCCCACTTTTCAGTCATTTTTACTCGGTTAACTCGAACTCGGATATCTCAAATTCCCCGCTAACTCAAACTAAATTTCCTTTCTCTTGGTCAAAATGTCAATGAAATTTAACCTGATAACTCAAAGTCTGGCTCTTGTTACCCTACTCGGTTGCCATCGCATTAGCTCTTCTGATGTGTAATCGGTAAAAAAGCTCCCATTATGGCTCTTGATAAAGTCGCTAAAACTAACATATACGTGTTGGTGCAACGAACAGATCACGCTTTATCTTAGAAGTGCATAATCATTTGACCGTTTTTGATGAAATGAGTAAATTAGCCTGAGAAAACAGCCGACATTTGGCGACGCTACCACTGGTTTCCCCGCCAAATTACGTCTGAGAAACAGCGCAGAAATTCCGTACTGATGACGAGTCACTACCCAGTTCTGGGTAGTGCTACTGATTGGCCGTGCCGCGTGGGAAATTTGATTCAACCAATCAGAAGCCCTACCCAGATCTGGGTAGTGACGCGTCATCAGTATGGAATTTCTGCGCTCGTTTCTCTGCCGTCATTTGGCGAGGAAACCAGAGTCAGGGTTTCTTTTGTGTCCGATAAGGCCGAGAATCACAGTAACGAAAGAAAAGGAAACGAAAATAGCAAGGACGAGGAGAAAGAAAGAAGACATAAACGAAAAAAGCAATGGTGGCACTCCGGCTTAGTTTTTGTATTGTTAATTTGGCTTGATGGAAGAGGTTTATTTGGCGGTAGCGTTTTCGATAATCCATCTCATATACATACCAGTTGGTTAATGATTAAAAGCATATTTTGGTTTTAGACAGGCTGCCAGTAGTCCCTCGGGATTGTCGCGTGGGCGAGCAAACGAGGCAACTCCCCACTCTCGAGTCCTGTCAAGCCTCGACTTCACAGATTGAAAAGGGGCTGTTGGCAGTCTATATTAGAGACCTTTAGATTCTAAGGCGAGGACGGCTACGAGGACGAGATTTTCTCTGCAATAAGTAGTGCGCCCGCGTGAACAACCAGCGTCATTTTGGCGGGAAAACGTGATAGTCGTCGTCATTCTGCTACGGGTTTTAGCGAGAATGTCGTAATGTTGGAAACAAGTTATTAAATATTAGAAGTTATATCATTGTGCGATCGGAAGAGGGCCTATGCTCCTTCGATAACAGTAATAACTGTGCTAACTTTTTTTGCATCCGACTAGTTTACGGAAGGTCGTGGCCCATCTGGAACTCAGAATTTTTTTCTGTGTTCTTTCCTCCACACATATCATTTCATTTATTATTCATTGCTAGCTTTTTTGTTGAAAAAAGTACAAAGAAGTTTTCCGATGGATCGATTTTTAAAATCTCGTCCTCGAATCTAAAGGTTTCTATGTGTTTCTTTGTAACAGGAAGGAGAAACTGGCGTTACGGAAAGAAGACATGCAGCCCAAGAAACATTAAAACACAGTAGCGAGAGTCGTATTACATCTAAAAAGAAGGCCATGTATGTATAGACTATGTTGGAATTCTTACATTGTGTGTAAAGTTATATATTAGAAAGTAATTTGGTTGACATACTGCAGTGCTCCTTGACTATTTGAACATTTGCCATGGCGTTGTCTTGTCAAATCGCAGGTTTGAACTTCGGTTTGACTAAACTACCAACATCTTTGGTACCAAATTTGGGAATTGAGACAATCAGAAGCGGAGAAATATTTTGAATGAATAACAATATGTTTTACACGTGGGTGACGTTTGGAGAGCGGTGCACTTCCAACTTATTCATCCTTTTCTCCATGTCTTGTCTTTGCAGGAGAGCAGCTTCTTGTGCTGGTGTGGATGTTGATACACAGACCAGGCAGCTCATCAGACAGTACTCTGTAACGACACCGCAAATCTCACCCAAAAGACCATTTAGACTTCCACGAACGAGCACATTTGTTCTGGTAAGTGCTTGGGATCGAAGTGTTTGAACTCTTAAAATTGACATTTTGAAGATTTTTGAACTTTTGAAACTTTGAAAGATGTTTTAACTGTTGATTTGATACCTTAATTCCATTCAACCACTCTCCCTTAGTTTGTTTTTGTCCGCCCGAGTGATTTTAAGGTGGCTGACACAGTTTTGCGGGCAGTTAGCGGTAACTCACGTGACGGCGCGTGTTTTAATTAGACAAACAAACATGGCGGCGAAAAAGCAATGCTATACAGAAGACGACTTCTCAAAATCTACCCATTAAAATTTGGTGATATTTGGCAGAATTTTTACTTTTATCGTATTTTAAATAATGAGAACTTTAAAATTTAATAATTACAGTACAATTATATTATTGATTATCTAAAAACCCGTCTGTTAAAATTTGGTCAAATAGGTTTCAAATGGTAATGATTAATTATAGTAAGCCGTGTGCAAGTTTATAGGAAAATCTAATGAGTGAATTTTATGTAACTGAGCAAAAGTGAAATTTTAAGGTTGTATTCAATCGTTCATGTTGTCATGGAAACTATAAAAACGTCAAATTTTACCTGTCAATCAAAATCTTTCATCAGTATGTTTTCCAGCTTGTGAGCGGCAACCTTTCTCTTGCCATAATTTGGCAAATGACATATACTCACAAACTGCCAAAACTGTGTTCAGCCACCTTAAATGAATTATTAGCTTTTAGCAGAAGCATATAAAACCCTGAACAGGGTATGCTACTGCTTTTAGGCAATAACTGCCCATTTCAGCTTTACATGCTCGCGCGTAAGTTTGAACTTCGGTCAGTACTTTCCTTTAGGTCTTTTAGATCTCTCTTTGTGATTTGTTTTTTTACGGTCAAGTCTGCATTTTATTTGAGATAAAGTCTGAACTTAATCGTATTTGAGTCTGAACATGCTACAAGTTCTTCATGCACCTAGAGTCTATTTCGACTGAATTTGAGCCTCAATACATCAGGGACTTCCTTACACAAAGCACTTATCAGTTTCGTTATTAAAATAGATCACAGTGATTTTGTTACCTCTGTGTCCTGTGTCCCGTGTCTGTGACGCATAAAAATTCCCAAAGACGCAAAATAATTTGAGCTATAAGATCAATTGATCGATCTGAAGATGTTTTTGTAGAATATCCTGTTTGTGTGATTTCTGTGGCTGTTGTTTAACGGCGCATATTTGTTTTAGTGTTGTGCTTGACAATAGCAGGAGTATATTTTTATTTCAGTAAACTGTAATACAGAGTTTTGGAGTCTGTCTTTAGATTAACTGTGTGGTTACATAAAGACCCAGGGACTCACTGGTTTTTGAACTGGGACTCATTGGTTCTGGACTGGGACTCATGATTTTTCACAAGATGAGTCCCAGGACTCACCATAACTATTTGTAACAAAATCAGTGAGATCATCATTCTGTATCGCAGATAAAACGTGTCCGTGGTGTTTAAGGAGAGTAGTATGTAGTATGTTCCACTTCCGTGTATTGGACTGTCTGCATCTGTTTCATTTGGGCCGTGTAATTTGTTAAATTATTCGTAACTCCTCTTGCTACAAAATGAAATACGATTTTTTTTTATCAGACTGCTGTCATTGTCTCCCAGGCGCGAAGTTTAGAGAATTTAGATTTGTTGAAGATCATAAATTACATCAACCATTGGTGTCTATAAGCATTAAGTTGTTGTACAATTAAGAGTTAATCGTGATTTAATGGAGTGACTGTTATATTGTTACTTTAGGGAAATTCATTACTTAATCAGACAAAAGCTTTGGATTCAGAGCAGTCGTCAAGCGAGGTATGATAATTGCCTTCTGACTGACTACTTGAGGGGCGGTTACGCTAGCACTTTTACCTAAAGCTCCCTTAAGGTGGATGTCCACTGTCGAGTAATTATTTTTTACTTGCTTTCGTGCGTAAAATTTGTGTGCGTAAATAAAATTGAGACAATGTATAAAAGGTCGCGCGTAAACTTAAAAGTTAAAACTCGCTCACCTTTTATGCTTTCGCGCAACACTTCATACATTGCCTCTGTTTTATTTGTGAGGCATGAAATTAAATTACGCGGCAGTGGAAATCCACCTCTTGGTAATTGCTTGGGTTTGGTTTACTGAGGGTTTTGATCACTTTCGTCTTTGCGGTTCCTCGCTGGTGAGATCGAATTGCTCAGGGGGGGAGAAAAACTTGGATTTCGTTACACGGTAAGCGTCCTTGTAAACTTGCACGACTGACATAAACTATTAAATGGTCTCCACTTCAGTTACGTTTAGCGATAACAATTTAATACTTAACTTTGGAGACTAAAGCGAACTAAGCTGTTGAGTTCATTCGCGCTTTATCCAGGACTTGCAGCTTTTTTTTCCTTTTTTAACGCCTGCGTCGCTAGTGGAGGTTGGGTCCCCATGGGCCAGGGGGCTGCAACCGCAATTACACCCCAAGGCGGAAGAACACCCACAGGCCTACCAACCTGCAACCCAGCCACGAGCCCCCCGCGCCCAGCCCCCCACTATAGCACCCGTCACACTGAGGCCAGAGCCCCAGTGGAGTAAAATAAACAAACCCCCGAAACAACGAAAAAAAAAAAAAAGCGGGAAGGAGGGGGAGACCCTAAACTAAGAAAGCGGAGGGGGGAAGGGACCAAGAGAAACGCTACGCCACAAGAACGCCACTCCACGCCACGCCACGCTAACAAAGCTTCGAGTACAACGCAAACACAACGTAGGCACATGGCGTGCGCATGCACCAAAGCAACATACCGCTGGACAGGAATCTGCCCCTCGTGCTCACGAACAATGGTAAACGCTACAAACGCAAACATAGTCATGCAACAGCGCTACAGACGGCTAACACGCCACCAAAGAATGCCAAAAACACCCGAGACCATAGCTCCTAGTCGTTAACTACATTAAATATCATTTAATAGTATTTTTAGAACAAAAAAGGCCAAAAGGCTCTTTCCTAAGGGTAAAATGGCTTGTGTAAATGCAGCTACTGTTGTTCTTTTGTTAGGAAAACAAATTGATGAATTCTCAAAAAAGTCCTGGTACGCTAAGTTTACAACAACACAATTAAGCTTGACTGAAGGTGATGTTACATTAGACGATTAGCAACGACAATTTTTAGCGCAACACCGTGTGGCACGGCGTTGCAACATTCTTGCAACATTGTTTGGAATGGTTACAACATTGTTCCAACATTGCAGCGCTGTGTTGTGTTAAAAATCGTCGTTGCGAATCGGCCCGTGTAACATCACCTTAAAACGAACACTGATTGTACCAGGGGAACGTGATAATAAAAACAGAGGGTTGGGGAAATTGTGGAACGCTAAAATCCCACCGCCACAGAAAACTTGACAGGTCTGCTTAAACAACTGCTACACAACGTGACGAAGCAGCAACGGTCCACGTAACCCTGTGCTTTGGAAAAAAAGTGGCTGGGTTTGTTCAGTAAATTGTTATTTAATGAAACCAAAATGTAAATGAACCTTTTGGTTATTACTAAGAATCGTTCATGACTTTTTTTCTCAGGATCTTACGGACACAGTCTTGTTCCAGTGTTTAAAGTCTCCTTTTGGATGGAGTGATTCTCAGTTTGGTATGAAACACTTCCTTGTTGAAAAGAAAGAAGAACAAAACTCTTGACTTTGCCTGACTTTCTTTAAGGTTTTGTCAGATAACAATTTATTGGTATCGTGGAACCCTTTTAATACGGAGACCAAGAGGACATACCATGGTGTCCGTATTATCCTGGTATCCGTATTAATCGGGCTCTTCGAAAAAACACCACGGACTCGCTCGCAGCGGAGCACCATAGGAAATAAAATTTGGTTGTCCTTTCATCCAAGAAATTTTGATTATGAGAAAATCGTCCTAGGTCAGCTCTCATGTCAGCGGATGTGAAATGTCACACTTACTGTCTGGGAGTCCAAGGCATATACTACCTGTGTTTAACTTGATCTTGGACGTCCATGTTATGGTCAATTGACAGTTATCGAAAAAGAGTATCCGCTGACCAATGTCACATGACTGTATCGCGGCAGCTAACCAAGATGAAAAACATTCCGGGATAAAGGACGGTTGCAGAATTTAACCCGTGTATTCCTGTGTTTTTACATGTAATGCTCTATCAACGTCTTATATAACTGTGCGGGATTCATAAGACCCTCTAGCCAAGCATGCCGGTTCACTGACGTCTGTGTATGTTGTAAACTTCAAGTTGTGTCATGCAGGAAGCCGGAATGACCTTCCACGCTACCAATTACTGTTTAAGTGACAATTATCATGTTTATTCCTTTATCTCCTTGATTTTCTTTCTCTGCATGTTTCGTTTTAGGTGACGGAGTTTCTAACAAGGTGCCTTTAAGTTTATCAATGCTGGAGTAAGTTAAACAAGATATCTATGTTACTGACCGCTTTCGAATCCGCCATGATACACACTCTTTGTACCCCGCCGCCCCCCACCCCCCAAAAATTGCCGCATACGTTATATGTTGGAGAGGGGAGGGGGGGGCAAAACGATTGTATTCGAAAGTAGAGAGTTTTTTTGAGATCTTATCTTATGGTTTTATGCTGTGTTGTCAAATTATGTATGAGGCGCAGTGTACTTGTTAAACTAGTCTTATATGAGTTACGTTTTGTGAAATTTCAGAGAGGAAGTACCCCAGTGGACAAATGCTCTTCAGCTAGGAACATTATCAGCTGTATTAACACAAGTAAGCAGTGTTGGGAATTGGCCGAGATTTGATAATCGATCATCGGAAATAATCGGATTGACCCAACTGAGCGATCATCCATTATTATCGAAAAAATCAGTTTCTCTACAAGAATTCCATTTGTTTTTAAAATTGTAAGGTAAGTTTTCTTATGAAACGCGCAATAAAAAGCGAACGAAGCAACATCCTCACAAACCAATAGAGAGCATTAAGCACAGCAGTGGTGCTGTGTGTGTTGAGGACACCACACTGCCATTCTCTCTATTCGCTCTCCCTTGTGCGTTCACATTTGTTTTGAAAAAACATCCAAAGTATATCAAAAAAGAGTTGTCAATAGATTATAGCCGCGCAATAGGTCCATTTAAAGAAAGACACCAAAGTTTTAACATTTTTGATTGTCAACAATATTTTAAAAATATTTTCCCGTGATAATTGATCGAACGTTTTCCATAATTGGTTATTTCATCTCTTAACGTTTTCGATCAGTGATCGATTATAAACGATGATCGGCACACCACTACAAGTAAGAGGTCAAAACTTTGACTTTGAAAATAACACCAATGTTTCCATTTTACAAACCCTTCTCCTGTAGGTACTGCTCCAAACAATAGAATGTTTAGCGGATACAAGATGGGAATTACGAAGAATGGGACAACAGGTGGGTACATCATGTTTACAGCTTTTTCCTTAGGAAAATGGGTTTTCGTGGAGATCAAACTGAAAGTGACTGCAAACTCTGATTAACCATTTTTTCTGGATGAAAAAAAAAACCTTATGGTGAGTATGAGAAAGTTCTGCCTCTATTAAACACTTAATGACTGGTCTCGAGGGAAACAATTAATTTTGTCTCCTGAGAATCTCAATGTTTCCCGAGGCGAAGCCGAGGCAAAGTTGTTGGCCAACATTTCCGGGTAACAGAGCACTCTTATTCTCTGACCTCATAGACTTTTACAATGTTGTCCGCTGAGAGATTTTGGCGGGAAACAGTTTCATTGTTGTATGTCATGTGACCTCGAAGTAACCAATGAGAGCGCGGGCTGTTGGAAAAACATTTCCAGCTACATAACAATAGCGGATGTTGTCTACTTAAATATTTAATGTGAAATGACAGATAGCACTGACCCTGGCATTATATTCAGAAGCCTCTCCTTTTCATTATAATAGACGCTATACTGAGGTGCTAGAAATGAAGTATCTGTATACAAAGGGTTTCCTTATTTTGTTGAAACGTTCGCAATCAACATTTAATTTCAAAAAATGTTTTTTCTAAGATGTGGCCCCTTAGTGGAAATCGTCTACAAGTTTTCTATCAATAGATATTGTCTTTACTATTCTATTTCTACTATTCTTGCAAATACTCTTAGCCATATGTTTATTATCTGTTCATTTAGGTCTTACCACTTGTGACAGAAGTTGTAAGATGGTTTGATATGAAGCCCTTAGAAATCCTTTGGGATAATTACCTTTCTCGTGAGCACACTTTGCTGTGTTACGGTAGCTGTATTGCATTGAGGTACTCCATTCTGCACGCTGGTCGATTAATACACTTTCTGGAACAGCCACCACCAAGCTGGAAGGTACGAATTTAAGGGTCGGAACTACTGGAGATTTCGCCTGGCTATCAAATGGAATAATGTATATTTGTCAAATACTTTTCTGTTTTCAGGATCCAGAGAGTTGCGGTCGAGCAGCGCTAACAGTTGTGGCTGAGATTCAGCGGGGACTAAAGAGATGGTTGAGTCAGGTGAAGATTTTTAAAGGTGGATTTCCACTGTTGCGTAATTTTTACGTAAGTACACACGTAAATTTTACGCGCGTAAATAAAATAGAGGCAATGTATGGGAGGTCACGCGTAAACGTAAAAGTTGAACCCCGCTCAACTTTTACGTTATCGCGCGTCGTTTCATACATTGCCTATATTTCATTTACGCACGTGATTTTTATGTGCGTTCGCACGGAAAAGTTACGCCACAGTGGAAATCAACCCTAAATCACCTTGTATCTTGATGAGATGAGAAACTTATCGTACCACACTTCTGTGGGAATAATTCTGCAAACACCTTAGATCTGTGGAAATGTTTGGTAAAGAGCCCTTTCTATTTTGTCAGTCGTAGCGTGAGAAAAAAAGCTGACTTCTGCGACGCCACTAATGGTTTCCATTCCGCGAAATGACGTCTGAGGGGCGAGCGCAAAAATGCCATACTGATGATGACTTGTTACAACCCAGTTCTGCAAGCGCACGTAAAATTTACTTGCGTAAATGAAATCAGAGGCATTGTATGAAAGGCCACGCGTAAACATAAAAGGTGAGTGAGGTTCAACTTTTATGTCTACGCGTGAGCATCCATGCATTGTCTCTATTTCATTTACGCGCGTAAAATGCCTTAGACGTTTAAAAGTGGTGGTTCCAGGGAACAGGCACCTTAGTGTCCCCTTCCTCAGTCCCCCTCTCGCTTCGCCTCCATCTTTTCTCCTCGTTATTCGCCCGTTTTCCTTTGCGCTCCTGTTTACATCAAAGATGTGATCAAACGGTGCCAACCAGTGCGTGAGCTTAGGTCATCTCACAAGAACTTACTTGTTACCTGTGAATTCAATTTAAAATCATATGGCTGGCGTGCCTTTTCCGTTGCGCACCATGTCTTTGGAACAGCTTGCCCGAAGACATTAAGATTTCCAGTTCTATTGTCACTTTTAAAAGTAGATTGAAGACTTTTCGTTATTTCTTTTTTGTTCTCAGCGTTACCATTTTAGTATTTTTGAGTAGTTTTTCTTAATTTTTATTGTACATAGTTTTTCATTGTTTTTATTCTCATTTGAATTAGTTAGTCTTTGTAAACAGCGCTTTTGAATCCAAGAGAAAAAGCGCTCTATAATTCCATAATAATAATAATAATAATAATAATAATAATAATAATAATAATAATAATAATAATAATAATAATAATGATAACAAAGCTAACTATAAAATCCTATTTACAATTAATTTCACTTAAAAAAAAAACTATTCCGTCCAAGCACTATTTACATTATTCCTTTCGATTAAAGGAAGACACTTAATTTCGATTGAAAAATAATAATTATTATTATTATCATTAATTTTAATACAAAACTTTATTCATAGATAAAAAAAAAAAAAATAGACTATTTACAGATTCAAGAATATGAAATATTCTTGAATCATAATAATAATAATATTAATATAAGAATAATAATAATAATAATAATAATAATAATAATAATTATTATTATTATTATTATTATTATTATCATTATTATCATTATTCCTCACCGAGAAGACTGGTTCTAGGCCACCCAACGTCAAGGTTTCAGGGCGGAAAAACGTTCTGCGCAAGGTTCTGCGCATCCTTTATCGCAGGCTCAAGGCGGGCTTTTCTGTGTGTTGACTGTGTTCGACAGTTTGTTTGTTTGTCACTGAGAGAGTTCTGACTAAGACTGAATGAAATGCACAAGGTGTGAACGTTTGCTCCTCGAAAAGCCTTTTTACTTTTGTGTGGTTTTTGTTTTTCGTCACTTGAAAATTACTTTGGACTCGGAACAACCAATGTTAAAGGAAAAACGGATCATTCCTTCAGTCTGAGGTGGAATAAAGAGTTTTGAACATTTCCAAAGAGGCGAGTATTTTTTTGATTGTTCATTCGATTTATTTGTGAGTTGATTTCGCCTTCTTTTGCCGGGCTGAATTAAAACCCACTTTTTTTAAAATTAGTAAATACTTTTTCACATGCCCAGATTTATTCCCTTTGTAGAACCAGCTTTATCCTTCTCTTCAGTCAAAGAACCATTTTGTGCGCCGTAAAACTTTCTCGGAAATACCGGTAAAAGGCCAGTAAACTTACTCTAGAAGAAAAGAATCATTTTTCTGTTACTCAAATACCATAAGTAGTCAGAGTTTTCGTCACTTTTAATTACATAGTTTTGTTTTCCACTGCACTGTGAAAGTTTCTGTTCTTTGTAAGAAATAACTTTCTGTACGCAAATTTTCCATTTCACTCGCTGTGAAGTAGAGGACAACTGCCGGCAGTGACTTCAAAACAATTGACTCTGCCCGTAACACTGAATTGCTGGAGCTGGATTTGTCTGAAGCGAGCAAAACAAATACCCTTATGTGCAGTTTTCTGAATTTTGTAACGACTGGCTGAGTTTAATTTGCTTGAATGAAGACCCTCACATGGACCAGTTATTCACTGAGTTATTAAAGCGTGGAGAAGCTACATAGTGAATCATGGTTTAGCTGCGAAGCTCACTGCAACTGATCTTTTGCTTTTAACATATTTAGGTAGGTTGTTTTCGTACAAAAAATTCATTTCTTCATTGTCAGCAAGAAGTTTTTGCAATAATGTAATTTTAACTTTGTTTGAAGGAAATCCTACTTACGTGTAGGTTTTTGACAGATGTTATGCATTTTCAACTTGACAACACAAAGCGTAATTTATATTTATCTCTTAGTACGCGAAACGATCAAGTTTAAAAATAAACTATAGTTGCTTTAAAACCGATTTTTGGGAAGATTTTACTAGATAAAGATTGACCTTTTTTCTGCCCGCATATCAACGCAATAACTTCTACATTGAGGATTTTGTTTATATTTTAGTTATCTGCGAAACTACGAGTGTCCGATCGAGCGAGGGTTTTAAAATATCAGCTCGAGTGCGACAAGTTCAGTGCCTTCAAACACATTGTGGGCAAGCGTTAATTTTTTGGGGCAAATCACTGTCCAAAGATATGTTGTTTTTGTGTCCACAGTGGAGCTCCGGACCTTATATATCCAGGAACTTCCTTATATGAACACATTTTGTGAATGCATCTTGAAAAAAATCGGACCTACGCATGCACATTTCCAGTACAACGCAAGGAAATTGATGTCGTTAAAGTCCGTTTTACTATGAGGTATTCTTCGAGAAAATTAAGAAACCACAAGGTTATAACCACAGCTTGCAACTTTTGAAGACAAATTGCCTGTTTTTTCCAGGTTATGAGTGGAAACATCTTATTTTTAGGCAATAAAATATTTGAAATCCCGCCATTTTTTCAAACCCGGCCAGGGGATCTGGGCAAAAAAGTTCACGCATGCTCAATACGTTTTTCCGCCCTGAACGTCAAGGTCACCATGGAACGGGAAAAGTCGGGGAACCGTTTTCTTTTCGTTGTAATTATTGGCAAAACGTTGACCCGTAACTGTACTGTTATATTCGAGTCTCCAGGTTCTTGGGATACTTAAAGATCCGTGCTTCGATAAGCTGTCAGTGGTTGCTATGGAAACAATAATGATATCACACATATGTTTTCCTCTTGAGCCAGACGAATACCAACAGGTTAGAAAAATGCACGTAACAGTCGAATCCTTCTAGTGATGATTACCAAATTTCTCCCTCTAGTATCGATGCTTTATAAGTCAGAGAGGTCATGAGAATTACAGTCAAACAGGGAAAACCGTGAACACCAGAAATATTTCTGGAATGTTATTGTCTTGCAAGAAAAAAGCCAATCAGGCTTGAGAAAACTAAACCGCAAGCAAGAATGTTAATTAGTTTGGTTTTTGGCCAGTTCGCGTGTCCTGATCTTTACTGTGACTTGTCATAACACAATAAACATTCCTGAGATTTTTCACTTGTTCACAGTTTTCCCGGTCGCACTGTAAGTATATGATCACATAGGAATAATTCGCCCCGATATTCTGACAAATTCTTCCCACTATTTCCACAAGAAACGTTGGAGGTAAGAAAGGAAATATTTTGCTAAATAACGAGCGTTGCATCCCTCGCGAGCAGACAATTGGTCATGGTCCAACCGACACCTCATATTACAGTGGGCTTTTTGATCCTGTGTGTCTACCTCTGGGAGGTTCGACTGTATTATGAAACTCTAGACTCGTTTGTGGTTTATGGTTTTGTTTTGTTCACAAAATTGGTATCATTGAAAAAAGTGGGCCCCAGTTGAAAATTCAAAAGTTTATATTTCTTTGACCTGCACTTAAGTGAAAAAATAAAGGAAATTCTCTTTAGGAGATTTCTCCGATTGTAATCAATGGTCGAACGTTTCAATCAATCCGATTATTTCCAATGATCGACTAAAAAATCTCAGCCGATTCCCAACACTATTTAAGACCCCTGTTGTTGGTCCGTCCGTGCTTTGGGCCAGCAACTTCCCGCTCTGCAAATCAGCGATTCTTCATCTGGGGAAAACGGGTACTTCCTTGAGCAAGATGAAGTGCCAGCGTGTCATTTAAGAGCTCAAGTTATCATGAGTATTAAGCAAACAAGCTGCATAGTGCTTTCACATACTTTTTTGAATGCTCTGTATTGGTGGGAAGTGGCTGAATTTAGATGATATTTCCTTATCCATGCCACGTCTTGACTCCGCAATACCATTCACTATATCCACGTCTAATTTCATGACCTAGTATCATCGAACGATCTCTTTTTATCTTTACAGAAATTAAAAGAAGAAGAAACAGTTTTAAACAAGATTTTGTTTCTTTATATGCACTCTTATCCCGACACGCCTCTCGGTAAGTTGTACTGTCTTTTCTTCAGCTTCTTTATTATATATTGGAAAAAAATGTTAAAAATACCAGCATTTAGAGTAGTCACCCACTCAAGTTTATTTGGAATGGCACTGAAGCATTACTGAGCGCGATATAAAGTAATTAACCCTTTAAGCCGTAAGAGTGATCAGCATCAAATTTCTTCTTGTAATATCAATGCTTTGTAAAACAGAGTGGTCATGAGAATTAAGGACATGATCACACAAGATGAATTTGCTTGATATTTTATCAACTTCTCCCCACTACCTCTGTAGGAAATTAATAGGGTCAACAAATGAGAATTCAAATTTTGCCTTCTCAGGGTTTAAAGGGTTAATACATTAGGATGTTGTATCCGTTGCATTTTAATTTCTAAAGTGCTCGAATGAACACAAAATGTTGTATATATAAGATATTTAATCTTATCGCGTAAATGAGTTCCCCCAAAATAGGAAAATCACCTGTCTGCAACTCTCCGAAAAATTCTGTGCCAAACGGTAACTTCCTTTTTACTTATTCAGTCTGGATATAACCGCGTTTGTTTTCTGTCATTGTGGTCGTTGTTTTGACTTTTCTTAAGAGCAAAGTATAAAAGTTAAATGATGCTTTTTACCATTGTATAAAGATATGCTACAACTAATGATAAAAATCATCATGATGAAAACTATATATAAAAGTACAGTTGGTAAAGGAAAGCAATAGGGGGAAACTGAATTCCCATATAAAAACTGCTCTCCACATAAATGTAATGAAAATGTTTGAATTTGGTCTCCAAGCTGTATGAACAGTAAAGCATTGAAATAGTTATTCGCCGTGCTACCGAGGCAGACAAATGCACGGTTAGTTTGAATTGAAGATGCTCATGTCTGGTTAATGATCTCCATGGTGATTATCATTCAGATTGAATCCACTGTGAATAGACCCTGGAGGGCAGTTTCCAAAAAAAAAAACAACAAACACAAAAAATGAATTGCTAATCCGTGAATTTCAATGCGATTTCTTTTGTTTTGCTCCCCTCAGCCTCTGAAACATGTCTGAATTTTGATAAAATGGCCAGTTTTTGAAAGTGGAAATGATCCTCGCTTTGAATAAACAACCTTAACTGTTGAAAAAGAACCTGAAAAAAATTCAGGCCAGTTTGTTGATATGTTCAAAATTCAATGTATGTAGTGCTTTAAAACATTATAACTGGGTTACCTTCTGAAGAAACTGATATACAGCCTTGCTTGGAGAACGAAACACTAGATTTTGGTTTATGAACTGAGTTGAAAAACTACTGTATTGAATGGGCCGGTGTAAATGGAGGCTTTCCACGATGGCCAATGTGCTTTATCAAAGCAACCGCCATAATTGTTTTAGTAGTTGTATTCGCAGACGTAAAACATTATAGTCGATGGAGCTCCGTTACAGGGCGCGTAAGAAAGTTTCCCCGCTGAATTTTAAAGACTTAATTAATCTGAAAGAGCTGTTGGACATTCTTTATTAGAATAGATGTAATAACAAAAAACGCATTGCTTCTCTTTCTGCAGATTGCAAGTTAGAGTGATTTTACTTAACCCATGAAATAGGTAGTAGAATACTATGCACCATTATGCACCAATTCTGTTGTGTTCTTTTGTTTATTTGTAGCTGTTTTGCAGTAGTTGTTAACTGTTTCACGGGTCAAGTAAAGTCGCCCTATTAGATTTTTTTCTTACGACATATTTGCAATTTCGACTTGACAGAAAATTTTGCGACATGTTAATCAATAAATGCCCCGAAACTTAAATTGATTTATTTCACAGGATGAAGTTTTGGCGAAACATTAAAGTTGGTGTCACAAAAAGTAGTTCAGTTTGATGACTCGCGTCTCTTTTTTGGCAGGTGCTGTGTTGCAAAAGTGTTCAAGTTTGGAATTCCAATCCCCGTTTATTCCACCTTCCGAGGGTTTTCTAAGGTGCGAAAATTGTGTTTAATTCCCTAGATTTGTTGTTGACTGGCGCAAGATAAAGATCCCGTCGACACACATCCATTTTTGCATGAAAACGGTTTTTTTTATCCAGTTTGGCCTACCGTCTACACGTATCCGGTGATATCCACTTTGCAGTACTCTTGTGGCTGGATGAAAACCAGTGGCGGATCCAGGAGAGGGGCCCGAGGGCCCCGCCCTTACCCCCTTATTTTTAGACCAAACGCGAAAAAAATTTTGAGACTTAAGATGAAGATTTAATATAAGGTCTTAACACTAATAATAATCAAAGGTTACGAAGTGCGAGCGACAACGATCGAAGGTCGAAACGCGTTTGCTCCATCGCTGGCTTTGCGTAATAACAACCTAGAGATTAGGATTGCGGGGTCCTCTTGTCGCCCGCAATAAACTGGTTGAAAATGAAATCAGGATCCTTCCTCTGAACTGTGAAGTCAGTAATGAGGTTTTATTTTTTGTTAATTCTTTGTCGAAAGTGTGTGGCATTGACAAAAATTCATTTCTGCAAATGGCGACCGTTTTGTAACGTTTTTGAAAAGAGACGCAAAAAGCCTACATGTCGTCGTCATCGTGACGCCATTTTCAATTTGTTATGTGCTCATATAGGATAATAACGGAGGAACTAAAAAAAAAATTAAAACAAACGCTTGCGTTGCGTGGACAGAGTCCATTTGCATGTTATTGGCATGCTTCAACCCACCCTAAACGGTAAAACTGACTGCTGACAACGAAACGCCGGCTTTTTACACTAAATTTTCCACTGATATTTAAAGACGTTTACTGCAATTAACATTTATGGCCAGCTGTTTTTGATCTACCAAGGCCCTTTGGGTAAACGGGTGCTAGGTAGAATCTACTAAAGTAAACCTTTTGATTTGTAGCTTTTCAGCAAGACCATCCACAAGCCAGCAACATGCACAACAGGTGAGAAATTTTCGGTGGTATAATTCGCCTTTTTTGCGCTTTTGGGATGAGAAGACAAAACCAATTAGAGACCTTTTAAAATAGTTTGCCTGTGGTAACCCGCGCCCTGTTAAAAATAATGTTGGTTATTCAAACGATCGAATCAGTATCAGATATTGAACATATTTTCCCTGAAACCAACAATAACAACAGTGTTTGTCTTGTTAGTTATCCTTAAATTAAGTGATAATTTCGGAGTAAGCTGCAGATTTCCCTTTTGTTGTGTTCTGCTCTTTTGTTTCGTTTCTTTTTTGTTTTCTTAATTGTAGCGTAGAGGCCATAACCTAGAGCAAAACTTGGTAATTTTATTATGTGTGATAATTCTGGCCTTGACAGTCCTCCTATCACAACACCCCCCACCCCCCACCCTTGTCCCATGTCCTTTCAGACAATATTCGTCGGAGGGGGGGGTGAAGACAGTAGATACAACGTATTTGCACTACAATTTTTCTTTTCTTTATTTATTTATTAGTTTGGTTTTTGGTCCCTTTTAATTGTTTCCTTGCCTTGTAGCCATAAACTGTTTGTCACAACCAGTTTTAATCCCTTAAAGGAAAATTTTTTCCCATTAGGCCTAATTCCCCCCTCCTGTTTTGAAGATGGTCCCTGTACAGACAATAATTATATCATACGTGGATAGTGGATACGTTTTGGTAAATCCCGATGTTTTGCTTTACAGGCCAGCAAGCTCCTAATCTCTGAGGTCCACTCCGTTCTTGCGAGGTTCCTGAAAGAATGTGATGCAGATCAGCTGGTGAGGACATTATCTTATCAAATTCAAAATGCCTTCTCGAGAGCTGAGTAAATACATCGGCGCTCGTAATAACATGAACGTTGCAGTTGACGAAGATGAGTGGATAATGATAGATACTATTCGTCGCGGTATGTGTACGATAGGGATTGTATATCGTTTGTTTCATTATAGTCACTTTGCTATTGATCGCGACGTTTACGACTGCGTACATATACTGCGGACTGGTTTTCATCAAGTGATGGGACTTACCGCCGTGGTTGCTGGTGATTGGTGCATTACGAAACTCATTTAGAATGAGAGTTTTCGTGCTTGTCGAGTCCAAGAAAAATACCTCTTTCTTGTGGTTGTAGTTTGTATTAATCTATCCATTTTCAAAGAAAATATAGAACGTTTTAACGTTTAGACACAACTCTTAGATTATTCTTACTTTCCCTTAGTACTGCTTGTTTCTCTACACTTTGCTAAATTAGTTTTTGGCGCGCAAATCGTTCATTCCAACGTCTTGGCTAACAGTTAAAAGCTGACAGCAGGGTATTGCTATATTCACACAGATCATGATATTCCCAGTCTTAGTTCATTACATTGGACAGTTCTTTGAAGATTCCGCCGTGTGTAGGGCGTTGCTGGACGGGTGAGTTGTTTTAATTCGATGTAGTCTTCTCAGCAGCCATTGATTCAGATATGTCCAGGATGGACATCACGAAGTATTCCTTAGCCCTAATCCTCACCAGAACGCAAGCAATTTGTTTTTTGTCTACATGAAGTCACATGGAAATTAGAGATCACTTTGTCGAATATGAAGTACCTTAGTTCAGAACGAGGCCAATGATCAAGATGGTCAATTAAGGATTTATTACATGGCCGAGAGAGAAGGTTTTGGCGGAACCAACACATGAAAACCCGAGCGGGGAAGATGGGCCCATTTTCCCCACTTGCGGATTCAGTCGTGTGATAATAGGACCATTTCTACGTGGAAAAATAAGACGCGTCTTACATAGGACGTGTCTTAAATAAGACGCGAACTTTCCGTATAAACGGCACATTTTGTCTAAAATAAGACGCGACTTAGCTAAGACGCGTCTTATTTTAGAACAGCCCTTAACACCTGTTTTTAGATAAGACGCGTCTTAGATAAGACGCGTCTTAGCTAAGACGAGAAAAACTTCGTATAAATGACCTTCGCGTCTTATGGAAGACGCGAAGGTCATTTATACGAAGTGGAAAAATAAGACGCGTCTTACATAGGACGTGTCTTAAATAAGACGCGAACTTTCCGTATAAACGGCACATTTTGTCTAAAATAAGACGCGACTTAGCTAAGACGCGTCTTATTTTAGAACAGCGCTTAACACCTGTTTTTAGATAAGACGCGTCTTAGATAAGACGCGTCTTAGCTAAGACGAGAAAAACTTCGTATAAATGACCTTCGCGTCTTCTATAAGACGCGAACGCATAGTACACATGCGTTAATTTTTGGCGCGCCACGTTGGATTGATGTTGCTACGGGCAACATTCACATGAAAACGAGTCAAGAAGAGAAATAAGACGCGAACCATTTATGCGAGCTGTTCTCGTCTTAGATAAGACATGCCCGTATAAATGGTACAGTTCTCGTCTTATTTAAGATGCGTTTCCTCGTATAAATGGCCCTATTATAGGGAGTTTAAGCAACAACGTTTTTGAGCGAGGAACGTCAACCGGAGGTGGACTTTTTGCACTCTTCAGCCGTATTTTTGAACAAATTCGTGGGCAAAACGTCTGTTTAAGAGTAAAGACACTTAGCAATATAAATTTGGTAGCGTCAAGATAAATCAAAAGAGAAAAGCGCTCACTTCCGGTTGACGTGCATCGCTCAAAAACGTTGCTGCTTTAACACCCTACTGACTGGTAGCCCCTCTGTCTCCACCCCAGATATTTCTGAAACCTAAAGGAGCCTTGTGTTTTTGTTTCCTTGACTGCAGCTGATAATATCTCTTGTTTACTTTCTTCTTAGTTTGTACATTATTTTATATCGCGTTGAAGAAATGCACATGCATGGAGATGACGGGTAAGAAATTAACTTCATTTAACTTTCTTACGACAACAAATTTCAACTGTGTAATTAGAGTGATAAATTGTGCCCCCTTACATGAAAGCGACAGAGCAGTGTTTTCCTCTGGTGCTGTTTTTTTATGCCATACAGGGTGTTTCTAACTTTACAGTCTGAAAGAAATTCTGAAGTGTGATTAGTACTTTCCTGTGGTAGTGCTTATTATGCTGTACAAAGGGTTCTACCTTGGATAAAATCTTAAAGTGTGACCTTTCAGATGAAAGCTGCTGAGCAGTACTTTCCTGTGGTGTTGTTTATTGTGCTACACAAAGTGATTCTAGCTGCTATCTTTGGATGAAATAGTTCAATTCTACATTCATTCTACATTCATTCTACATTCATACATTCTATGGTGCATTTTTTTTTTTACACTTCTTAAGAAGGTGTTTCTACTTTCATCTTCTTTTGTGGCTGAACATTTACGTCAAAGCAGCAAAGCATGCCTTTGTGGAGTATTGTTTCGTTACTGTATTTTCGGTGCTCTTGTCCTAAATTTTGGGTCTATGAATTTAAACCTAAAGCGGTCGTGAACAACACAAATTAAGTCGTTGAGCAGACCTTCTCCTGTGGTACTGTGTTGGTAATTTAACGTTGTATGCTTTCTTTCTTTTTGAACCTGATTCCGTGTTTGACTGTCACTTTTACATTTGCAGAGAGGAGCCGTTACATTCATTGGTGCAGTCGTATTTTGATTTCGCCTTGTTGAGCCTCACTGAAGTTATCAGCACCAAGGTCAGGCTTAGGTCACTTCGTACGAGGGCCGTTAGTTTAACAGTTACCCTTGTCTGCCCATATTCAGTATTTCAACTGTTTTCATGATGGCGGCGGCGATCAATGTACCTCAGGGTCGCGCTTTCGTTAAAAAGAGGCTTCTGTGCCTTATAAGCTCAGTTGGGAGAGCGCCGGTCTGCTGAGCGGTAGGTCGCGGGTTCAAACCCCTGCCGGACCAACACTCAGAGTGAGGAGAAAGTGCTGCCTTTGCAATGACATCTGCAAACGGTTAGACTTTCTTAATTCTAGTCTTCTCGGATAAGGACGAAAAACCCGTAGGTCCCGTCTCACAGCGCTTTCTCTCATCTGGTTCTTGTGGGACGTAAAAGAACCCACCCCACTGTGGTGGTGTCACCAACCTCTCCTGGGTTGGGTGGGTCATAAGTAACGGCACATTTAAATTGGAACCCCCCTCTGTTGTGTGTCCCGCTCCGCACCATGTGGTGGAGGAAGTGATTAACTAAGTTACCAAAGTTTCGCTATTAACTTAAAAATTGCAGCGGCAGTTGGTACATTTTCATACATTGCCTTCTGCTCTTGTTCCTGTGGCTAGTTTTGTTCTGTGGTCGTGAACTTTTTGTGCGTTAAAACTATTTTTTAAACTCTCCCACAGGAACTAGAAATACAGTTGGTGCGAGAAGTCCTTGAAGTGTTTATCAGAGTGTGCATTTTTGTGGATCAACCCACGTTCCTTGGGTTTGTGTTTAGAGCCATCAGTAGCAGACTAGATTACGTGAGTACTGTACGGCCTGGTTCTCTGCCATATTCCGCCAGTCTACCTGCCAGTGTCTCCTAGGATACTAGGCACCTAACGATGCGACAAGGGCGACGTCAGTTAAAACGTCGATAAAAAGTAGACTGTGCATTCTCTCTATTTTTCTTGCGATTCTTCTAATTCACCTTGTTAGTTAAATGATAGGAAATTAGGTTGGAGCTGAAGTGAGGGGGCTGCGTTCAAGTTCTGACAGAGCTAGTAATATTTATCACCTTGCCGTTCCCGTTCTCAAGTAAACTTAAAAGTTGGTCATTTCACGTCGTTTTTTGTGCAGGGACGGCAAAGACATTTGCAAAAAAGCGTGATGCACTTAGGGGGTTATTGTTTTTCTTATTAAACCTGTTCAGCTTCTCTTTTTAAGTAGTCTCTTGGTGTGGAAGAAGGGCGCAATCACCAAATGACGTAATACAAAAGACTGAAAAGGCACTGAACAAACCCACACCACAATTCAGTACCTAACCAACAATAGTTTCCGCAACGCCAAGAAACACCCCTTTTCTTAAGGTGATGGTACACGAGACGATTCTCAACGACGATGCTTAGCGCAACACAGCGTTGCAACATTGTTGCGACGTTGTTTCGAATTGTTCCAACATTGCAACGCTGTGTTGTGCTAAAAATCGTCGTTGCGAATCGTCCCATGTAACATCACCTTTAGACCGTCGAGCGAAACGCGCGAGGGGAGAAAATGGCCATGCACGCGACTTTGCCGTTTGCGTTCCACACCGTATGTGACTGATTTTTGTTTGTGATGTTGACAGGAACCTGACCTTGTTCGTTTAATGAGCGAGGAGGAGGGTAGTAACAGATTGAATGATACGCCCGACTTACTGATCTTGTCCAATGATATCCCCGCCAGTCCAGCTGAGGAGCTGGTTATAACAGGAGAAGACGAGGATGATCCAGGTCAGTATCTACTGTCGTCTCATTAGGGCAATCCACAAGCAGTGCCTGTAATACCATCAAGATATGGGATACTCAGCCCGAGGCGGTAGGAGCGGGGAGCTCCTGGAAGAGAGTTAGTTCATCGGTGGGCGGTGCGCATAAAGAAACATATGAAACACCGAAAAGCCTGAGCACGCTATTATGAAGAGAAACTGACGTATATAAGAAACCTACAATGTATAAACCTTTATTTTTTTATATACACATAATTGCAATAAGGTTGTCATAGAAAAAAGCAAAAAGCAAAAAGCAAAAATTTAAATAGGAATTAATTAGCATGTAATTATCATAGCTTGCAACATTCACAACACACACGCTTACAGCTCAGGTTTACAGCTGAATATTAATCACGTAATATGAGAGAAATCATTTGCATCAGTTTCTTACTGTCATTCTCATGCAATTCAAGGCTGAATCATCTAGCGAATTTCAAACGTGCTCGAATTACAAAGCACATCGGATAACTACCAAAGAAATGATGGCTTCATTTTTTATAAATAAATATAGCCTGGGGTAAATTCCAGGAACTCAACGCGTGTTTTAGATTAGTGCTAAATAGAAAAGCCAGTCTGCTTATGGTTTGTAGTGCACAACACCATCTGATCACGATTTTCAAGCAACAAAGCGTAGGCAGGACTTTTCATTGTGGAGAGGGTGAGGGGGTCCTCCGCCAGTTCCTCACCTGAGCCACAAACCAAGCTTCGTTTGTCAGGACATAAAAGATTGGCGACTGAACGTGCGACAACTGAGACATAACATTGCTCGCGTCAATTTACCTTTTTCTTTCTCGAATTGTGCGACTTCCTTTGATGGAGAATGTTGGCTCTAAAATGACTATGGCGCCTGTCTATCTTGCAGCGCGGAATATACAGAATCATCTCTTGCTATTGTGAATGAATTCTTAAATAATTGTTAAATACTGAATTAAAATACGCAAATGTAAATCACATGGCTAATTTATTCCTATTTGGCTTTTTGGCTTTTTGTTTTTTTTTCTATGACAACGTTATTGCAATTAGGTGTACCTGGTATTAAAGATTTTTTGTTGGTCGGGGTTTGCACAGAATCCGACACTCCTCACTGTTTGTACCGGTTGTTTTCCCTGTATTGGTGTTTTTGATACATTGTCCTGTTAAATGACTGTACTGATCTAAGAAGTAAGAAGCGAACCCACTGGTCCCTCCAGAAATCTTGTGTTTGCTATTTGGAACCTACACTTATTGATTTTATTGGTTGTGAGAAAAACGCTTAAAAAGATGTTGTTATTGAGACATCTTGTTTACGGGACTACTGCACACAATTAAGCGCAATTTTGTTGCATTATAGGTGGTTTTCACGTTACGTCATCGCCGCCATGCTGGTGGACGGTAAACAAAAGATCGCTCATTAGCTCGCTTTGTTTGTCCACCAGCATTTGTTCATTTCACCATTGTTATTTGTGTCTCCCGAGATTGCTTGAAAACCACCTATTGACGGAAAGGCCCGATAACCTTCCTTAGAATTATATAACAATAGAAAATGAATACGAGAATCCCACAAAGAAGGCGCGTGAATGGCAATTAGTCAACAAAGCTCATACGATGTGCATTAATGTAAATAGTGACACCCCAGTGCGGTTTGTCAAGTTGATCTCAGTTTTCATGAGAGTGTGACCTTAACCTATAACGCGCGGGAACTATTCAATATTTCTTTTCCTTTTCTTTTTTTTTCTTTTTCTGCTGGTATTGAAGTTCCTTGAATCCAGTCCGGCTGTGCTGTAACTAAGCTCGTTCAACAGCAGCCAAACCCTCTTGTTGGGGCAACCAATGGGCAATGCCCAGTGTCCACATTATTGAGGGGTTCGTTTTAAAGAGATAGAAATTGTAGGAAGTTTGGTATCTTTGGCACCAAGAAAACCGTCTGTAACAGTGGTGTTCGTATTTTAGAGGTTCCCTAACGAGGGGTTTGAATGTTCTTCTTCAAATGACGACGGGTCAACGACTAGGTTACAGTGTCTTCTTAACTGGATATTAAACTGGCATCAACTGTTTTGTGTTGGTTTTTTTAGACACCGGCCGTTTAATGCAGGAGTCAGTAGCCTTGGACACCTCTCACGAGAGCAGTCGAGGCACTACGCGGCTACCCAGTCCAGAGCTAGGCGCCGACGGTGACGAGTTTTCCGACTGGGACAGCTGGGAGGGTGATAACGAGGTACGCAGCTTTAAATGGAAATTCATTCTTGTAAAGCATGTGCAGTATTAATGACATATTTAACTTGCTAGCGAGGTCTCCCTCAAAACGCAAAGTGAAGGGGTGTAGCGCGCTAGCGGAGAGGTATCAAAAACAACTCACGCGTAAGAAAGTCGAGATGAGGGTGAAAGCTTTCCGCATAGTGCACAATATAGATCAGACGTGGGCATAAATAAACACAGCCAAATTGAGATCCTTTATCTCTCGAGACGAGTGTTTTATGCCCTTTTTTTATATAAAACACAGTAATTGGAGGACCCGTCTAGGTTAATTTACGTTGCTCACGTTATTTCCCTACCACCAGTTTAACTACTGCCCACGATTTTATGGCGCGACAAGGGTTGGCATCGAGTTGCAATTCCCAAATCACGCATGTAAACAGTGTAAACAGCGATTTCAGCGTTATTTGTCGGATTGTCAAATCCAAGTTGCCCCAAAGTGAGTTTAGTTTTAGTTTTGTTTAGTTGAGATTGGATTTTTTCATTTAGTGTAACTTCACAGCGACAATCGCATGCAAATGTCAGTTTTCTGTCCTCCATAATTTATTACAAGCAACTGATTAGTATTAGTTAATGTAAAGAGGACACGTGCTGTTGTCCAGTCATTTGCCTCATCACGGTACGTTGTTCACAAAATTGCAGACAGTTGGTACTAAACTCTCTGATCCGCAAATACTGCTACCCTTGTCGCGCAACAATTAATTCGCCCGTGTAAATGGCCCCTGGCAATCTAACAATTTACCATCGACTAAGCGTCAGGAGAAGAAAAAGAGATGGTTTTCAGATTCTTGTGCTTGAGCTTCTTCTTAAACGTGTGTTTTAAAAGCGCCACATAAGCAAAGTTTTCATAGCCCTCAGACAAAAGGCGTCGTGGCTTGTTTGAGGTAAATGGTAAAACGAAAAATAAATACCAAGGCTAGAGGCCACACGTGTGGATTATTGTGTTTTTTCTTCTTATCCCAGAATGAAACTGCTCTCATGACGTTGTTCTCGGCGTTTTTGCGCCAGATCAATCAAGTTTACAAGTCAAGGAGTTCCGAAGGTAAGAAATGTTTTAAGTGGAACGGATGTAGGGTCTTAAACCAAAATGGTTGGACTGGTATGTAAACTGAAAACAGAGCACTACGAAAGTAGGGAAAAGATTAAGTTGTTCGTTTGACAAGTACGTTAACAGTTCAGTGTCGTGAGGTATTTATTTATCGTGTTTGTGTTATCGTTTATCACTTGTCTCACAATAGCCACTCACTTATTGATCGCGGCGTTTTGAACGCGTACTGCTGTTTTTTATCAGGCGATGGTGTCAATTTACTGAGTGGGGCTATTAGTACCACCGTGGTTACTAGTGATTGGCGCATCACAAACCTCTCATGGTTGGTGGGTTTGTTCCGGCAAAAACTGGTGATATAATGGTAACTATATTTTAACTTACTTTTCTATCAGGGCATTCCGTTTTTCAAGAGGAACTGCTTAAGTGCGGAGATACTGAACAAAAGGCTATTGCGAAGTAAGTTGAATTAAATTACCGAACCCTCCTTCTGAGCCTTCAACATGAAACAATTGAAATGGTCAATCCTTGGTACTCCTTCCTGAAGCTGACATGAAATTGGCCTGTCACAAAAATTTACTCGGAGGTTCCAATACGTTAGCTCTTAGCTCGTAGAGGAGACTTGTTATGAAAGGCGGCAAACATCAGAGAGATCATTTTACGTTTCTGGAAAACTGCCTACCCACCCCTCCCTTAAGCCAACATTAACACTTACTTCTCACTTAGGGCAAAATGTTGGCTTAGGGGAGGGGTAGGTGGGCAGTTTCCCAGAAACGTAAAATGGTCCCTGATGCTGCAGTTGCTTTTGGAAGCTCCCTGACGGTGCACAATCCTTTGCTTTCCGTTCAAAAATTGTGAATAAATTTATGCGACGTTTTTATTGGTCAAGAAGATCAAAATGAATGCTATCGAACGCTGTGCACCATCAGGTCCACCAAAACATATAACAAAGGAGTCTGATGGGTTTCAAAACCATTCCACTCTTTTATCTAAGGTTAGCTATTTAGCGTAGATCGAAATTACTTTTACTCGTTTAGGCCTTAGGCTTGACGTAAGTCATCAGAGTCTATCGACTCAGCTGGATGAAAACGTGTGGCTCCCAAAAGAGTCTGGAAAAAAGAGGGCCCGGAGAGGTTTAAAAGTAGAAAATATTGTTAGGAAGTACTTTTCTTTTAGCGCGAAGAGTTCCCACAGCACGAAGAGGTGTATTTTTGTGTAATTTCGCGGAAGGAAAGCCAAAAGTTTGCTCTTAGCGATTTTGTCCGATTCACAGCGATGATTTGTTAGCCCATTTTTTTTGTCGTCTTCATTCGTGGCCAAAGACAAACGCAAAGCTCCAGTCTTGTTAGAAAGTATTTTTAACATAACTGGAATATTTCTTAAAGTTTTCATGGTTATGTCTTTAAAAAAGGAGAGCACAGGGCTTCTTTGATTTTTAGTCCCTGTGCCTCGTGTTTTACTCACTCTATTATCCTTATACTTTCGTTATTTTTTCTATCCTTTCAGCATAATGGCGTTCCAAGGGTAACTTCACCGTTTTTCTCCTCAAGTCAGCTAAGTCATCCTCATGACGGATGAAATATAGGTTGTGCTTCCAGGGAAAATAAGTGAAGACAAGTTATATTTACTCTATTTCTATCATCGGACGCAGAACGTTTTGCTTTTAATAATTTATTTTTAAATCTAGCCCGCTTAACAGCTTTTCCTAACGATGAAGAAACTTTTAGATCTTGGTATTTTACTCTTGTGTTGAGGAGTTATCAAAAAGATGATGATATTGTGAAAGCGTGTTCTTGTACCTTTTCTCAATCAAACACCACCACGCAAATTGGTTAGCTATTGTTGCGGTGGTGTCCCTGGCCCATCTATTTTATTGCGGAAGACTTTCAAATTAAAAGAGACAGATTCATCACTGGTCAGGAGGGAGAATTATGTCATAAACATAACACCTTACCAGTTCAGTGTGCGAGATTTTATCGTATTCCCCGGAGAAAAGAAGGGAGAAAAGAAGGCTCTGCCTGAATCACGTCAAACCTTCGAAGTCGCTGCAGCCCGAACTTTTGGACTAGTCAATCTTGTATTGCCTTGTCAAACTAGTTTTTTTTTTTGGAGTGCGAGCATCCGTCTGTTTATAAACCAATGGTCAAAACTGAGCCCACTGTACCAAGCACACGGCTTTAAGGCCGGGTTCGAAACTGGACCAACATGCAGCGCATGCTCAGCAAAGATCATACTCGATACAGATACAGTGATGCAGTTTTACTCAAGGTGTTTTCTTCATTTCGCGAAGTATTTTGAACACCAATTTTGGCCCGGCGGGATGGGAATTTGATCGACTGAATTCTTTAAATAAAGTTCTAGTGCCCGAGTGGTTGCCCAGGGAGGTATAGCACTGTACGTTAGCAAATCTAAGCAACTGCCGAACAAAAGCGACCGGTGGGCTGGGAGGGAAGCAAAAGCGGCATGTTTAAATACTCCTCTTGTGGCTTTTGTTTCCACAACTATTTAGTTTGAGTCAGGTAAAGGAATGAACTAAGTCTTAAACGCAAATACCTCTTTTAATGCTACTGTTCCTCAACAACAGTTTGGAAGGTTCTATTACATTTTTTGACCTTTAAATACTGATTCAAGATCACATGTGATTGAACTAAAAACTAGTCTGATTAATTCTAACAGGTTTGCCTTTGTATTGTAGTCAGTACGACTTTATGCTGTACCATAGCACTTAAATTTTCCCAGAGTGTGGTAACCGTTCTCGTTATATCGCTTATCACCAGTATCACCAAACCTGAGTTGTTTTACTGGAAGCTTTGTCTTGTCAGTCAGGAAACCGCTGTCTTCACGCCGTACTTGGTCATTCGCATCACAGTTACAGCGTTTTCTTGCTGCGCATGAGTTGTTCATCCCACATGCGCACTTACCACTTCCAGGAGACGCTCCACCCCAATATGTCATCTTAGAAGAATCACGCGACACCCACCATCCGTATGGACTGTTAAACCAGAGACCTGAGTGGTAGCATTCGTACTTGATGAACTGTTCACAGTGTGAAGAGACACTGGTGAGACTGGCCAGCTGAGACAGACTCGCTCCTTTGTAATGAATGTCACGTTTGTAACTGCCTTTATCTTCATATCCTCTCACATTTGTCCTTCTCTCACTGTCGTGACTGATGACTGTCACGCCAAGACCCTTCTTATCTGTCATGTCACAGTACACTATGAATGGTGCCAGTCCTCCATCGCCATCTGGGTCAATCGTATAGTATTTGCTGACACTGCTAATGTATTTCTTGATCTCAGAACAGGATCTTCGGAAGGGATAACGACAGTTAAATCCACTTCCAAGGTAACCAGTCCTACATTTGCATGAATAGGATCCACGTTCATTGGAACATTTGGCAAGGGGATGACAAGAGTGGGTCTTCCTTTCACATTCATTGAAATCTAATTAAAAGAAGATAAATCAGTAAATTCGAATCCAACGCACACATCGTGTATTTCTAAAAACAGTGTGGTATTCGGTCGGGCCAAAGTTGACTTTATGTTTGCCTCTTCCACGCAGTTAGACACTTGAGAGCGGCGCGAACTACACCCCACACCCTGCACCTTACTCTTCCTTTCTCTTTGCGCCGTTCTCAGTATTTGAACACTTTGAAGTACAAGCTAACTCTGTTTCCTTATAAGTAAATTAAGTTCAAAGTAAATGACAAGATTAGTTCGGCAACTTTACAGTGTAAGTCCTACTCCTTTATCGTGTGACATCGTTAGAGATGAAGTATAAGCTGTCTTAATATACCATACGTCTACCATACAGGTCAAGATGAGTGAGTTTTTAGCCAGACCTTTAGAAACGTTCTTACCATCAAACATAAACAAAATCTGCGACTGGAAACAGTTACAACTGAAAACTCCGAACAAGACGAAAAAAACGCTATGCCTTTATAAATTCTTCCTACCTTTCTGGCAGGTGTACTGATGACAGTCACTACAATTCACATCATTCCATTCATAGTTGTATTTCACACCAAGAGCATGCACGCAGTCCTCTTCATTAAAGTTATTTGGCTGACTCTTCGCCCAATTTGAAAAGTTCCCCTCACCGCGATCCGCCCAAGTAAAGTTTCCCTCTGTGAAGATGTCATTCAAGCCCAACCAGGATTTTTCTCCGTTATGACGACGTTGAATGTAAACGTTTTCCTCATCGTTGGCCACATCAACAAGGACCGAGTTTTCCTGACGACATTTGGTAACAGCTGTTGTCCAATTGACGCATTTTTTACTCGTCAAATAGCAGAATCCATTGAAATAGCCCCATCCAGGATCACAGATATCTGTGGAGATGTAAAGTTCAGAAAATGACTTTGCAGCGTATGGTAGTAGGCTAATGCTTTGAGTTGTGTCCAACTTCCTGAGGACTTCATCCATCATAAGAATGGTCACATTTAGTTAAGCAGAGGTCACACCTGACGACTGCGGCTTTTAGCTAATGTCTGTGGGCTATCGCTCTCAGTTATACCCAGACTAACAAAGAAGCATATTCGATAGTCACAACGGTCACGTTTGGTTTAAAGCTTTTAAAACCAGAGGATGATTCATTACTAAGTACATAAGACATCTTTGAACTTAATGTATGTGCCGCTGCACGACGAAAACCGCTACAAATTCAATGATATCTTGCTGCACTGAATTGTTCATAGGTCACTTTTTCACTCTTGATCTACTGACCTGTAAATACCGCATAATTCACTGACACGGGATCATATCTGGTCTCGTACAACTCCTTCACACACACCCTGAACACGGATGCGTTCATGTTCTGCAAGTAAGAATTGGAGCAAGCTATGAAAACTCAATTCACTTCCTTGTGTTGATCTGGGGTACTTACCCTTTACATGGGAAAACCGGACATGAGGATTGGAAGTAGAATGGTCTGGGCCATTCCGTTTGACCGGACTCTTCAGAAGACGTGGGCTGTGGTTTGAGGCGATGCAATTTTTCTTCTCCTTTTACTCCGTTCAGATATACTGTTTGGATATAATTTGTGGCGGGTTGTTCTTCCACCACGAGACATTTTATAGTTTTTTGTCTATGCACAAGATTTCCACCCGGTTGGTTTGTGTAAATGGTGAGCAACCCAGCTGGTTAACACATAGGTCACAAGCACATGTTCACAGGCATAAAAACAAACCTTTTCTTAATGAGGTATCACTAGATCAAGTCATTATCCTATCGAAGCAGACATGTATGTGAGATTGATAGTCGCCTTTTTTTTTCCCTTTTGCTCTATACACTATTTTTTGTTACCTCGATCCATGTTGTAATCCCGTTGTGAATTGGTGCAGAGTTTCCTGGAGCTGTGCTGCTGTGATTTGCTGTAAGTAACACCGAGGGTGTTGTCTTGTAAGTTCTTTCAAACTTCACAGACTGTCAATTAAAGCAAACTTGTTTACAGTTATAAGTAAGACCTCAGTTTAATGAATAAATTGTGTCGAAGCAGTAAATGTTTTTATTTCGGTGTCGCCCAAATAGAGTAATCGAGTAGGCCATTTCCGAGTTCCAAAAAATCTCACTTTCAAAGCGAGGCTAAGTGCGAAGCTATTGATATGAAAGTGATTTTTTAATTATGATGCAAATAAAACTCATTTTCACAACAAAGGTTTCGCACTTAGCCTCGTTTTGAAAGTGAGATTTTCTGGAACTCGGAAATGGCCTGTTCAGTTTGGTTGGTTTGATTCAAAGTTGCAATAGGCACGCAATACGTGCGAACGTAAACAAGCCAAGCGTCTGCCGCGCGCTGTGTCACGACACAGCATTTATCTTCGTGACATACTACCCACAGATAACGTACGGCAAACAAATCGACCATAGAAAACAAACGTTTCGGGAAAACAAGGTACACTGAGTGAAACAAACTATTGAATAATTTAAATTTTCCCTTTGGAAAATAATCTTACTCGAAGCGCACGGTGTGAATGGTTTGTCTTATTGCCAAGTGTTTGACAATATTTTTGCTCTCAGTTGTGGAGCGCCGAAGATGATGTCACGCAAAATTCCATGATCTCGAGCATGAGATAATTAAGGGTAGCACTGAGTGATGCATAATTTCATTGCATACTTTCGGAAAGGACGTGATTTCTTAAAGTCCTATCGAGCAAAATGACCCCGTAAAAAGTTGCATTCTTTCACGGTCGCACCGTAAAAGGGACAGACTCCAATATCTTGACGTGCAAACCGCGTTCTATTTTTAAAACCCTTGGGTAAATTAGATTAAGTCGTATTCTCTCATACACGAACCACGAGAGCGGCAAATTCCACAGCTTTCACATGAAACTACGTGACAGTACAACTTACACTAAGGGCCTGATCTCATGGGTGGGGGAAGCAATGCGCATTAACGGTGTTACCCGCTGTCCTGTTTCTCGCTGGTTCATTCGCCGGGCCGCCTGGCAAGCGTGATTACTTGGAAAATTTCCACCCGGGATCCTAGCTAACCGGGCTAGCTCGGTTGTCATATAATCGCAAAGTTGATTTTTGTTTCGTTTAACTAAGGTGCCGGGATCTCTGCAAAAGGAGGCAGCCCAGCTCATGTAATCAGGCCCTTCGTTCTAGCTAGATTATACGCCCTCCCCTAGACCTCACCGATTTTTCAAAGCCCCGAGCACACACAAAAACTTTCAGCCCCCACCTCCCTCAACATCTTCGTACCCTCTTCTCTATATTCAATGAACTTTTGGCCTTATCCATGTTCTCTCCGTACAAATATTATCAAAAATAAGCGAAAAACAATCCTGAACAGAAAACCTAACAACATTTAAAATAAATACAAGTATAGTTTCGACTATTAATAAGACTTTTCACAACCACCACTTCATTTCAACACACTCTAACTACACTATCCCTTCATACCAACATTAGCAATTCCTTAACCACCTCACTACAACACCTAAAATCACTTTTGCCTCCCAAAGTAATTATTTTTTTATTACTTCATATTAAGTTCTACGAGAAACAAGATTCACCGATTAACAAATACAGGCATTATCCTACCAATTCACGTCCAGTATAACTCCACGCCTTTCACTTCACGCATCTCAACCAACCCCTAAAATATACAACGCTACTGCACTACTCACACATCACTAATACACATAAAAAACTTCACGCATGCCTAGTACGTCAACGCCCAAATATACGCTACCATAGCGTCTTCTTTTTCTTTGCGGTCAAACTAATCTTATTCCTTACTCACCTGGCAGTAAGCGTTGTTCTTTTCATCTTTTGGTGGCTTTGTGTTCGGAAATCCAACAGAGTTGTGCTCGGTAAAGAACGGTTTGCTTAACTGGACAAATGCCAACCAGCTCTGTAAGAAAATTATAATAAAGAAATACAACAGGAACAGGTTTAGAGTGTCACCTTTCTTGTGTTGCATGTACTATGTAATATAATTATTAGGAATAAAGTAAATCAAACTTGGCACTATTTTTTTGTCTTTGTATTTCGAATTCTGATAAGCTGCTTATACGTTATTTCCGTTTTCGTAAGGCGATGTTGCACAAAATATGTTAGGACAATGTCACAATCTGAAACAAATATTGCCACGCAGTGTTGCGCAAAAAATGGTCGTTGCGAATCATCCCGTGCTCGCTCTTCATTGTCTTAACACTGTTTGTGCGTTCGGAATTCCTTTGTTTTTCAACCAGCAAGACATTTTAAAAGGCACATTTTTTTATAAGGCTCAGGGATAAAAAAAAATGAAAATTTCCTCAGTTTTGCTTTTTCGATATACTTATGCTGTCTGCACTTTAATATTGCCTTCCTCCAAATTATCGTGAATCTCTGTTTTATTCCAAAATCCATTTTATGCTCTACAGCCATTAGCCAAACCACCATGGGTCCATAAGATACGTGTGCATATAGTTGGGATAAAAACAGTACGTACCACGTTAATGTCTTCATGTTTCCCGTCAAAGTTTTGCATTTCACGGAGACAGACTTTAAATGAGTCCTTATTTGGATCTTCTGTCCATATTAGGGATGCATCATACTCCTTTCCAGTCCTCAAGTGTTCCGCCGTCACGAGAACTACAGGCGTCTCTTTAAACTTGTTCTGCGTGAGTTTAAGGACGCCAAGTGATTAGAAATGTGCCGCCTTAAATTACACACGCTGCTTTTTTATGCTTTCATTTAGTTAAGTGAAGTTAGCAACACCAAACGACTCTGTTCGTAGTTCATTAAAGCGAAGAATCAAACTCGTAATCAGTGTCAGTTGCCTTCGATCCTCGGCAATAGGTCGTGGTTCTCAAGTTAACGCTTACTTAAGCCTCCTTGCATATTAGTTCTTTCACCGTTGGGCAAAAGAACACAACCACCGTTAGAACTATACTATTAGACTACCGCAAGCATTTGACGTAATTCAGAGATCAAATATCTTTTTTAGACAAGCTTTGTAAGCTAGATTCGCTAATTGTAGTATAGTAAAAGTATTTATTCTCGCGAAGCGAGTTTATAATCCCGTCGCTTGAAGCGCGTGTACCGTTTACAATTTTCGCATTACATTCACTTCCCCAGAACCATTCAAGTAAAATGTGATATATATGTACAGCATGTAGCAACCTTAAACATCAACACAGCTGGGTCTTTTAAGTCAAACATAACAAAAAATTATTTCTTGCCTGATCCTATAAATATTATTCGAAAAGAGCATCTGTATTTCGGATCTCCTCAGACTATTAGTGTGTAACATGGTTGCAATGCCAGGAAACTTCATTCTTTTCCCTCTGAGGGACAATTTAACTAATCAGGGAATTTCAGTATGAGTCAGGGCGATTTTAACTCTTTGAAATAAGTCAGAGGGAGGTGACATTCACAGAAGTTAATTATATTCCATGGACAGAATATTGTGTAAAGAAATTAAACAGATATAGGGTTTCCTACGAGATCAATGAGATCAATCCATTCGGCACTTTACATTCATGACAAATTCATATCATAAATGGGCGGAGAGGATGGCTGTGAGGGGATTTTGCAAGCCATTATCCAGAAAAGTTGTCCGGTCATCTGGTCAGGGAAACTGTACATTTGACTGTCAGTCTGGGAATTTCGCCGAAAACTATGGCTCTGGCAACCATGTGGCCTGCGTAGCAGGCGCTTGGAAGTAATGGGCGCAAGAAAGAACGGTCGCGCAACAAACCCATGCATTGTTGAGGATTGAGAAACCGTTCACATTCAACATGACTTGTACGGGGACATTTCATACAAATTCACTTTTGCATGCATGTACACGAATAACTATGAGCTACTATGAACACTTGCATAAATAATTTGGTACCTTTTACAGGGATTCAGTGCTAATGAAGGCCTGCATATTCAATAATTATAAGGCATGATCACTGTCATTATTCGCATGAACTGCATCCTTAATGACAATGCTACATGTAATTTCTATCTCAGTGATTGTGTTTGCACCTTACTGTTACAAACAATAGTTGTCAAAGTGTGATTATGTACAAAAACAAGTGCAAACACTCATTGCTGTAGGTCTCTTAACAATAAATATTTGTTTTCTCCAATTACCAGCATTTACTTGTTGTTTTCACTGTAGCATTACCTCCTACAATTTCATCCACTCACTACTACTGACACACTTCACAGATAATTATTCCACTTAATATTAGAGACGGCATGGTTAGCTTTTATTAAGCAAATGCAACTGCATATAGCGTGCAGTTATCCACCATCACACACATTTCCTTTTGACTATAATAACACATGCAGGAGGGTCAAATGAGGAAAACAAGGGACCTGTACAACATTGGCTACGCTTTTTTAACAACAGCAACCCCATTTAAATCCCAGAAGATCCTTTTTAAAGCCAGAGCACTGGGTCCAAATTTACTCCAACCAAAAGGAGATTAAGTACATCTCACCTTCCTATATTTGAGCCAGTGCTGAAACCCACCCTCCCCAGTAACACTATTTACTCCATTTCTCTCCCGCCTTCCCATCCCTGACATTTTCTGGCCTCCCCCGAGAGATTCTGCAGGACACGTATTTCTAGTTTAATAATTTATCTTCCCTTTTTACCTTGGGGAAAGCTACGTGTGCACATTTTGTCCCAGACCACCATTTCTGCATTTTAATAGTTCCTGCCATTCCCTTGGGTGGTGCTCCTTGGTAAGCCAGCCAATCAACTGTCGCGAAGGGATTAAGGCTCTCTCCGCTGTTCCTTCCTGTCTGCATGACGCAAACTGTAAAATTTTGAGTGTTAACCCTTTCAGTCCATGACGTGACAGCATCATGAACTGTGACGGAGTCATTCAATTTCATGTGATTGACAGAAACTTGAGCATGAACTTGTTTATCCGGGTAGAAGCGGTAAGGCGGAAGATCCACTGTCTTGCAGGTTGAATCTGTCCATTTTGAGACTCGAAGGAGGTCCACACTGCCACGAACTACTGGGAAACCTGTTAAAAAGAAAAGCAATTTACAAGAGCTCGTGCAGTAGCTCTAGCCTAGATAACCAAAGTCTCACCTTCTAATAATTACACTTAGTTTTCGTTTTTGTTTGTTTCAGTGTTTGCAACACGTCTCTGTCTTTTCTCTTTTCTCCAGAGACGCGCTCGCTATTTTTCAAGAACAGAATTCAATTAAAACATGTAAGTAAGACAGTGCGCTCTCGTATTCACTCACCCCAGCACAACGAGGCCTCTACGGAGAATTCTTCGTTGTAGGTTGTCTCTTACTAACCTTCACAGCTTCCCAGGTGATACACAAGGTTATTGTCCAGCCCCTTGCAGTAGCTCAGCTCGTGCCAGCATTTGTTGTCGTATGTTGTCCCGTTCGCAGTGCACACTGGGTCTTGATAGGTAGGACAGTCTTCGAAACACACACAGCGTGTTTCATGAGCACTATATGCCTTGCAGACTCCGAACGATGGACAGTGGACAGTAAGGCAAGGATGAAGGTCTGAAAAACAAACCGAAAAAAAAATATATATATATATATTATGTTGAGATGTAAAAGCGCACGTTTGTGATCCCTTTTTGGACCACAGAAACTTATTCTCAGTGCCTACATAATTTCCTCTTTGCAAGAAAATATATGTATTCAGAATGGACTTGTTCGTTCAGATCATTCAAAAGATCGATGGTTCGAATCTACATCGTATTGGGTCATTACCTGACATAGCCTCCCACTGTCTGAGAAGCAAGGAATTCAAAACATATTTCTTGGCATTAAAAGTAACAACGTATCATCTTCTTTTGGTCATTCTTTTGAATATATCTTTCTTTGTCTGAGGAGTTTGTACAACGTGTAACACTCACCTCCAGTGACAACATAACTGACCGTGAGAGGGTCGTGTTTTTGGCCCATCCCACTCAGGTCTCTGACACATATCGTCATGGATTTTACGCCAACTTCCTGAAAGAGAACGGGAGTCTTGAAGACAAGGTAATTTTGCACTGCATACGTTTCCTCTAGACAACCAAAGCGCTCATTCTATTTATTCAGTTTCTTGCTTCATTTACCTTTTTCGTTTGCTTTTTTTCTCGCTTTATTTATTCCGTTTCGTGCTTCATTTTGATGTAAACACCTTTAGCTTTCTGCTATTTACAAACTAAGGTAATGTATTCGCCGAAAGCATGTTAGGTTCGTGTAGTTTTTATAGTTGTGAGAATAAACGTCTCTCTCTTTTAAACGCCTCCTTTCTATTAATCGCCCAGCTGCTTGGGCTCCTGAAACTGATGAAGACTAATTCTTTGGGGGTCTATTACATCATTTACGTTTCAGGCTACTATACCTTCACCCACGCGATGACAATATTGTTCTTTGGAATGACGTTCGTTTTACGGTCGTAATTGTGATGAACAGAAACCAGGACGACAGGTGACGCGTAGAAGGTGGTGTTGAAAGGAACAGTCTGTAATAACAGTGAGTGAAATATGAACACTTCATGTGGTGCTAATTCTTTTTTGTGTTGAAACTGCCCGAACAGAAGAAATATGATTCAGACAGTACACTAAAAATTTAAAAGATCTGTTTCAGCCCCAAAGTGCTAACTCTGCCCTGCAGGCCAAAGTCTGATTCCGCCTCTCCTGGAGCCATTTGAGCACAATTTAAGCCTATTTCAACCCACACTGTGACATATTTCAGCCACGTAGGGTCCAAATAATCCCTGGGTAATTGGACTGTATTGATTAAGGGAGCCAAATTAGACCCATAAAATAGGACTATATCTTGCTCAGCGAAACGGCCTCATTTTTAAGGCAAAAACATTTCTTTCTGTCATTTCTGATTTACAGTGTAATCCTTGCACAAATTTTCCTTGGAAAGCTACATTGACTGTAATTTGTTGCTATTTTTGATGTTCGAACTGCAGGATGTACACTTCATTTTGATTTCACAATTTAACCTGGAAATACTGGTTCGAAACTCAATAAGATGTCTTCTTTATCTGGAGATAACCAACTGTTAAGTTATAAAACTGAAAAGTAAAATACTTGGCAGAATCCATAGTTGTCATATGCTTTCGGTTTGCCAATGTTGAGAAAAGTAACTTCTCCCGTCATCGTTAAATTCAAATTGAAACCATTACCCAAAAAGGCGAACCAGTCCTGAGAGGAAAAAAAGAAAACGTGATGATATAAAAGGCAAGAGACTGCAATCTCCAATTTCTTGTAACAAGCATTTTAAGCTAAAGTGTAACAACTATATTTCTCCTTAGTGAATGTCTATATGGGTGTTTGCATTTTGGATTTCTAAAAAACTAATATAACATTACGAATTGGCGATGATGCCGACGAAGAAATTTAGAAGATGATGATGAAGAGGATGATATATTGACAGTGAGCCGATGATAGTGGTGAGGCTAAGAACGATGATGATAGTGGTTGCTATGATAATGAGGTGGAATGATTGGAACTCTGATTGATGCCTCTATATCTTATGTATACACACCTACCAGAATTGTATCTTGGTGTTTTCCATCAAATGGCGAGAATTCTCTTATGCACACCTCAAAGCCTCTGGAACTGACGTTCTCCAACCATACATACACTGCGTCACTGGGTTTTGTAGCTCGAGTGTATTTCGCCGAGACAAACACAAAGGGTCTGGCAGCGAAGCTCTGAAATATTTGCAAATCGTAGTTATTATTACCATGGAGACAAAATCATAAGACAAGCTTTTGACGTTGGAGACGAAATCAAATCGCGGTGAAATTGGTAAAAAGAATAAACGAGTGAATAAAGGAAAACGTGAATTAATATTTGTAGCGGGAGCTACTAGTAAAAGTGGCAGAGGCAATTTCCACGACCTAGCTATTATCCTCTGGTTGAATAGCATCGGCTAGGACTCAAGACGCCAATTCGTAATATCGCTGCTGATTAAGTCGCACCTAATGTGCCTTGCTCTCCCGTGTTATGTGATTTTCTTCAGTACACACACTGTGCGTACTGATCTGACTCTGCGCTAGACCTCTCATTGACTGCGTTCGAATGATGACCTTAATTCTCATCACTAATAATTGTATTCTCGGACTGTTCATCTCAGGCACACAAACTGCTCCACAACCTCCAGTACGTCATTGTAACACTTGTCTTTTCAGGCTCATTGCATTGATGGTAAGGCCTAAGTTTCTGCAAACTTTGCATAAGTCAATCAAGCAAAGTTTCAAGTTGGTTTCAGAAATTTGAAGCTTTTACATTGACATCAACGAAAAGGGTGTTATGGATAGGTACCAGCTAGCGCACGTTTTTTTTTTTGCTTTAGCCAAGCATGACATTACAGTTTGTGGTAACTGATACGATGTGGTCGAATTAATAACATCGTATTTTTCATGGAAGAAATACCTAATGATACTGAGCACCTTTCTAGTATAGACAACCAATCTTTGAACGAATTTGTGAGAGGCCATTTCTTCTTACCGGTCTAGAAACTTTACAAAGATCAAAGATCTCTGCACATGGGAAGTTCAAGATGTGTACTGTTCACCTTGCAGATTGAAATTTACACTGGGTTCTGGATAAATCAGTTAAAGGAGGTCAAGCAGCATGTCTCGAGGTGAAGTTTGTTGACTACTGCTTGAGAAGATTTCCTGCATTGGAGAGCGCCTGTATGCCTCGAAAGTAGCACCTCTGGCTTTCAGAACGGGATAAATTTTGCTACTCTTGGCTTTAAACAAGTCGTTTTTTAAGCGCTCTTCTTCCTAAGGTGCTATAGACAGTATCGTGAATGGTATCATAATGATAATTATAATTCTGTGTAGAGAAGGTATCAGCCCGATGGCTAGACAAAGCCGGCATTGTCAAGAAATTTGGGAAGTCATTTATCTTTTAATTCTGTTCGATATCTTAAAACTTGGTGGTGTTATTGCGTGTAATACCGAGAGTGCAACAGGATCGTCTGACAACTGGTCAGGTGAGCGCCGTGCCAGTTTTTGGATTGGTGGCGTACACTGTGGCTCAGCCTGAATGTAGGATTTCAACACGCAAAGGCCAGAAATAGAGTGGGGCCTTAAACAGTTGCTGTCAAATTTTCGTTAAACTGTTAATCTTGGCGGTTCCCAACGGCCCTGGCAGGTAGTAGGAGTCGTGGCAACACGAAGTCATATGATTTGATAAGTCAGAAAGGATAAAGATATAAAGAGTTCCTAGATGGTCAAAGGACACAGAAATCATGATTAGAGAGAAGGAGAACCGAATCGGATTGCTGGTTGCATGGAAGTACAGTAACACCAAAAATAAATGCTGCCTCAACTGGGAAATGAAAAAAAAAAGAAACTACGATCACTTATTTTCCCTCTTATTTTAGCTTTGGTGTCAAACCTGCTTAAACGTTACTTTCTGACACTTGGTTTCTGTTGTCCATATTTCGCCAAGTGTTACGCTACCATATTTCACTTGCGGGTGATCTTGGAGAGCCATCCAGTTTATGATCCCAGTTCCATTTGAGCCAGCACCTGCCTCACGTGCGCATACTTCAAATCCACGTGTACTGACAGAATGAACCCACAATGCAGCAGGTGAGTGGCCACGTGAAAACTTTTCACCATGGCTTAGTGACACGTGCACACGGACCTCAAAGCAAAATTAAACCAGGATATTAGTAATACGTGAAGTGAAAGATGAGGTGATTCCAGATAGAGAAACAAACTGCTCCAATTTCCTTCTGGTTTGGATGATGCAATTCAATATTTTTGTCACAATTTTAAGAGAAACAATATAAAAAATTACGCTTATAATTTTCTCGCTCGCTTTATTCTTTAATATTTAAACTAGTACACTCACCTTTCCTGATCCGCTAAATGTTTCTGGGAAAGGAATTTTTGTGCAGCGGGGTAGACGACAGTATGAAGGTAGTGAACAGGCACTGCTGCAGCTCCAGTCTTGAAAACTATCCGACATGTTAAACTTGCCAGTTTGAAAAGAAGCCACTTGACCTAGGACAAACTGAAACAAACCAGATTACAGAAAATCTGCTACATAAGCTTTGAGTTTCTGGAATTCTGTAGCTTCTTTGATACTTTGACTGTGGCATAGGTGAGTCCTATGATGTTTGGTGTGAATTCTACGCTGGTTTTTTGATGAAATTTCGGAGAAGTATTACTCTTTGGATATGAATTGTGTGTTTGATGTTTTAGCTGTGGAATGTTTCAGCTGTTCCGTGAGAAATCTGTGACAAGTGTTAGGTTTTGGCAATTGATTATGGGTAGTTTTCGGGGGATTTATTTTCGTTAATAAATGGAAAACATCGTTTCCATACGCTTATACGTCTTTTTGTTAGCCATAAACTCTCTCAAAATGTTTAGAAATGATAAAACAATCTCACATAGTATGGTGAGTATGAGTATCCGAACAGTTAAGGCTTGATTGGTGACTGAGCAATAGTGGGAAAACGTGGCAGTTAAGTGGAGCATTTAAGTGGGGAAACAAAAGCGTTATGTACAAAAGCCTGTTGTTGGTGTGGAATGGGTGAATTTTCTAACGTTTTTACTGCCGTAATGAGTGACTTACTTTCATTTGCCATTTTTTCAGGCAATGTGTATATTTAAAAAAATCTCGATGGGAATCACAGACTTTAAGCGCATATCACGCACATCTGCAGTTTAGACATGACTTACGGAACGTGAAGAAGACATGTCGCGATTTTTTGGTGTTAAAACATAACTCAGGAATAATAGTTTCGTTTAATTTAAAATTACTCTACAACAAAACCTCAACTGAAAGGATGTCTGTGGCTTCCGATAGCCAGAACAGAAACGGATTGCAACCAGAAAAAATTGGGCTCAAGTTTTTAAGTTAAGCTCCTGTGTTGTTGAAAAATGACCAAAAATTGATCGTGCTTTGTTTTCTTATTGAATGGAATTCTATGATACTTTTCTCTTAGAGTTCCAACAGAAGGTGACTGAGAATACTTAGTTATAACCCTAGCTTAGTTTTAACCAAAAACTGTGGAACTCGTCATGTCATAGTCCCCTTTTGCAGGGCTTTCGATTCAGACAAGGGTTCAAATGTAGCTGAGAAGCGTGTTGTATGTCCGTGTCTAGACGTGATTGCTTTGTTCGCAATATCGCGCTCGACTTACGACTTTAGTGCCACCCGTTTTGAGTTATAGAGAACGAACTCTTGAGCTTCCTAACCAGTTTCTTAGAAGTAGCTTATCAACTCAGTGAGACACGTCATCACACGTTGTGTGAGTAGATTTTTGGGGTTGTGTTTTTTTACTGAGAAAGTTGAAGATTTTCAGCTCTCGTTTTGTTTCAGACAAAGCGTTCTTAAATTTTTCGCTTGTTCAAAATAAAGACCAGATTCTAGTCTTAGTTAGGGAAAATCAGATCGATCTCTAGTTTTCAGACTACAGAGACTAATTTTATTAGAACTCAGCTAAAACTTTGAATGTGTTAACTAGAATAGCCTCTTCTCAGCGAGGGAGAGATAATTAACCAAATCCAAAAAACTTCATCGATGTAATTCTGCCAAGATCTAGAAAGCCGACAAAGTCGGCACACGCTGCTACTTAGTATTGCTGTTATCGATTTTTTAAGGACTTTTGATATAAGTTTGCTTATCTGCGAGGAGGAATCGTTGGTTGAAACATTTGATATTAAACAAATCGTCTTTGGTGGATTTTCAAACAAAGAATAATGGAATGTTTCGCAGTTTTTTTGTTCGGAATGACTGGCGTACGAGGGACAAAATTGGTCTGACGTTCAGCTGAAAACAAGAATTTCGAACTTACCCATCTTGGGTGGCTCACTAAGGACAGCACCAACACAGGAATTATCTTCAATAACATGATTACTTCGTCGATAAAGGGTCCAGACCTAAAGGAAAGAACAAATGTTCTAAATCATGTTTCTATCAAACCACTAAGTAAAAGAAAACGCGGCCGGTAAATCGCATCATGTTTAAATTTCATTATGATAAAAAGATTAATCAATGTCGCTTCCTTAGATTTGAATTCAAAAAGAGCAAATTTAATGCTATGTAATTTAAGCGAAATGTACTTCAGTATCCTGAGGAAAAGGCCTATGGTCTACAGTAGCGCGTAATTGTTCAAATTATTGAAATCCTCCGCATTTATAGCTGCCGTAATTATCACTGTCTCGCTGCTGAGTAAATTGTGAAGAAACTTTGAAGGTGAATCGAAAGCGTAGCGAGTGTTCTGTTCATGCTTGTGATTAATTGATGTAAAGTTATAAATTTGCTTTGTTTTAGTTTCCTCAAAACGCGCGATACATTATTTTTACTTACCGACTCTCCGTTCGTCGTGTATAAATCTGGACCAGCTCAAACACTTATGGTCAAAGGAAAGCCGTACTCTCAACTCACTATACAGTTTTGGTGTGAGCTCAGTTCTACTGTTAAAGGAAATCGCTACTGGCGTGTAAAGTATTGATACGCCAGCTGATACGCTTACATTTGTTAACATTTCAAACATGAAAATCTAATCTTTGAACACGTCTATTTAATATTTCTTTCTCTGTTAATCTAAGTTCACACCAGCCTGCTCAAGTCTGTTGATGGATATAAACTTGCTATTCAATAATCCGTTTATGACCCACTAGATGGTCTACTATGATCGCTCGTGTCGTTCACCGAACGTTGTGGACGGAACCACAGGCATCCCAAACTCTATGGAAGTTCGTTCTAAATTTGAATTTTATGAGAATATATGGGAGCAAACAAAACGTGATCTAAATTGTGCCTTTGATAAAGATTCGAAATAGAATTGACTTACCTTGCCTTTGTGTTCTGCCTTTTGCCGTCTGTTCGCTTTTGGGGCTACTATATTTCGAAGCCGTTCTGGGGAGGTTTAAATTTCGAGTTGTACTTACGTACGATAAGAAAACTAAACTCGCCTTCTAAACGGCTTCGGAATGGCTCAAGTATTAGACAAGGTACAATACATAAAACAAACATGAGGTAAGACAATTTATGTCCAATCTTTCAAAAGCCTGGATTTTGGACGTGTTTTGTTCATTCCAAAACATGTTCTCATAAAATTCAAATCTCAGACTAACTCTCATAAAATTTGGGCTGCCTGTGACGGAAGCCGTAAAGGTCAACACAAAAATTAATTTGCTTTTAAAAGCTTAAAAGCCCTCGTGTGGACGTTGCCCAAAATTTATTCTTTTTTGTGACATTGGCTTCATTTACTTCCTTGTTTCATCATTAGAGACCTTAGAGTTCCTTCTTTCTCTTTTTATGACAGTGGCTCAGTTACTTCCTCATTTACCCTTGACAGGTCTCGGTTTTGTGAGTGCTTAAATTGCTGTTAATTTACAGTCACGAGGAAAGAAAAGTCTTAATTCGATCATTCAAAGTTACTTTACTTTACTTTACTTTACTTCAAGTGAACATGCCTTCCCATTGTTCTGGCTGTAGCATGTAGATTTTGAGCCTTTAGATTTGACTGGGAGTACGGCAAGATCGAGTTTGAGTACAACATTAATTTTCACGCCATTTTCTCAAAACTGCTCACTCTTTTCTATTACTGACCATGGCAGCTTATAAAAAGTCAGTCTTAAATAAGGGATACGATTGTGTGACAGAAAGCTGCATTAGTGACCATAGAGAAGATGGGTTATGTCAAATCTTAAGCCACCTTCCTCTGCAGGAAACTCTTTACTCCTACTTTAGAAAAAAAGGGTTGAGTTAAAAAACAAGGGGAGAGAGAGGCTCGCAGGTGGGGCTAGTTGTTAGGTACTCTAATAATAAAGTTCGTATTGTTTTCTTTCTTTGCTCGGTGTGTCAACCCTCATCTGAAATGCAAATTTTTCTCCTTTTACCTCTGAGGGTCAATTTTTTATTTACATTCGAGAGATTGTGTAGTTTACTTTCTTTCGCGTCGTAGTATACCGTGAAATCTAGTTTGTCTGGTAAAGCGTCGCTTATAGGCTATAAACAGGCTGATAAATAAGATTGTGGTTTGAATCCTTCCCAAACATAACTCCCTTCTATTTTAGCGTTGATCCAAACATGATAAGTACTTTTTCTACTTTTAACGGTGAAGTAAGAACTCTGATGTGTGTGCTTGCGCCTTCCTCTCTAATCAAAGTTAAGTGGGTCTACAGGGCTTTTCAAAAGTTCGTTCCGATTATAACTTGTATTTTGCGCAAAGCATTTAATGCTTCTTTACGCAAATTCAAACTTATTCCGGTAAGAAATTTATCTAAATAACCGTTCAAAGAAATTTCAAACTAAAATTTGAAGAAATTACAATATTTTTGAAGTTTTGCCCCAAATGTGCACGTACGCGAGTTTTTTCCCGCCATATGTTCCTTGCCCATTTTGTAGGTTTTCTATTTTTGTTTTTTGGCCGTTTTCTTTAAAGTGCCCATCACCTAAAATTTCATATTTTCTTATCTGAAACTATACCTTATTTGAATAACTTCTGCGGAAAAATTTTGCTGTTTGAACAAAACGCGATTTTTTTACCAATTTTTGAAGTCTACATTTTTGCGGTACACCCGCGCCTCTGATCACGCAAACTAGCAGGCTCACATATGACGTCATGTGACGTAAATTAAGGACCTCGCATTACCTTGCCTTCATCAGCTGTACACAAAAAAAGATCAATTACAAGTAAGGATTGAATCACAATGTCTTCGCAAGAAGAAAGCTTTTTCTGAAACAGAAAAACCTACCAAAACTCTTAATGTTTTCCTGTCGATAAGGTCACGTGTTCCTTAAAGTACGTCATATGACGTCATACTCCGAGAGAAGACTAAGACGAATGGTGTGCCAAAATGGAGGCAAATTTGAACGTTTTTAAAAAATTCTAAAAAAATCGCCTTTGGTTCAAATCGCAAAATTTTTTCAAAAGTTATTTTAATAAGATGTAGTTTCAGATAAGAAGGTAAAAAATTTTAGACCATGGACACTTTAATGTTCTCTACTCTTTCACGAAAATGAAGGCCTTCACTGTTTGCGCTAAAGCTGAGGCATCTATTTTTTTGGTTCTCTGGCCATTCAGTCAAAGAAATTGTTAATAATAAACGTTTGAACGATATAAGTGAACAAGTGGTCAAAAGTGAAGACCTTAGAAGAATAACAAAGGAATATATGGCTGCCTCTTTTTAAATGTGTGAGAAATGTTATCGAAAAAGCTGTAAGTATATGCGTAATAATTTTACAAGACAGAAAGGTAAAAAAAAAATTCACCGTCACAATCTCAAAGTTTCGAGCACAACGGTATGAAGATACATGACCAGTAAAGGTTGGAAAGCCTTGAAGAGAAAAAGGCGTAGCACACGCATGGTGTGAGAAGGATTTGAAGACTCTATAGAAAAGGGCGACCGGCCGGCAAACTCACGTGATGTGAATCCCCTAGAGACCATCTGGATTATAGTTGACGAGAAAACATACAAAGATCCAGCCCCAAAATCACTGGACTAGCTAAGGCAGTGACTACGCTTCGCCAGGAAAAGTGTGTCTTTAAACACGCTTTGGGAGCTCGTACATTCTATACCTCACCACTTAGAATATGTCAGAAAACATAAATAGAGACAATCTGGTTACCGATATTTCGGTTATTCAATGTTAACTGAATAATGAATAACACACTTAGTTTTACTAAAGGTATTTTTAACTAATCAGTGAAATTTAAGCGAAGAAAAAAATCGGAACGAACTTTTGAAACACCCTGTAGTTATTAACGTGTTACTTAGTCATAAGATTAGAGGATATAGTATACCCTTTCTAGGAACTTTCTCCCGTGGCACAGACCCTTTTTGGTTAGCACCTCATGTAAGACTCAATAATATGTCCCGAATATATAGAATGTTATTTATTGTTTTTGTCCCCTGTTTCCCTATGCTTCTCCTGTATCTGTACTTCCACTTATTCCTATGTTTTCTTATGTATCCCCTGTTTTTTAAGGTTTTGCCATATTTTCTCGTCCGGCCTTTTTTTTCCCTGTTTTCCTGTTTCCACATGTATCCCCGTATGTTTCTATGTTTTCCCATGTATTCTTATGTTTTCCCCTGCATGTTTTCCCATATATCCCCCTGTTTTCCTATGTTTTGCCTTGTATTCCCCATTTTTTATGTTTTCCTATTTTCCCCTCGTTTTCCTTTTTTTTCTCTTGTTTTCCTATGGTTTCCTATGTTTCCCCCTGTTTTCCTATATACCCCCCTGTTTTCTTATGTTTTGCCATGTTTTCTAACGCGCTCCCTTGTTTTCCTATGTTTTCCAGTGCATCCCCCTTTATTCCTATGTTTTCAAATGTTTTTCCCTGTTTTTTAATGTTTTCCCTCGCTTTTCTATATTTTTCCCTGCACCCCCCTTTTTTCCTATGTTTTCAAATGTTTTCCCCCGTTTTTCTATGTTTTATTCCCTTGTTTTCCTATGTACATGTTTCGCAGATTACCACACAGGTTGTCGAAACGTCAATCACTACCAACACCAACAGTCCTCAGTTTCACCCGGACGATCATACTCAACCTACTTATGTTCATCATGTTACCATGCTTTGGCTTAAAAATGGCATAAAATACTGTTGTTCATAATGTTATGTTGTTTTTCACTTATTTTTCACTGAAAGGTTATTTGCAATAGCAGTGTCTGAAAAGTCTAAGAAAGTTTACTTCTGCTATATCCAGTAATTAAACACTGATGTTCAGGAATTCGCCTCGGAGAAGTAAGCTCGAACGTATTCAATGACCTTCATGTTGGCGTGCACCTTCCAACTTGTTTACTCAAACGAATTTCAAAGTCAGACTGAATAGTTCTTGATTTCCTCTTAAAGAAAAATCGTATCCTTTCATAGCCAGTAATCTTGGAAAGTTATAAAGGCGTTGATACCCAGGCATACCCATCTACATCGGTTGCAGTTTCATGCAGTTGATATAAAAATGTAGCCAAAAGTCAGTTGACTAGTTCTAGTGACTAGTAGCCTGCGTAACATGCAGTTGGCGTGTTTTTCGCTTGTGGTTCACGATTCACCTCATTCTGTATTAAAGGATCACACGGTCTTAAGGGGCTATGTTACGCCAGTTATTGTCATTTTAAAAAGCTAAAACGTTTTTCGCATCAACTGAATTCCAAACATAATGGTCTAGTGCTGTTACTCAAGACTATATTTAGGCACTGAAAATGTTTTCTGTCATCTGTCGCAAATGATGGCAAGGATGGACATTGATTAGAACTTGAAGCCTGGGTTGTCCTGGCGGGGGTAGTACATTGCGATGGTCATTTTATCCACGGAAATTAGCGTTTACAAGGCAAACGCAGCCATGGGGCTGAGGAAGGAAAAGCGGCCTGTCTAAAAGACTCCTTTAAAAATAACTTGTGCTTTCAGACAGTGAAAGAAATTAAAATGCAAGTGCTTGTTTTAATGCTTCTTTTCTTGACAGTTGTTTGGAAACATCTATTACATTTCTGACCATTATTTTTATCCTAAATGCTACAATTACGTGTGAACTAAAAACACCTGTGATATATTCTAACAGGCTTGGCTTCGTTTGAAGCTTTTTCGCCTCTAGGCTACTCCATAGCATTTCAGTTTCCCCAGAGTGTGATAGCCTTTCTCGCCACTGTCACCAGTATCACCAAACCTGAGCTGTTTTACTGGAAGCTTTGTCTTGTCAGTCAGAATACCGCTGTCTTCACGCCATACACTGTCATTCTTATCACAGTTACAGCCAAGACTGGGGTTTGCACATGAGTTGGTCATCCCGCATGCGCACTTACCATTTCCAGATGCTCCTCCCCAGTACGTCATCTTTGTAGAGTCACGTGATACCCACCAAGCAAATCCGCCGTTTACGAATATCCTCGAATGGTAACACTCGTACTTGATAAACTGTTCACAGTGTGCGGAAACTATGGTGAGACTGGCCAACTGAGACAGGCTTGCTCCAGTGTAGTGAATGGTACGTGAGTAACACCCTCCAGTTTCGCATCCTTGCACGTACCTCCTGCTCTCACTGTCATGACTGACGACTGTCACGCCAACACCCTTCTTGCCAGTCATGTCACAGTACACTGTGAATGGTGCCAGTCCTCCCTCGCCATCTGGATCAATCACATAGTTTCCGCTACTGCTGACGTGGTTCCAGATTTCAGAGCAGGATCTTGGTTTTGGCTTAACACAGTTACGTCCATTTCCAATGTACCCAGGCTTGCACTTGCATGAATAGGATCCACGTTCATTGACACATGAAGCGCGAAGGTGACAGTTGTATGTCTTTCTTTCACACTCATTAAAATCTAATAAGCGGGAATTATTGAAAAAGAAATATGATAAATTGTGTGTTCCACTTAAAAACCAGGACAATTTTTTGTAAATGTAGGTCCTCTTTTATTTTAAGGAAGTACCCCATGGCCTTAGGCAAAACCTTTTTTATTGTTTTTGTTGCCTTCTTGCATTTAGTCCTGTCAGTCTAATCGTTTATTTAAAATAAGCGATGGGCTACAAACAAAGTGTCAGCCCTTAATTAGTTTAAGCTGAAGCAATGAAATGCGCTTTCCCTATGAATTGTCTAGCTAACGTTACTTCATACGTAACCAGAACTGCGGCTAGTTATACAGCTGTTTCGAGAATGGTCCGTTGGAAAAATGTACACGCGACAATCCCGAGAGGTAATTTGGAATATAATCAATACACTGTTTCTTGACACTCTAACTGTCGAACCTACTTTTGTTGCTTTTCTTTAGCAATCGCAAACATTCCGTCCATGGTCTCTCGTGCTATTCTTTCAAATTTCTTTGAAAAACTCAAAACCACCCCCTATACCTTTCGGGATTGTCGCATGCACTTTTTTCCGACAACCTTTCTCGAAATTGTTGTAGACCGCGCTAGTGTCACACCCATTTTTGACTTTTGTTGAAAACAAAAAATGACATCATCTTGAATACAAGTAAATATCTGCAAATATAAAAGTCATCTTGGAAATAGCTGCTTGATAGAGACAGTGGGGGATCCAGACCTTGTGATAAGGGGAGTGGGGGCGGTCATCCAGACCTTGAGATAAGGGGGGGAGGGAACGGTCTCCAAAAAAAGAATTTTTTCGGCTCTTCGGGCCTCATTTTGTTCGAAAAATAAAGGGGTATCCGCCACTGATAAATAACAGAAACACGTTTCAACGTACGAATGTTGAAGAGCTTTGGGATCGTCTTTAAAAACCAAAAAAGCTTCGGTATGGAATCCCAAAAGTTTGACATATTAATATAAAAAGGTTAAACAGAAACCTTTTTCTTTGTCCATTGGTGAACTTGAAAATATCATTCACTCTTTGGTTATCAGTTGAAGATGATTTTTGGCAATGTCGAATAATGTAGAACTTATGATAATTAACAAATACCACTAAAATAGCTGAAAGCTTGCCCCTACCTTTCTTACAAGTGTACCGATGACAATCACTACACTTCACATCATTCCATTTATAGTTGTATTTCACGCCAATTGCATGTACGCAGTCCTCTTCATTTAAGTTATTCGGCTGATTCTTCGCCCAAGCTGTAAAGTTCCCCTCGCCGCGATCCGCCCAAGTGAAATTACCCTCCATGGAGATGTCATTCAAACCCAGCCAAGACTTTTCTCCACTATAGCGATGTTGAATATAAACATTTTCCTCATCATTAGCCACATCAACAAGGACCGAGTTTTCCTGACGACATTTGGTGAGAGCCGTTGTCCAATTGACACATTTGTCACTCGTCAAATAACAGAATCCATTGAAATAGCTCCACCCAGGATCACAAATATCTGTGGAAACGCAAAGTTTACAAAAAAGCCCTCAGCTAATGGTTATCAGCTAATGCTCTCAGTTATATAACGCACTAACTAAGGAGTTTATCTGACAGAAAAGACGGTCACATTCATTGATATAAGCCAGAGATTATACGTTATGTGACATAAACCAATGTCTCTGTGCTAACGCGTTTTTACGTACCTGACTGAATATGAAACATATCAAATAATGATAACATGTGACTGACATCTTTGCAGGTTAAGTTTGTAACATCTCCTAGTAATCATGACATGATAGTTTGTTGCAGTGAACCAGTTACGTCATAAAATCAAGTACTTTTTCATCTCGCATTAACTGACCTGCAAGTACCGCATAACTCACTGACACGGGATCGTATCTGGTCTCGTACAACTCCTTCACACACACCCTGAACCCTCCTGCGTCCATGTTCTGCAAAGAAGGATAGGCGCTACTAGTGATTATTACAACTTGATCAAATATTGCTTGTTCAGGGTTGTTTGGGACACACGCATCAAAAAAGAAGCGCGGCATCTGACAATATTCGCAAATCGTTATAATTTCGCTTCAACTTTCCCTGGAGATATTCGTCTATGGAGGCTGTGTAACAACTCACCACCGGACAAGAGAACCATGGGTAAGAGCTGAGTTTGTTGGCGATATTTACTTTAGTTGAGTCAGTTTAAGGTGTGTGGGCTCCTGGAGTCCAATGGAACGGTTTTCATAAATCCGGCTAGATATATATATATATATATATATATATATATATATATATATATATACTTGTATTCTAGGTAGAACGTATTTCTTAGAGCGTTCAATTCATTTAATTGAAGAGCATTGACTAAACGATCAATGATTACTCCTGAAGCCTGAACTCCTGTGATTATTAATATATGTATATATATATATATATATATACTATATATACTATATTGAGTAGTCTATTTACTGTTATATATATATATATATAACAGTAAATAGACTACTCAATATGGGTACATATGGATTTTAATACAGGTCTGTTTCGTAGACCAACAAAAAGTTGATCCACTCATCAGTTAAACTCCATATATATATATGTATATATATATATATATATATATATATATATATATATATATATATATATATATATATATATATATTTCGATTGTTGTTTTTTTTTGTCATTTTCCCGTAATAATAGTGCAAATACTATCTTTCGAGCAAAAGTTGCTTTTGGGTACAGAGTATCCCTTTAAAACTCCAAAGAATAATTCTTAAAGGCGCGTGTGCTGTTTCTGAACCAGGAATATTCCTGCCAGCCGCTTATTAAAGGTTTTGGTATTTCGCTTGTGAAAACTTTTGCCTTTGAATTTTACCGTGTATCAGTATGAACATTCGTTACTTCAAATGACGCTACCGTTAGAACTGAAATCTCAGTCTTTAATATCAAAGTTAATTTCGACTCCTTTACTGCAGTCCGTTCTAAGCGAAATTCATCCGTAAATAGTGAGCGGAACGCGCTTATCAAAAACATGTCAACATCATAAACATTTGGCGCAATAATTGCTATGACGGCTGTCAAACGTCAAATGTTTGGCGGCGAAACATGTCATGTCAGACAACAGACAAAAATAACCTTCGCGGCACGCGCGCGAACTTTAAATAGATTTTAAATAATTATCATGAGGCACAGGGATTCGCTCTCTTAGATTATCCTCTCTTTGTTTTGCAAGAAAACTGGCCCACACATTCCTGACTTCTTTCGGTAAATTGGCGGTAAAGTCAAACGACCATCACACAAACTTTGGTTCCTGGTCACTTAAGCGAGGCGCCTGTGGAAAGAAAGACGTAATTTATAGAAGGGCCAAGCTGCTCAGCGTCATCTAACATAACGAATATGGGCTCCTCTGTAAGACTGGCATTGAATCATTTCAGCACTTTCCCTTGGCGCTTAAAACGCTATGACATTGGTTTTCTCAAGAGGGGATAATGGGGTGTCCTATTATTACTTGAGCGGAGCGCCAAGTAAAGTTTTAGTGATCTCCAGATTGGCCTCGTTGTTGCAATGGGTCTTCGGGCAAGAGTGGGTAAGCAAAGCTAGGCCTAGCCCGCGAAGAGATGTATTTGCGGTCGTCACTGTGACGCAATCTGCATGTCTTTCGTAATCTTAAGGTACTTAGGAAAAGAGAAGTGAATCTATATCAACGAGGATGGGCTTATTTGTGCGCTCAAGTATACATTACCACAATGTCTTCTTATCTCTTTTTTTATTACCTCAATCCATGTTGTAATGCCATTGTGCTCTGGTGCGGAGTTCCCAGGAGCCGTGCTGCTGTGATTGGCTGTAAGCAACACTGAAGGTGTTATGTTGTAGCTTCTTTCAAACTTCACAAACTGTCGTTTAAAAGAATAACAACTATCGTTACACTCTCTGCTGATAGTATCTACTTTTTTGCTTCAGTAATATCGTAAGAGCCGAATTAGCCTTTTTGCGGGAGAACGCATTATCGCTGATGACGTCATTTCCTTCTTCACTTTATCTCATGAATAAAATACGGTGAAATCTCATTGAGATAACGTCATGTGGTATTTGAAGATAATATAACCGGTATTACAGGTTTTGGGTTATATTAGATCGCTGAATGGCTTGGTCTTTGATTTGTTGAGTAAAAACTAAAAAAGAATTTATTCGCAGAATTATTTTAACGAAAGAATAAACGAAGACTAGGATACGGAGAGGGGTAAGTATGAAAATTGACAAACTAGTTTCCCATCGAGCTCATTAATATACACAGTGGGTAATAACGTGATTAATAATGTTTTCAGCTGAGTTGGTGCTTATTCCATGGTTCAGGAGCCCATCAAATGGAGCCTTCATCTCCCATACAAGCCCTTGGAGCCAACCCTTTCCCGAGTAGATTTATAATTAGAACGGTTCCCAGGGGAGACTTCGCGCGCCGTCGGTGGGAAGAGCCAACCACAACGACGAAATGACACAGGAAATTGGGTGTTGACAGGCCAAACACAATCATAAGCTAGTGAAACTTGACTTTAGCGTTTTCATCCCTCAGAGATCATAGTTTTCTTTCTTTTCTTTCTAGCCGGTAGATTATACTGTGGAGAGTTTTTTCTGACTATATGTTAATCTTAATTTTGGCTGCTTGTCTCACATTAAGAGACCATGAAGCTTGTCTGTTAGATGCATAATGATTAACTACTACCTATAGTCTGTAGTTCTGACAGGATTCGTTTTCTTTAGCAAATTGTTTTAGGCGTTAAGGTTATTATTTCGGCTAAATGACTCAATATTAATCAAATTTCTAGTTTTTCAAGGTTTTTTTTCCGAAATCCGTTTATCTGAAAAATACTTGTAGTCCTTGTGGTTGTTTTGTCCGTCAGCTAGTGTGATGATTCCCTGCTATGTTTTGTAACGCGGGGCCTAGCTATTGTTTTCTCACAAAAAAGTGATCTACAGATGCGAATTCGAAGGAAAGAATTGAGCCTAAACTTCTACATTAACTGCTGAGAATTGTCCTGTCAGTCAATCATAATTCTTTTGTCGCAGCTACAATCCATTTTGTTTTTCTGGAGACAAGTGGGTCTTTGGACTGGAGCGCGATGTCACAAATTCCTCCGTTAGCAAATTATTTTTGAGTTAGCTTCACGTCGCAACTGTTCTCTTCTGTTCAACTTTTCAAGTGCTAGTTTCATCAGGCAACTCTCATGGTGATGCGAGTCAGTTGTAGAGGAAGACTGCAATTTCTCACAATTTCGGAAATAAAGCATTCCACGTTAGTTGCTACTTAGGTCATCGCTTTTGCACGCGGTGCTTAACTGGCGAAATCCACTCCACGGTGATCACAAAAATCAAATCATGATCCTGGCACTTTTTCGGCGCTGATCATCGAAAAGTTCCAAATCGTCCACAGAACGCTTAATCGTCGACTCTTTTCGAAGTGCATGCTTACATGTTGAATATATGACGACAAATAAAAACACTCGCAAAGATAGCCTTTCAGTGATCCTCAGTTCGCTGCCTTTGTGCCATCGCTTGATGCTCAATCTCAGTCGGGTAATTCATTAACTTTTATTTCATGATACCCAGAGCCCAGCGGCTGTAAAATCATAAAAATGAACGTATAGTAAAAAGGAAAACGGTCGAAGGATGGGCTTCTGAGTTCGACTTCATCCAACTTCATTTTCTTCACGGTGACATACGAGACTCACGGAAATATGACACTTTTCGCGGGAAACAAGCCGTTCTATTTATAAATCTACTCGGGAAAGGGTTGACTCAAGAAATTAATGGAGATGGAGGCTCCATTTGATGGGCTCCTGATGGTTAAAATGAATAAACAATGAGGATTTTTCTTATATTTAGTGAACCGATAAAAACCCAGCCATCCATTGATCTAAAAATAACTGAAAACCTGTCAAACCTGTCATATCACCAAACATAAGGATGTGACGCCTTATGTTATTCATGTTATTCATCGACGTTAAATTTGATTTATCTCCCGGCGATTTAAAGAGTTTTTGCCTCCAAAAAGGTTAATTCCAGCCTGCTATACTTCTTACATCTAACCAAAGAGTGAGCGGTTGATCATATGATTAAACTACTATTTTGGCTGGGTACATATCTGTCTCCAATTTTGTACATAATTTTTCCGCTCTCTTTTCCGTTAGAAGTCTAACATAAATTTGTATGAGGTTTCTTTAGAAACTCCCAATAAGGGGTCGAAACGTGTAACTCGCGTTCAATGCTCGTTTATATTCACTTCTACCATATTTGGAAACCTTAGTGAAGGATATCCATTTTCAACAAAATGGCTGCCGCGGTTGAAAATACACCGTCAAAAGACAAAAAATGGAAAAAGAAGGTTTAAAAGAATGCTCAGTTTTCTTTTTGTGGAGGAAGGGAAGCTTTTCAAAAAATCGTCCTTCGAGGAATTCAAACTTGTTTTCTTCACGGCGGAGCGCATGGTCTGTTTTGAAGTGCAACTAAGGCAGCGAAGTTTTTGCAGAATTTTCAGGTACATTTTGCACTCTATTGCCAAGAAAACTGTGTTTTTGATCGGAGAATTTATGTCTTTATAAATGTTTCATAGACCTTTTATACGTTTTTTCTTCGGCCCTAAAGAAAAATTACAAAATGCGCCCCGATTTGAAATGGATTTTGTGTTGAATAAATTTGAATTTTACTTGCGTGAACTGATCTACGGTCTAGATAGTGTTACGAGAATTGTATTGTTTTGAGTTTGGTCATTGCTAAAATTAGCTCAAAACACGATCGTGATACTATAGCATCCAAGGTGAATTTAAGCTTACTTAATGCTTCTCATAATACACGCATCACTGTGGCGAAGATGTCGGTGATTTTTTAATGCAATTTTTACTCGCAGGTTCGGTTTTTGGACACTATTCGATACGCAGCTAATGAATTTTATTCGAAAATATGTTATACTATTTATTCTAGACTTAAAATATGAGAATTTTAAAAGCCTATTTGTAGTATACGTTTACTTCGCGGAGGCTCACCTAGGTATCGTCATGGCGAACATTTTCATATAGTCAGCGGCTGGAGGTGTGGGCTTACGTTAACGTTCCTTTCTATTTATAAAATTAGCTAAATACGACAGAATCTATTATTTTATAAAGCAAAAGGTAATAGTATTTAACACAAAGTTGAAAAAAAAGCAATTATAAACAATGCAAAACCCATTTTTCTTCTTTTTACAACATTGTGCAATCATTGGCCTTCCTGTCACTCCATTTTGTCACGCGAAATCAAAGGGGGAAGAAAGAAGCGTTTTAGCTGTTCAGCGGATTTTCAAATGAGACTCAAACCCTTACCTTTTGTAAGCAGGTACATAAACTGAATAATTAACAAGATGGCAACAATTGTTTTCTTTGATGAGGTTGGTTATAACTTCTGTTCGTCGGTATTTCTGGCTGTCACGGGCCAAGAATCGACAAGATATTTATCCCATTTTTCTCCACAGGCATATTTTACGTTTGCTAAGAACCGCGAGGAAAGGCTTACAGACCTCATTTTGGGCTTAAAACGACCTTTGCTGGACAATCGAATGGGACTGCTGGACATCAGGCAGGGGCAACTTGTGTTTTGATTTCGGCTGTTCTACTGAGGCACCTCGGTACAATTTTTGAGAAGCAGTATGGCGGATGTCGTCGAAAAAGAACAAAGTTTCCATCGCTCTGGGAGGAACCTGCTATTCACTGTGTATTTGAAAAGCGGCAAAAGCATACATGCATTTTTAGAAAACGAGTGCTGGACCCGATATCAAACATACGTTCGAGAAGCAAGATGAAAAACTTTAACACTGTAAGGGAAATTCTCATACATTTCTTTGTAATTTTATGAGCGGCGTTTTGAAATTTAAGTCCAAAAAGTGACGCGACTAGCGCGCGCGACGGCCATCATATGTGAAATTGCTCGCCATGTTTTAAAAGTGACGACTTTAAGAAGTCGCGCGGTCGTCAATGGGTTTCATGGCGTTTGGCCCGGGTGGTAGGCCAATTTCCTGCTTAGTATTTCCGTAAGTTTCCTAGTTTCAATCTTTGAAAGTTTACTCGGCGTAAGGGAGTTTTCCCCCCGTTCGTCGGCCATTTTTTTAAGCGTACACGGGAACGTGAAGTAAAATTACGTCACGTCGTTTACGAAGTTTTATTGGTCAGTTATCTTTTCTTCTCGTTCCAAATATGGTACTTTCGAAAATGAATAATTATGAGCATCGGACAAAGCAAGCATACTGGAGAAATACTCGATTCAACTCCTTATGAGTTTCGGGTTTCTCTTATATGACATTTCATGTGTGTTTTTCTTCGTTTGCTTACCCGGCAATAAGCGTTGTTATCTTCGTCTTTTGGTGGCTTTGTGTTTAAAAACCCAACAGAATTACCCTCAGTGAAGAACGGTTTGCTTAGCTCATCAAATACCAACCAACTCTGAAACAAAGTTAATAATATTGTAACAATTAAAATTACACACCTCAATAAGTAACAGTTAAGATTTCAATTCTTATCTCTTGGCTGTATTAACTAATGATTATGTCGCAATGCATTGATTATCTCTTAGTGTCAAGCCGTAATTTATTTGCTGTGAAGACTCCAAACGAGAGACGTGCGTCTCTATCCGTCCTTTGCCATTGTAATTTCTGTGGCGTTATGGTTAATAACACCAACCGATGATACAGAAGTCACTTTGACTGTTATGATGACGACTTCTTCACACATTCACCCAAACAGTCATATTAAGGCCTCGTCCACATGTATCCCTTTTTGTTTGAAAACAGAGATTTTTCCTCTGGTTTGGCCGACCGTCCACACGTATCCGGTGAAAACGGTCACTGAAAACGCATCTTTTCAAAAACGCTTTCCTGAGTGGAGATTTTTGTAAACACCGACTTCTCGTTTACGTGTAAACGGACGAAAACCGAGGTTTTTGAATAAGATGATGTCATACATCATATACGTCTAGCATGACGCAGCTTGGTGAGGGACTCTATCTTATTTCCGTTGTTTTAGCCTTTACGTGTGGACGGGCGAAAACAATTCAAATACGTTACCAGTGGGCGCGTATTTTTTGAAAAAGGAGGAAAAAAATCTCCGTTTTCAAAAATATCCGGATACGTATGGACTCACCCTCAACCTACTTGCATAACTTCAACAAAAATAGTTTAACGTCTTGACTTGAATTTTCGGGTACTTTTTTCCAACAAATATAATTCGATCTTATAAACGTTTCTCTTTTTTGGATTAGAAAAAGTCTTTATTTAAAGAGGTTATCATGATGTCACGCTGTTTGCTTTTTTTTTCGAAAAGCTAAAACTATTTTCGCATCAATTGAATTCCAAAAATAACGGTCCAGTTTTTTTTTTCTGTTATTGAAGATTATTTTCAGGCATTGAATCTGTTTCCTGTCTGTTGTTACGAATGGCAAGGATGGATTTGGCCATGGTGGATTGAAACCTGAAAAAGCTAGGCCAACTTTTTCAAGTTTTGATGCTATGCCTGCAAATATCACCTGAAAAATTACTATGGTTTCTCTTTTCTCATATAATTTGTTTTACTTTAATATCTTCTTCATAACTCTACAGGAGCATTTTGTGTATACATAAAAACATTAAGCATTGTTATGTTCCAAGACTTTCACTCAACTAAACAGGGACTGCCATCGGTTGATTCTTGGTCACATCGCCTCGACCAAAATCAATCATTCTCTCTTGCTAAAATCAAATGTATCCCTATCGTGATACGTTTGAGCAATTGTACCCCGCTCGGGATACATTACATTACGTGATCAAAGCATGGTGGAAAACGGCGGAAAAAACACTACCAGTTTTCACTTTCGGGGATGAACACAAACATGAAGCCTCAATTTAAAAAGCAACGTTTTTCACAGTTATGTATCCCTGAGGAGAAACAGCAGCTGGTGGAGAAAAAAGATGCAGGTAATAAGAAAAGTACTTGGTAAATCATTCATTCAGTGGCTTTGAGAATTAAATTTGTGTTCTTATAAGAACCGAATCGACTGTTTTGATTCGCTCCTCTTATTACGATCAAATTCTTGACTACCATTTTTTTTCACTAGATTGGCAGTTTAGTACTTGAAGCACATGGTGTGCAAATTATAGCTTCATACGATTAAGGAAAGTGGTATTTTTTTGCGCTCAAAAACCATTAGTTTTCGTCCGCCATTACAACGCTATGTTCCTGTGGCCTGGTTACCAAGAACACAAGACAATTGCTTTGTGACGTCATTTTCTTAACGCAGTATACACAGCGTGACAAATTTCTTGAAAGAACCCTGCTCAAACAAAATTCCCTTTCCTCCCACTTCGATGCGTTCTTGTTTAGGAAAACTCTTTCGATCTTACTACATTAGGTTCTCTATGTGTGCAGCAACCGTTTCAATCGAGAGAATTGGGCTGCACGCGAGTCTGACCAACTGAATGTGAGATTCGAGGAATAGGTTTGTTTGCAGCTGACAGTTTCGCTGTTTTCTCGGTTTAATAACTTGGAAGAGTGATGCAATGGCATTTACCGAGGCTTTCAACGCAAACCAGCTACAGTGGCGGAAGATTAAACTTGGATCTTTTACCAGCATATGGACGAAAGATCAATCAACAGATCTTGAATCTGAAAGAAATCTTCGCACGCAGAGGGAGCGCATGGAGGTAAGCTTACAGTTCGCGAACCTTGCAGTGAATGTCCCCTATGCTCATTGTTAAGTTTATTTATATCGCCGGTGGTTATTTTCGCTTTTACTACTGGCGAAGTCATCGAAGGTAAATTTTTTCTTAGACCTTTTTCGACTTGAACGCGACGCGACGACTACGAAACTTTTAGGAAACTCTCAGAAAGGTTTTACCCTAAGGCGACAGATCACAGAGAGCCCTCTAGTTTTGTAAACACTATAATTGCTCACACCTTGCTTTTGTAGTGTACTATTTGTTCTGTTACCACCTTTAACATGCCTTTGAGCTTTTATTAAACGCTTTAAAGTTCTATTTGTAAATTTTTATTATAAAATATTAAAATCTATCAGGATCATCGTGCAATCTGAATGGTATGATATTTTAAATTTCAGTAAATTCCTTAGTATTTCCAACATTCTGGTCGCAGTAACCCTCACTAAACACAAGGTATGCTTTTTTCAATTTTAGTCTTCCCAAAACGCAGAGCCTGATCTAAACTGCACAGACACATTGTCAGTTCAAACTACAAGCTAAAGCAAGAGAACCCACACAAGTTTATTGCAAAAACTTTTTTGCAATTTTGTAAAATACACCAAGAATTATTACCATTTACTGATGTGGTCTTTAAAATAAAATTGTGATCCTATCTTGAATGTTGTGTATTGTTATTCTTTTGAGTGAATAAAGAAAAGTTTTTCATTCCGGCATTGAATTCTTATAATAGTTATTAGACTTTATAAATCATAATTTGAGATGTGACTGACAGATTGCAAGTTAAATGAATAATCACCAAGGCTTGGTCAATGAAATATTTACCGCAAGTAAGGGTTATGTACATGTGCATGAGATAGTTTCATGTTCCCTGCTCCTCACTGCCGCTTTATGTTTCACTACTCAAGGTTGTGCTCTACCAGCACCCGGTTGGCCCGTGGTGCTTAACTATTGTTCCGGGGCAACTAGGAAATTTTTTCATTGAAATCATGTGCTGGGCACCCAGGATTTCACAGGTTCAGAGCACTGGGCTCCTTTCAATTTTTCTTACAGCATAGCCTTGCTACTTCAAAAAACCTTGGTGTATCTTCTAATCTGTGATAGACTAATGTTATTCCTATAAATGAGGTGGCTTCATGGCCCCTTCCCACATACATAAGCACTCTCCACCCTAGCCTGACAATTGATATGCACACTTGTTGATCCCAAGATAAATGTGAGGTCCCAGCTTAGAACCTGGAGGACACGTTTTGGTCTTACTTACATTGTGTGTACGGTATGCAATATAAAAATCCATTATTTTTCAATCATACCAGTGATTACGGTACAGTTGTACATAAACAAACCAAGGATTGTAATACTGTTTAAAGGCTGCAATTTTATTGTTTTTTTTCGTTGTTGCCTGATTTAGCATAGTCTATTTTGGGGTATTATATAGCCTGAGCCAAGCTAGGGCAGGGCCCGCGCAGAGGGAGGGGGCTGCCCCACTTTTTGAAAAATAAATATATAAAATTAAGTACAGTGGAACCTCGACAAAACAAAGGGCCAAGGGACTGGCAAAATATTTTCATTCTAACGAGGTTTGTTAGCTTATATCGAGGCTCATTTTCATATTGCCCTATATTTTACTATTACTGGAGTAAAAACAAAATGGTTTGTTAGACCGAGGACTTCATTATAGAGGTTGCATTGTAATATACATTTTCATATAAATAGTATCTTTGTTGGAATAAGAATCTTCCAGCATCTAAGTTTATCATTGGTCCGTTTAATTAAATCTGAAGACTACTCCACAAACCACGGTTTCTTAAAATGAATTATATCGGCTGATCATGTAGTCTCTGACGGATTTCAATGACATAATAGACAAAATGAAGGCGTTACAGGAACCTACTGTGTAATATCATGATCTGCAAACTTCTAGTGGTGGATCCAGCTTTTGCAATCACGCAGAGCAGGAGAAAGGTACTTTTCAGCAGCTTGAAATTTATAAACAAGACTCTGCTCAACAATGACTCAAAGAAGGTTCAGTAATCTGACAGTTCTAAACAGCCGAAAAGAGGGAACAGCAAAAAAATGCTCCTCCCCCCGCCCCACCTCAATGTAGGTGGTCACCTTCAGGGCGGAAAAACGTTCTGCGCAAGCTTCTGCGCATCCCTTATCACAGGCTCAAGGAGGGATTTTTTGCGTGTTGACTGTGTTTGTTTGTTGCTAGAGTTCTGAGTGAAATGCACGAGGTGCGAACGTTTGCTCCGTGTAAAGCATTTTTATTTGACATGTTTGCTTTTTTTTCCTCGCTTGAAAATTACTTTGGATTTAGAACAACCAATGTTAAAGGAAAAACGGATCATTCCGTCAGTCTGAGGTGGAATAAAAGGTTTTGAACATTTCTTAAGAGGCGAGTATTTTCTGATTGTGCATCCGATTAATTTATGAGTTGATTTCACCGGGTTGAATTAAAACCCGCTTGTATTCTGTTATTGGTAGTTTCGGTTACTTTTTTTACATGCCCAGATTTATTACCTTTGCAGAACCAGCTTCATCTTTTTCTTCAGTCAAAGACCCATATTGCTGTTATAACGCATCAGAGTCAACAAACTTGTGCGCTTATTAAATTTTCTCGGAAATGGAAGGCCAGCAAGCTTTACTCAAGATCGTTTTTCTGTTGCTCAAGTAATAATAGTCAGAGTTTTTTTCATTTTTCACTACATAGTTTTGTTTTCCAGTGCACTGTGAAAGTTTCTGTTCTTTATATGAATAACTTTCTGTACACAAATTGTCCTTTTCACTCGCTGTGAAGTAGAGGACGGCAACTGCCGGCAGTGACTTGAAAACAAATGACTCTTTTCCCGTAAACAATTGCTGCAGCTTGATTTGATTGAAGCGAGCAAAACAAACCCTTATGTGCAATTTTCTGTATTTTCTAATGATGATCGGCTGAGTTTAATTTGCTTAAACGAAGACCCTTGCATGGACCAGTATAAGCTTATTGAAAACAGCTAAATGGTGAATCATGGCTTAGCTTTGCTGCCAAGTTGCAACTGATCTTTTGCTTTTAAGATATTTAGGTAGGTTGTTTTCGCACAGAAAATTCATTTTTTCATTGTCAGCAAGAAGTTTTTGAAATAATGCAACTTTAACTTTGTTTGAAGGAAATCCTACCTACGCTTAGGTTTTTGACAGATGTTATGCGTGTTCAACTTGACAACACAGAGCAAAATTTATATATCTGGGCGAAACGAGTCGAGCAAGTTTAAAAAAACTATAGTTGCTTTGAAACCGATTTTTGGTAAGATTTTACTAGATAAAGATTGACCTTTTTTTCTGCCCACATATCAACGCAATGACTTCTACATTGAGGATTTTGCTTATATTTTAGTGATCTGCGAAACTACGAGTGTCCGATCGAGCGAGGGTTTTAAAATATCAGCTCGAGTGCGACAAAGTTCATTGACTTCAAACACATTGTGGGCAAGCGTTATTTTTTTTGAGCAAATCACTGTCCAAAGATATGTTGTTTTTGTTTCCACAGTGGAGCTCCGGACCTTATATATCCAGGAACTTCCTTATATAAACACATTTTGTGAATGCATCTCGAAAAAAATCGGACCTACGCACGCACATTTCCAGTACAACGCAAGGAAATTAATGTCGTTAAAGTCCGTTTTACTATGAGGTATTCTTCAAGAAAATGAAGTAACGACTAGGTTATAACCACAGCTTGCAACTTTTGAAGACAAATTGCCTGTTCTTTCTAGATTATGAGTGGAAACATTTTATTTTTAGGCAATAAAATATTTGAAATCCCGCCATTTTTTCAAACCCGGCCAGGGGTCTGGGCAAAAAAGTTCACGCATGCAAATTACGTTATTCCGCCCTGAAGTGGTCACCGGCCCCTGCACTTTAAAAACTGCTCCCCAGGCCCTGTTGGAGGTTTTAACTCTTAAAATGCTAGTTTCTAATAATATTTCGCAATGGGAAAAACCAACAAGAAAAACCCATAGAGCACAATCGAGGATGGACCTCCATGATGAACATAATTTCCACTGGGTGACACTTCTTCCTAGAGGCAAGTGAATTTATGGCGCACTGTGTTATCAGCAGAATCGTGCAACCTAGCGATGTACCTAACCATTTAGTTTTTCAATACATAAAGTTAGTTGCAAATAATAATTGATTAATGCAGTGATAACCCACTCTATGATCTAGAGACACCCACTTAATTTGACACCCATATATAACAGGCTGCGTTTTGTTTGTCCTGAGGAAAAGCTCACATTTTTTCTTTAAAATTAACCAGCTTAGTACGCACAATAGTTAATGTGGACAACAAACACTTTTCTGTGTTTAAAGTCAGAAATTCCTATATATTCTTAATCCAGGTTTACAGACACTGGTTACCTAGGCACTTTTTATTTTTCTTGTCACAATGATGTGCCAATTATAGACATTGTACGAAGTGCACTAGTTTTTATTACCAAAACATCTGCAGCCAAATAGCATGACACATTTAATTTTGATATGTTTTTCTTTCTTCCCCTGTTTGTAGTGCTTCGATAAATTTTCTGTCTCCTATTCAACAAGTTTCACGTCCTTGGCTTTTTGCTACAGTCATTGTTCCTACACTTCTTCCTCCTTGTTCCTTTATGCTATATATCAAATAAATCACGTGTCTGTGACTTTTTTCCGGAGAACTAACTTAAAATGGACACCTGGATAATACGGACACCCAGATAATACCGACATCATAGCATGTCTGTATTAACCGTTCCACTCTATATATTTTCTTGTCTAGCCAAAAATATGCACACCTGGGTTTGAATAATAGTAAAAAAACGTCACATACAACAATGTCATAAAGCGATGTATAAAATTATGGGAATACAAGAGGATATCATCGACAATAGTTGGATGAGGTGAAATCTCTGAATTTTTATTAGTGTTGCGATTTTTAAGTGACAATAATGATCTGCTGTCAATAGATAGGGAAGGCATAGGCAGACACAGCCTTTTCAAAAAAATATGAGCTACAAAGAATGTGACAGTCTTTAATGTCAGCACTGAAAGTTATTAAATTGATGTACCAAATTAAGGCAGAGCGAGCGAACCCCTTATATACTTATCTGTTTATATTGAAAGTGAGTAAATTAACTTTTATGACATTAGATCTAATTAAATCATCAGCTGAGATACGCAACACTAAAGTAACAATTAAATTTTCAATAATAATGGACGGCAGTCCGTTTAAGATGGTAAATAAAAAAAAAAACATGACAACGAGCTGCTTTAGAACTGAAACTTAGCTGAACTGAAAACTGTACCCACTCTGATTCGCTGTGCCTGAAGTGCTATAAAGCAAAACTTTATCTAAACTTGGATAAAACAGCACTCGCGAATGGCTAGAAGGCAGGTAAAATTGGTGCGGACTCTCGATCGTCTTTCCTGTGTTTTATTATAGCAGTACTTATATATAAGTACACCTACCAGTAGTCCGAATCTCCCTCTGCACAAAGTGCATAAAATACGACTTGGTAAAGTGCGCATTTCTTCCTTCACTGAGGCTAGCTGCCCTCAGTATTTGACTTTCTCATATTCAGTCGGTGCTGGTTCTACAGAGTCATCGTAATCGATGATTTCCTCCTTTACAATTCCAGAATCGGGCGAAGACGAGCGAAGCTTTGAGAATCGCTCCCTTCCCCTCAGCTTTGTTTTTCTCGGCGCGTTCAGAAAATGACGTCACAAGTCAGAGAACAATAGCTTTGTATTATAAGACCGCAACTCCAAACAGTGGGCTCACTGGAACATAAATTTGTAATGGCGGACGCGAAAAACCTACATTTTCAAGCTCAAAATTTTCACTTAGAGAGCGCCAAAAGAGATTTCTATGACCGAAACAGGCACCGTCACTTCTGATAAGTTGAAAAGAAATCGTTTTTTGTAACAAACTTGACATTAAATTTTGATCGTAGTAGCACTTTAATGTCAGGTTCCTCGGGAAACCAGTTAGTTTTGATTTCCCTCGAGTCGAGAGAAAACAAAATTAACTGTTTATCTCGGGATCTGACATTATTTGTATAATTACTTCAGCTCATAATTGATGAAAGGGTTAAAACAACAACAATATTCTCCTTAAAGAGACAAGGTTAGTCGCTTTGACTCTGATGATGACTACCGCACAGGTTATCTAAATTTTGTTCGCTGTAAACAGGTGAATTCAGGAGTCAAATTTAACAGAACTTTTACAAGTGTAATTCAGAACTGTACCTATTGTCTTCAGACTCTAAAGCAATAGCTACACTTAATAACTACACTACAGGGTGTCCCAAAAGTTCGTTCCTCTACTTTGTAAGTCTGTAGCGTAACTTACGATTGTACTCGTGAAACAAATCATTTATGCAAAAGTTGTTTATTTCAGTCTGATAAAGTATAATATATTTTTTTGCGCCATCTTTTTATTGGAATATTCCAATTTTGCATTTTCCCGCCAAATGTGTGCACGCGCGTTTGTGTTTTCCCGCCAAATATTTGTCGCATTTTGTGTTCTGCATCGCTCACAATCTTTCCTCGGTTTTGTGAATATCATGAAAGATGCAAGCTGTTAATGCTAAAATGTTCAGCTACTTGACAGCCCAAGCGTCTATACTTAGATCTACTGGTTTGTCAGTTAAAGAAATTTCCAAAAAGCTGAAAAAATCTGAACGTTGGGTAGTAAAATGGTCGTCAAGAAACGACGGGTTTGAAGACAAGAAAAGAATGGGAAGACCGAAAATCCTTAATGAGGCAGCTAAAAGAATTCTGAACAAAGCTAAGTACTAAAGGGAATCTCGACCAGACAGCTCTCACAACAATTAGCAAACAAAAGCCATGTTGGGGAAAAAAGTACCATCTGTAGATTTATGAAAAGCGAAGGTTGGAGACCGCTGAGAAGGCAAAAGAAACCTTTGCTCAGAGCCAAGCAATGTGCAGCTCGACAGAAATTTGCTAAGCAGTGTAAAAACCTCAGTGTGGAAGAATGGAATGATTTTGTTTTTTCGGACGAATGTCCCAAATATTTGTTTCAGCTGCCCAATCCAAAAAGTGATATTGTTAGGGGTTCTCAGGTGAGCCAAGTTCCTGCAGCATATCAGCTAGGTTAAAAAAAGTTCAAAGTGGATCACATGGGGCGGAATGATAGGCCGCGGTCTCACTGGGATACATTTTTTAAATTTTACCCCAAGGACAGAGCTTGGCTGCCGAGTACTTCATCAAAAACATATTAGAGAAAGAAGTGAAGCCTGTCCTCCACCGTAAAAATGTGAATGAAGAAAAAGACAAGCGAAAATTGTTCTGTTCCAATCGCCACATGACGTTCGTCCAAGACGGGGCGCCAGCACACGAAGCCAAGGCCACCCGGGCATGGTGCAAAAAAAAAACCTGCCAAATTTTATAGAGAAAACATGCTGGCCCCCAAATTCCCCAGATATCAACACCTGTGGAGAATCTCTGGAGCATAATGGATGAGGTTGTCTATAAAGAACCAACGCCTAAAACCATGAAGGATCTGAAAAGACGGTTCAAACAAGCCTGGAAGAAAATCCCGCTCGCCACGCTACATGACTTATCCCACTCCATGCCGCAACGGCTTCGGAGAGTGATAACAAACAAAGGAGGGCATGCCGGATATTGACTTTTCGAATATATGTCCTCAGTAAAGCAATAAACGTCGTTAAGAAATTTCATGCAGAAGTGTAGTTTCGATCCAAAGTTATGTCGCATGTAATAAGAGGAACGAACTTTTGGGACACCCTGTATTCAGTTGACCCCAGGACTACACTCTCCCGGACGATCATATTCCACCAAATTATATTTCACTGTTGTAAGAACAAGTTTTTTGATATATTAAAACGAGTACGTACCACGGTAATGTCTTCATGTTTCCCATCAAAGTTTTGCATTTCACGAAGACAGACCTTAAATGAGTCCTTATTTGGATCTTCTGTCCATATTAGGGACGCATCATACTCCTTTCCAGTCCTCAAGTGTTCCGCGGTCACAAGAATTAGAGGTATCTTCGTAAACTTATTCTGTGTAAGGTTTAAGAAACTAGAGATTAAACATTTAGTATCTTAAAATTGTACAGAATCTGTCTCGTACGCCATCATTTTAGTTACTAAGGCAATCGTTAATTATAAAGTGGTTCTCATAATAATCTTGTAACTTAGTACAGCAAAGACATTCATTTGCCTTGTGTAGCAATAATAAAATGCACATATATATATATATATATATATTTATGACTGATTATATATATATTTTTATGATTTATATATATATATTTATGACTGATTATTCCACTCGGGCTTGTTGGATATGAGATGATTATAGCCAACTCGGCGCTATGCGCCTCGTTGGCTATCTATCATCTCATATCCAACGCGCCCTCGTGGAATAATTGTTAAATATATATATATCAAATGCGTGGAACAGTCATTTTTCATTCCAAATGTTCGACCGCAACTGTCCGTCCTGATCGAGAAAACACTTTGGCCAGGATCACAGTCTGATCTTGACCTTGGGAACTGGGACAAGGTGAAAACGAGGCCGCACGTGTTCATTCAGGGTGCTCCTTTCCTGCCTCCCACCTGGCCTTCGGTCAGAGCAGGGTCTGTTCGACGCTGTTATTATAAGAAAAAATGATGGGATTTTATTTTTTAACTTAGTCATTTTACCTTGGGAAAAGCTACATGTTCACATTTCGTCCCAGACCACCACTTTTGCATCTTAATCGTTCCTGTCATTCCATTGGGTGGTGCTCCTTGGTAAGCCAGCCAATCGACAGTCGCAAAGGGATTCAACTTCTCTTTGCTCTTTCTTCCTGCCTGCATAACGCAAACTGTAAAATTTTGGGAGTTAACACTTTCAGTCCATGAAGTGACGGCATCGTGGACTGTCACGGAGTCATTCAATTTCACGTGATTTACAGTAACTTGAACCTGGACTTGTTTATCCGGATAAAAACGATAAGGCGGGAAATACACCGTCTGGCAGGTGGAATCTGTCCATTTTGGGGCTCGGTGAAGGTCAACTCGGCCACGGACAACTGGGAAACCTTTTAAAAAGAGCATTTTAAATAAATAAGACTAAGAACCAACCTATTGTAAATTGAAGAATTCGCTCTAGAAATCAGTTATTCCCACCTTCACAGCTCCCAGGGTGATACACAAGGGTTTTGTCCAGTCCCTTACAGTAGCTCAACTCTTGCCAGCATTTGTTGTCGTATGTTGTTCCACTCGCAGAGCATACTGGGTCCTGGTAGGTAGGGCAGTCTTCGAAACACACGCAGCGTGTTTCATGTGGACTGTATGCCTTGCAGACTCCAAAAGACGGACAAACGACATTAAGGCAAGGATCGAGGTCTGAAAACAAAAAAACAATTAGCTTAATTACTGCTTGAAATTATATGTGAGGTTAGTTTTACCTGACCAGAGCCTCCTAATCTTGCCAACACGATAACCTCTTAGAAAAGTTAGTTTCACCAAGAGCCTATAACACGGAGCGAGCAACTCCCTTGTGGCCGTGAAACGGCGTATTCACAGACCAGTCTATTTTTAGATCGATCTTCCCGCGAATTTCGACCATCAAATAGTTAAATTCTTACAAATCAATCAGTTAAAACCGGAGACTAGAAGATAGCATTTCTGATGTTTTGACAGCATTTACTTTTTCTATTTGTTATTATTGTGCTATGGATGCGCACGCATACGAGATGGTGCTTCTATTTTCGCGGGAAATAAGGCTCCAAAATGATGCTAAAAATAAACTGATCTGTGAAATCGCTGTTGCATAGGCCAAGTATAGGAGTTGCACGCTCTGGGTTAAGAACTAATGTTTTAATTCGTTCAGACGTGAACGAAGTTCGTTGTTAACTCCACATGTAAGCGTACCTAATGGGTGACAGTTTCCCTTCTAAATAGGTAAGTTATTTATATGCAGTGTATATGAAATGAAAACTTATAACTTTAGACAAGAGAGACTGAGCTATTCTCTCTTGCTTAAGATGATTTTTTAAAAGGTTAAGGCAAAGAAGCCATATTTTACGTCGATAACTTTTGAGAGAAATTCAACTGATAAACGTAAGGTCGACGTTTCCTTCATTTTACCCCCTCTCTGCATCAATGCTCCATTTTAAGGGTATTTTAAAACCTAGTTAAAGCTACACAGAAGGGAGAGATGTTGAAACAAGGATATGATGTCCCTGGGGATCGAGCTTGAGATCTCACGCACCAAGGGCCGCGCACTAAACATCTGTACCATCCTTGCACGCTCTGAAGTCATCAGAGCGTTCAGTTCGCCTGAGCAGCACTCACCTCCAGTAACAATGTAATTGACCGACAGAGGATCGTGTTTTGTCCCCATTCCACTCAAGTCTCTGACACAAATTTTCATGGATTTCAGTCCAACTTCCTGAAATGGAACAGAAGTCGCTCTGATGAAGTTGACTTTGCACCGCATGTTCAAGAATTAAAAAGCGAAGAACTGGAGAAAAGTATCACCTAGCATACCTCCACCCATCCTGTGACAATATTATTTTCTGGTAGAATGATGTTTTTCTGGTTGCGGTCATAATAGTGCTGAACGGCAACCAGGACCACAGGTGACGCGTAGAAGGTGGTGTTGTAGTTGATATTCTGTTAAAACAGTTAATGGAGTGTAATGCTTAGTCTTAATTTGTTAACCTGGAAAAATGTACACGCTACGGCAGAATGTACATTGTAGTACTAGAAATTATAGCGAAACCCTATCATGACCGCAACTTCTAACATGTCGCGGCAAGTTTGCGAGATTTCTTCGATCTACTGGAAAGCGCTTAAACCGTCAATAGCTAAATGAGGGAACCGGTGTTTTATTGTGAAGAGTTTCGAAATCTCTCTTGTTATTTTGTTCAAGTACAGGATATTATTTTGTTTTGACATTTAGTGTGAAGAAAACGAAGCATGTGACCCTCTATGGGATTTTGATCTGGAAAGGCTTATTTCAACCTCAGCAAAATCAGTCCTAAATATGGAGGTAACCAACTGTCACATGTCAAATTATATAGAAAGGGATAGAAGGCCTTTACGTCGCCGTTTGATAACCTCCGGCTTGAAACGCAGTGAAACGCGCACAAAATCCACAAACACGAATATCAAAAGCATTGACCGCGACGCACATGGGTTTGCAATCCCATGATTCCTAGAAAAAGACAGGCACGCAAGGCGTGCACAAAAACTATACAACTTTCTTATCAAAGTACGATACTTGACAGAATCCATAGTTGTCATATGCTGTCGGTTTGCCAATGTTGGGAAACGTTACTTCTCCTGTCTTCGTAAAATTGAAAGTGGAAGCGTTACCCAAAAATGCGAACCAGTCCTGCAAGTATAAAATAGATAAGTATTTATTCAGCATGAATGTTTGGAAATCACAATTTTCACTTTCTGATTACAAATACTGTAAAAAGATTGTTCGTTCTAACCTTGTAAAGAAAATAGTAAGCTATGAGAGAGAATAATTTCTGCTCAAGCCAAAGAAGCCTGTTCCTGATAGTCATATATAGGATAATGTCTGAGCACCTCGGCCTTCTTAAAATAATGACCGACTGCGGAGCGCGAGGTTATCATTTTTAAGAAGGCCGAGGAGCGAGAGCATTATTCGATTCAATGCACCTTTTCACTGTTTAAGAACCAGCAAGTCATAATTGTGGCCGCTGAAGTTGAACAGTAGCTATATATTCGTAATAATGACTTCCTGTTACACCTCCGTGACCTATCCTTTTGTTATTGAAAAACAAAAAAGGCCTTTCCAAAGTAATAAAAAGTACATTAAAATGATGAAAACGACGATCAAGACGGTGACGAAAATAATGATGTTGAAAGGATACTGGAAGTGTTGATGGTGGTAGTGTTGATTATCAATGACATGAATGTGATGATGTTGAAGTGAAGATAAATGGGTAACTATAATAATGACAGTAGTGACGGTGATTATTTTCATAAAGGTGATGATGTCGATGATGGTATTCATATGGCAAAATTATACACACCACGACTGTATCTTGGTGTTTTCCATCAAATGGGGAGAATTCCCTGATGCACACCTCGAAACCTCCGGAACTGACATTCTCCAACCAAACATAAACTGCATCATTGGGCTTTGTGGTTCGAGTGTACTTCGCCGAGAGAAAAACAAAGGGTGTTGCAGCAAAGTTCTGAAATATTCACATATCTTCGTTAGGTTAACAAAGAAACACAATTTCTAGACAGTCGATCAAGCGTTCCTGGGTGAGAAATCAATGTCGCCTTGCCTGTTGAAAGGTTAGTATGTCACATTTGGTTTCTGTTGTCCACATTCCACCAAACGCTATGCTACCAGATGTAACTTGTGGTTGATCTTGGAAAGCCATCCAGTTTATGATTCCAGTTCCATTTGATCCATCACCTGCCTCACGTGCGCATGCCTCAAATCCACGTGTACTGACAGAATGAACCCACAATGCAGCAGGTGAGTGGACACGTGAAAATTTTTCACCATGGCTTAGTGAAACGTGCACACTGACCTAAAAGGATTGAGCAAAAAAGTGTATAATATCTTAATTTGGCAAGAGCTAAAAGAGAACCTTCTCTTCATACATTACAACGGTAATTGCTTAGACTTGAAAAAACGACCTTGCGAGGAAATTCGTGTCCAAAAAAAAAAAATACTAATATGTAACTTGAACCTGGGATCAATTTCAGTTAGTAATAACTGGTCTACGTAAAACTAAAAAGACGCGTGACCTAGATGAGTTGAGCTCCCTAAGCCCACGCTATAGTCATGTGATACTGATTAGAGGATACCCTGATTTGACAGCTGTCAATTAAGCTCAAGACTGAAGGTCTAAAATTGCGAGCTGCCACACTTGCTAGAAAATGAAATTTCACATTGGTTTTCTGTAGTGTAGGGGCGTATGGTTAAGTGATTACCCAATTTTCTCGGATGCATAGATAACCCAAATTTTATTACCCATGGTTTTTCGCCATTATGAAATGCAGAAATAGAAGGGATTGTCTAGTTTGTGTTTTTAGTCAAACTACTTGACTTCATTTTGATTTAAATAATAAATAATACGTGACAGTAACGACGTTCTTGGCATGTAAGCATTTAATACACTTGTTTCAGACTAAGATAGACTGGATATGAGTCCATTTATCATGGGATTATCAACACAAGACTCACATAGTCCGAAAGAGCACAGTGAGCTTTACAAAATTCTTCTGTTTGGTTCCTCACGGATTAATAATGAACGAGACACAGTTTTTCAAAACATTTAAATTAAGTCTGGACATGTGTCCGGTAACACATTTTTTGCAAGTTTTAAATGGCTTTATCGTGTTCAATATTGGCCCGATAAACAGCAAATTTTAAAGCTCGTTTTGTTCTCTCTGACATTGTGGGTCTTGTGTTAATATTCCCTCAACACACCAACTCGTATCTAATCCCCCTCGATTAGAAACCAGGCAATAGGTAGACTTGCCTTTCCTGATCCAGTAAATGTTTCCGGGAAAAGAACTTTTGTACAGCGTGGTAAATGACAGTATTGAGGTGGCGAACAGGCACTGCTGCAGCTCCAGTCTTGAAAACTATCTGACATGTTGAACTTGCCAGTTTGAAAAGAAGCCACTTCTCCATTGACAAACTAGAATAAACAAGGTACTGATGAGGCATGAAATGGACTAACCCACAGTAATTCACCGGGGAAGTAATAACAGATAAAATCCAACGGATGGGAATACCACCACCAACACTGACCTCTACTCTTAGAGAATACATCTCCCCGCCCTTCCTCCCCACGGATCCCTTGAGGGTATTGTTTGCCTGCGGACGTTGGTGGAGCTCTGGCTAGGCAGAGCCGACTGTTGATTAGCGCATTAGATCATCTTCGTATGTATTTTGCGCTATATAAGTAATAAATTCCTATTGTTATAAAGTAATCATAATAAATTAAATAGAGAAGAACAAACTGCTTTGCGAAGAAATAGGAAGGTTGTAGAAGCTGAGAAGGTGACAGTTATGCCATTTGTGATTGGGAGCTGTATCCAATATCAGTTTGAGAAATACCCGGGAAAGCTGAACGTTACCATCATAGTTGAAGTAATAACAATAATAGAGATAATAACGATGATAGTAATAATAATAATAATAATAATAATAATAATAATAATAAAAATAATATTGGCTCTGGAGACAGGCGTATAAGTACCCAACCCTCATTAGTGGGACCGAAGCCAAACAACTAGAGCTACGTGTCGGTGTACGAATTTCATCATGCGACAAGGAGCTTTGCAGCTCTGGCTGGAAAAATTGCGAGATGTGAGACGCCAAATTTTTATTTCCACTTTAAAGAGCAAGTTCGACTTCCTTCAGTCAGTGTTGGCACTTCAGTGTTGAGAAGGCGATATTGCTGTTCATGTGCTTTAATGTTTTAGGGGTCGACGGAAATTTAGCAGTATTAAAAACCAACGTGTTTGAATGACTGTTCAGTCTTGTTGCTAGCGAAAACTTATACGATCGGAGTAGTAGAGCTAAACTAGACCAAATGGAAATAATATAGGTGCTTATTTCTTTTTCCAAGTGTTACACAAAGAGAAGGCAATACTGAAATCAAATGACATTTTCGGACCCCTTTAACACATCTCAAAATTAAAGCTTTTTAAAAGGTTTTTAACCTCAATCTCGAAAGGTTATCTGCCATGCTGTGAAACTAGAGATCATGATAGCAACGCTTTGCTATTTATATGCTAAGAGTATTAGTTTTTAAAACCATAAAAAGTGCCAGGTTCTTTACGTTCAACCAATTACGTTGTTTTAAGTCAATATCCCCTGATTTAGATCATCGTTGAGCTTTCACATTGAGGTCCGATTCGTTTTATAGGAGTGAATTAAGGTCAGAATTTTTTTTCTCAATATTTCTTATCTTCTTCCATTATGCTACTTATAAATTAAGGTGGCGTGCTTTTTACTGACGTTTAAAACAAGGAATAACTTACGCATTTAGGGTAACTCACAAACGATAGCAACAGCAAAGGAAGAATCGTCAAAAACATGACTCCTCAGTGGGTCAAAAAGGTTCAAAACTGAAAGAATAAATAACATTTTGGAGTTATTTTCTTGTCAAGTCCTTCACAAACGCATACTTTGTCAGTACTCTGAAAAATTTCATTTTGTATGCAAAATCAATGGGACTTTAAAGCGGATATCCAGGAAACTCAAAAACAGTGCGCTTCTTTTTTCGGAAAGACGTAACAACGTTAGAAAGTGATTACAGCAGTATAAAAATCTGAGCCAAAGTAATTGGCTTTGCCTCCGTCCGCCCCACAGTTTAATCCATCCATTTACCCCTCCCAATTCTGACTAACTGGTCCCCGGATAGCTGATTTCCTAGTAAATCCACGAAAAGATCAAAGGATCACATCAAGGCGAAACTTTCCAGTTCCACTGATATAGTCACCATATCAAGCATCAGTAAGATCTAAACGAAACTCCGATGATGCTAGAGACGATAGCCTAAAGCAGACACTGATAAAAGCTGGAACTGTACTGGTGCTTACTGATAGTTTTTTTTTTCCAACATTTTCACTTACCACTGTTCGCTGTGTAAATTCCCTATCAGCTGCTTTGCAGAAATGCTTATGGTTGAAGAAAGCTTGAATACTCACTGTGCAATATTGGTTTGAGCTGACTCTCAGTTCTGGTTGTAGAATGTTACAGTGCGACTACTATAACCGGAGCCACCTAGATAAAGTTGACCAATCAGATTACAGGAAAATAACAATGCATTCCGAGAAAGTTAGTTGTCAATCATAATCGAAATCAACAGCATGAATCAAAATTAACCAATTACAACCTACCTAACCTTTTGAAGCCGCTGAGAAAAAGCTCGTGTTTCCCGTGAGAGTTCTGTTAGAGTGAATGACGCAGGCAAAAACCGTAAACGTTTTTTTAATTTTTGACATTAGGTCGTGATGTTGTTGCAATGCGCGGCAATGGTAGCGAAGAAATTGCCGGTAGATGACAAAATAACAGCTTCTGTCAGACAAATATGTCTCCTGGTTGTTGTATGTAAAGTCTTGAACAGAAAAACATTGTCTAATTAAACATTTTGCTTTATTGAAAAACGTTACTTTGCCATCAATGTTTACATTTTGTGCTCTGCCCACAACCAACGTTCATGGAATGTATTGTTATTTTCCCGTAATCTAAGTGGTCAACTTTGTCGCCCCGGTTACTGTAGTCGCACTGTAATTGGCTTATTTTTGTCAGTGGTCTCTTCAGTGTCAGGAAATAATTATGGTCCTTGGGGGGTACTCACCATTTACATCAGAAAACTTGAAATTCCGGTTGGAAAATCAAGAAAATTTGGGCTGTGATTTGAGGTGATGCAATTAATTTACTCTTTTCAGTATATTCATCTGATTTGGATATACTTTGTTGCGCGTTCTAAAGCTGTTTATGCAAAAGATTTCTACCCGGATTACTAAATGGTAAACACTGCTTGCATGCTGCCTCTATTGGTTCAGTATTGTTTGATGAGTTTGGCTCTTTCAGTCAATGTGCCTGTTATCAAAATGATCATTTTGGCTTCAAGCCCCATCGGATATAGGTCGCCTTGTCCCGCCATTTCCCCTTGCTTTCTAAGCTTAAGGAATCTGATAGAACTACAAGGAAAAACGTGCTTATGAGAATTGTTGTTGTTTTTGTTTTGATGGCAGCCTAGTAATTCTATTTGTATTGGTCTTTAACCCAGAATTCTTACAAGGTTATCTGTCCATCTGTCCAGATATAGGGCTCGTTCACCAAAGCACCAAAGTGTTACCTCAGTGTTGCTGAATTAAACCTTTAAGTTTTGGACATTTTGAACTTGTTGTCAAAGAGTCTTTCCCTGCTGTTGCTGACGTTCGTGTGCACTCCACAAAGCGTAAGTTCCCGTCTTGTTTATATCTGTAAAAGATAGCACATTAAGTACATTGACGGCGCTCCAGTCATTCCTTAGACAAGTGCGAAAAGTCCTCAACTTTTTGAAAAACCAACCATACGTAAAATTTAAAAACTAGCCTCAATTTATCAGTCACTATTGCGACGATTCATTTGAAGATATATGTAACGAAATATTGCTACAAACAGGATCTTTGTCGAAAGAAAATAACCTAATACGTTTTATAATTTTACTAAAACCAATACCCTCAGCAACACTGAAGTAACACTTTGGTGCTTTGGTGAGCCCTATATCTGGACAGATGGACAGATAATCTGTAAGAATTCAAGGTTCAAAGCGTTTAAAAGAGAAAGAAAAATGGAAAAATGCACGTAACGAATGATGCTTTGACAAAGATTACTAGATGCTCAATGATTGGGGCTTAAGATACATCCAAACCTTATTCATATGACCAATGTAATACTTTCTCATCAGATTTTCCTTGTTGTTCTCTCAGATTCCTTAAGCTGAGAAAGCAAGGAGCAATGGCGTAACAAGGTGGCCTATATCCGATGGGGCTTGAAGCCAAAATGATAATCACATTAACTCATATCCAGGAGAGTTTGTAATAGGGATCTATACCGTAAGGCCAGAATACTTGACCGTTCTATACCCGGGCTGGTTATTTTGCTTTGGATAAGTTAAATCCTGATATTAAAGGCATTTCAGTTTGTTTTGCTTAGTAAATCTGAACCAAGAAATTCAACGTCGGTTTCATGAAATTTTACGGACCTCCAAGGGTCTGTGAAAGCCAAAGAAATCAAACAATTCTGAACCAAATATAGAAGCAGCATGCCGTTGTGTTTACCATTTAGTAACCCGGGTAGAAAACTTGTGCACAAACAGAAACGGCTTTAGAACGCCCAACAAATCTTGTGCATAGACGGCTTTAGAACGCGCAACAAAGTATATCCAAATCAGATGAATATACTGAAAAGAATAAATTAATTGCATCACCTCAAATCACAGCCAATATTTTCTGAGAAGCTTCCCAAACTGAATAGCGCACACCATTTGATTTTCCAACCGGAATTTCAAGTTTTCTCATGTAAATGTTGAGTACCCCCCGAGGACCATAATTATTTCCTATCACTGAAGAGACCACTGACAAAAATATGCCAATTACAGTGCGACTACTGTAACCGGGACAACAAAGTTGACCACTCAGATTACAGGGAAATAACAGTACATTCCATGAACGTTGGTTGTGGGCAGAGCACAAAATGTAAACATTGATGGCCACAATTAGTTTTTAGCTAAATACCTTGACACTTTAAGTTTAGTATGTATGTATGTATGTATGTATGTATGTATGTAACTAAAGCATAATGTTTTACTAGACAATGTTTTCCTGTTCAAGACTTTACATACAACAACCAGGAGACATATTTGTCTGACAGAAGCTGTTATTTTGTCACCTACCGGCAATTTCTTCGCTACCATTGCCGCGCATTGCAACAACATCACGACCTAACGTCAAAAATTAAACAAACGTTTACGGTTTTTGCCTGCGTCATTCACTCTAACAGACCTCTCAGGAAACACGGGCTTTTTCTCAGCGGCTTCAAAAGGTTAGGTCTGTAGATTGTAATTGACTAATTTTGATTCATGCTGTTGATTTCGATTATGATTGACAACTAACTTTCTCGGAATGCATTGTTATTTTCCTGTAATCTGATTGGTCAACTTTATCTAGGTGGCTCCGCTTATAGTAGTCGTAGTCTAACATTCTACAACCAGAACTGAGAGTCAGCTCAAACCAATATTGCACAGTGAGTGTTCAAGCTTTCTTCAGCCATGAGCATTTCTGCCAAGCAGCTGATCGGGAATTTACACAGCAAACAGTGGTAAGTGTCTCTAGGATCATCGGAGTTTCGTTTAGATCTTACTGATGCTTGATATGGTGACTATATCATCGGAATTGGAAAGTTTCGCCTTGATGTGATCCTTTGATCTTTTCGTGGATTTACTAGAAAATCAGCTATCCGGGGACCAGTTAGTCAGAATTGGGAGGGGTAAATAAATGGATTAAACTGTGGGGCGGACGGAGGCAAAGCCAATTACTTTGGCTCAGATTTTTATACTGCTGTAATCACTTTCTAACGTTGTTACGTCTTTCCGAAAAAAGAAGCGCACTGTTTTTGAGTTTCCTGGATACCCGCTTTAAAGCCCCATTGATTTTGCATACAAAATGAAATTTTTCAGAGTACTGGTAAAGTATGCGTTTGTGAAGGACTTGACAAGAAAATAACTCCAAAATTTTATTTATTCTTTCAGTTTTGAACCTTTTTTGACCCACTGAGGAGTCATGTTTTTGACGATTCTTCCTTTGCTGTTGCTATCGTTTGTGAGTTACCCTAAATGCGTAAATTATTCCTTGTTTTAAACGTCAATAAAAAGCACGCCACCTTAATTTATTAGTAGCATAACAGGAGAAGATAAGAAATATTGCGAAAAAATTCTGACCTTAATTCATTCCTATAAAAACGAATCGGACCTCAATGTGAAAGCTCAACGATGATCTAAATCAGGGGATATTGACTTAAAACAACGTAATTGGTTGAACGCAAAGAACTTGGCACTTTTTATGGTTTTAAAAACTAATACTCTTAGCATATAAATAGCAAAGCGTTGCTATCATGATCTCTAGTTACACAGCATGGCAGATAACCTTTCGAGATTGGGGTTAAAAACCTTTTAAAAAGCTTTAGTTTTGAGATCAGTTAAAGGGGTCCAAAAATGTCATTTGATTTCAATATTGTCTTCTCCTTGTGCAACACTTGGAAAAAGAAATAAGCACCTATATTATTTCCGTTTGGCCTAGTTTAGCTCTACTATACCGATCGTATAAGTTTTCGTTGCTTTTTAATACTGTAAAATTTCCGTCGACCGCTAAGACATTAGAGCACATGAATTGCAATATCGCCTTCTCAACACTGAAGTGCCAACACTGGCTGAGGAAAGTCGAACTTGCTTTTTAAAGTGCAAATAATATAAAAATTTGACATCTCACATCTCGCAATTTTTCCAGCCAGAGCTGCAACGCTCCTTATCGCATGATGAAATTCGTACACCGACACGTAGCTCTAGTTGTTTGGCTTGGGTCCCACTAATGAGGGTTGGGTACTTATACACCTGTCTCCAGAGCCAATATTATTATTATTATTATTATTATTATTATTATTATTATTATTAGATATTGAAAAAGGACTCGCAAATATTCGATAAGATATTGAGAACGCTATTTTATTTCCTTTTTTAGTTCGAATACGTTTACCTTTGAAAATAGTTTTTTTAATCGAAAGTAATTGTAAATATTGCTTTGACTGAATAGTTTTTGGAAGCGAAATTAATTATAAATAGGATTTTATAGTTAGCTTTGTAATCAATAAAAGATTTTTATCATTTTATTATTATTACTATTATTATTATTATCTTTATTATTGTTATTACTTCAACTATGATGGTAACGTTCAGCTTTCCCGTGTATTTCTCAAACTGAGATTGGATACAGCTCCCAATCACAATTGGCACAACTGTCACCTTCTTCAGCTTCCACAACTTTCCTATTTATTTGCAAAGAAGTTTGTTCTTCTCTATTTATTTAATTTATTATTATTATTGTTATTATTAATAACTTTATAACAATAGTAATTTATTACTTATATAGCGCAAAATACATACGAGATGATCTAATGGGCTAATCAACGGTCGGTTAAGCTCAGCCTCAACCAACGTCCGCAGGCAAAACAATACCCTCAAGGGCTCCGTGGGGAGGTAGGGCGGGGGGACGTAGTCTCTAAGAGTAGAGGTCAGTGTTGGTGGTGGTATTCCCATCCGTTGGATTTTATCTGTTATTACTTCCCCGGTGAATTACTGTGGGTTAGTCCATTTCATGCCTCATCAGTACCTTGTTTATTCTAGTTTGTCAATGGAGAAGTGGCTTCTTTTCAAACTGGCAAGTTCAACATGTCAGATAGTTTTCAAGACTGGAGCTGCAGCAGTGCATGCTCACCACCTCAACACTGTCATTTACCACGCTGCACAAAAGTTCTTTTCCCAGAAACATTTAGTGGATCAGGAAAGGCAAGTCTCAGCATTGCCTGGGTTCGAACCGAGGGGGATTAGATACAAGTCGGTGTGTTAAGGAAAAATCAACGCAAGACCCACAAAGTCAGAAAGAACAAAACGAGCTTTAAAGTTTGCTGTTTATCGGGCCAATATTGCATACGATAAAGCCATTTAAAACTTGCAAAAAATGTGTTACCGCACACATGTCCAAACGTAATTTAAATGTTTTGAAAAACTGTGTCTCGCGGTTCATTATTAATCCGTGAGAAACCAAACAGAAAAATTTGTAAAGCTCAGTGTGCTCTTTCGGACCATGTGGGTCTTTTGTTGATAATCCCTTGATATATGGACTCGTATCCAGTCTATCTCAGTTTGAAACTATTCTATTTTAATAGTAACCATTTAAAAATGGTTACACGGCGAGAACGTCGATACTGTCACGTATTATTTAAATCAAAATGGAGTCAAGTAGTTTGATTAATTAATGACACAAACTAGACAATCCCTTCCATTTGTGCATTTCATTATGGCGGAGAACCATAGGCAATAAAATTTGGTCATCTATGCATCCAAGAAAATTTGGTAATCACTTGACCGTACGCCTGTCCGTCGGCACCTCAGGAAAACCAACGTGAAATGTCATTTTCTAGCAAGAGTTGCAGCTCGCAATTTTAGACCTTCATCTTGAGCTTAAAGTCAGAAAGAACAAAACGAGCTTTAAAGTTTGCTGTTTATCGGGCCAATATTGCATACGATAAAGCCATTTAAAACTTGCAAAAAATGTGTTACCGCACACATGTTAAGCTTAATGTCTGAACGAACTAAATCATTAGTCCTTAAACACGAGCGTGCATCTCCCACACTTTGCTTGAAATGTCATTTTCTAGCAAGAGTTGCAGCTCGCAATTTTAGACTTTCATCTTGAGCTTAATTGACAGCTGTCAAATCAGGGTATCCGCTGAACAGTGTCACATAATATCGATTTTGTATCATGGGCTTAGGGAGCTCAACTCATATAGGTCACACGTTTTCTTAGTTGTCCGCTGACCAGTTATTACTGGCTGAAAATTGATCGCAGGCTCAAGTTACAGACGTATTTCATCGGAAGGTCGTTTTTGAATTAACAGAAAATCCTCTTTCAGCTCTGGCCAAATTTACATATTATACACTTTTATTGATCAATCTTTTAAGGTCAGTGTGCACGTGACACTAAGCCATGGTGAAAAGTTTTCTCGTGTCCACTCACCTGCTTCATTGTGGGTTCATTCTGTCAGTACACGTGGATTTGAGGCATGCGCACGTGTGGCAGGTGATGGATCAAATGGAACTGGAATCATAAACTGGATGGCTTTCGAAGATCAACCACAAGTTACATCTGGCAGCCTAGCGTTTGGTGAAATGTGGACAACAGAAACCAAGTGCGACATAGTAACCTTTAAACAGGTGAGGCGACATTGGTTTCTCACCTAGGAACGCTTGATCGACTGTCTAGAAATTTTGTTTCTTTGTTACCCTAACGAAGATATGTGAATATTTCAGAACATTGCTGCAAGACCCTTTGTGTTTGTCTCGGCGAAGTACACTCGAACCACAAAGCCCAATGATGCAGTGTATGTTTGGTTGGAGAATGTCAGTTCCAGAGGTTTCGAGGTGTGCATCAGGGAATTCTCCCCATTTGATGGAAAACACCAAGATACAGTCGTGGTTTGTATATTTTTGCCATCTGAATACCATCATCGACATCATCACCTTTATGATAATAATCACCATCACTACTGTCATTATTATAGTTACCCATCCCCGCGATTATCTTCACTTAATCATCATCACATTCGTGTCACTGATAATCAACACTACCACCGCCAACACTTCCAGTATCCTTTCAACATCATCATTTTCGTCACCATCTTGATCGTCGTTTTCATCATTTTAATGTACTTTTTATTACTTTGAAAAGGTCTTTTTTGTTTTTCAATAACAAAAGGATAGGTCACGGAGGTGTAACAGAAAGTTATCATTACGAATATGAAGACCTTCTAGTTCTAAAACAGTGCAAAGGTGCATTGAATCGGATAATTTTCTCGCTCCTCGGCCTTCTTAAAAATAATAACTTCGTTTCGCACTCGGTCATTATTTTAAGAAGGCCTCTGAGCTCAGGTATTATCCTATATATGACTATCAGGAACATGCTCCTTTGGCTTGAGCAGAAAAATTTTCTCCTATTAGCTTACTGTTGTTTTTGCAAGGTTAGAAATAACAATCGTTTTACAGTATCTGTAATCAGAAAGTATAAATTTTGATTTCAAAACTCTTATGCTAATACTTATTTATTTTATACTTGCAGGACTGGTTCGCATTTTTGGGTAACGGTTCCAGTTTCAATTTTACGAAGACAGGAGAAGTAACTTTACCCAACATTGGCAAACCGATAGCATATGACAACTATGGATTCTGTCAAGTATCGTACTCTTTTAAGGATGTTATAGTTTTTGTGCACGCCTTGTGTGCCTGTCTTTCTTTAGGAATCATGGGATTCCAACCCCATGTGCTTCGCGTTCAAAAGTTTTGGTTATTCGTGTTTGTGGATTTTGTGAGCGTTTAATCGAATTCAAGCCTGAGGTTATCAAACAGCGACGTACTGGCCTTTAATCCCTTTCTAATATACTTTGACATGTTACACTTGGTTACCTTCATATTTAGAACAGATTTTGCTGAGGTTTGAACAATGTCTGATCGAAATCCCATGGAAAGTCACAGCTTTGTTTTCACACTAAATGTCAAAACAAAATAATATTCTGTATTTGAAAAAAATAACAAGAGAGATTTCGAGACTCTTGACAATAAAACACCGGTTCCCTCATTTAGCTATTGACGGTTTTTTTTCAGTCGATCAAAGAAATCCAAACTCACCGAGACGTGTTAGAGATTGCGCTCATGATAGGGTTTCGAAATGACTTCTAGTACTACATTCTGCCGTAGCGTGTACATTTTTTCATGTTGACAAATTGACTGAATGTTACACTCTTTTAACTGTTTTAACAGAATATCAACTACAACACCACCTTCTACGCACTACCTGTGGTCCTGGTTTCCGTTCAGCACTATTACGACCGCAACAAGAAAAACATCATTCTACCAGAAAATAATATTGTCACAGCATGGGTGGAGGTATGCTAGGTGATACTTTTCTCCAGTTCTTCGCTTATTTTTAATTCTTGAACATGCGGCGCAAAGTCAACTTCATCAAAGCTAGTTATGTTCCATTTCAGGAAGTTGGCTTGAAATCCATGATGATTTGTGTCAGAGACTTGAGTGGAATGGGGACAAAACACGATCCTCTGTCGGTCAATTATATTGTTACTGGAGGTGAGTGCTGCACAGATAAAATCAACGCTTCGATGACTTCAGAGCATGCAAGGATGGTACAGATGTTTAGTGCGCGGCTCTCGGCTCGGTGCGTGAGATCCCAAGCTCGATCCCCGGTGACATCATATCCTTGTTTCAACACTTCTCCTTTCTGTGTAGCTTCAACTACCTTTAAATACCCTTAAAATGGAACGTTGATGGAAAGAGAGGGGTAAAATGAGCGAGCCGTCGACTTTAAGATTATCAGTTCAATTTCTGTCAAACGTTATCGACGTAAAATATGGTTCCTTTGACTTAACCTTTTTTAAAAATCATCTTCAGCAAGAGAGAATAGCTCAAAAGTTATAATTTTTTGTTTCATATACACTGCATATATTAAATAACTTACAACTTAGAAGCGAAACTGTCACCTATCGGGTACATTTACATGTGGAGTTAACTGCGAACTGCGTTCATGTCTGAACGAACTAAATCATTAGTTCTTAAACAAGAGCGTGCATCTCCCACACTTTGCTTATGCAACGGCGATTTCACAGATCAGTTTATTTTTAGCATCCTTTTGGAGCACTACAAGGTTCCCGCGAAAATGTAAGCATCGTCTCGTATGCGTGCGCATCCATAGTACGCATATGCGTGCGCATCCATAGTACGATAATAACGAAAAGAAAAAGTAAATGCTGTCAAAACATCAGAAACACTGTCTTCTAGTCTCCGCTTTTTGATTATTGATTTGTAAGAATTATTTGATGGTCAAAATTCGAGGGAAAATCGAACTAAAAATAGACTGGTCTCTGAATACACCGTTGCATGGACACAAGGGAGTTGCTCGCTCCGTGCTTATGGGCTACTGGTGAAACTATTGTGTTGGCAAGATTAGGATGCTCTGGTAGTAAAACTAACCTCACATATAATTTCAAGCGTAATCAAGCTACATTAGTTTTGTTTTTCAGACCTCGATCCTTGCCTTAATGTCGTTTGTCCGTCTTTTGGAGTCTGCAAGGCATACAGTCCACGTGAAACACGCTGCGTGTGTTTCGAAGACTGCCCGACCTATCAGGACCCAGTATGCTCTGCGAGTGGAAAAACATACGACAACAAATGCTGGCAAGAATTGAGCTACTGCAAGGGGCTGGATAATACCCTTGTCTACCATCCTGGGAGCTGTGAAGGTGGGAATAATTGATTTTTAGAGCGAATTCTTATATTCAGGGTTCGTACTCTTTTAGGCTCTTTAAATTCCCTTACTTTTCACGACTTTTTATAGACCTTTTCAAGTTTTCCAAGACCTTAGGTTTAGTTGTCAGTTTCAAAAAGTTTTAAAATTTTCCCGTTTTGGGGTATTTTTTTTCTTAAACAGTTCAACAGTCACAAACTCTGGTGTTCACCAAAATGCGTGCCGTTTGCGCTGTTTAATTACTCCCCTCTATCTTACATTGTCCTTGCTTTGTCATCTGCAGTAAGTAAACTACCAAACAAAACTTTAATTTTCCATGACATTCAAGGACCGACAATTATATTCCATGACTTTCCAGGCCTGGAAAATAAAATTCTTAAATTCCATGACCTGTAAAAACCCTGTGTATTTACGATAGGATGGTTCTTAGTCTCATTTATTCTTAATACTCTTTTTAAAAGGTTTTCCAGTTGTTCGTGGCCGTGTTGACCTTCACCGAGCCCCAAAATGGACAGATTCCACCTGCCAGACGGTGTATTTCCCGCGTTATCGCTTTTATCCGGATAAACAAGTTCATGTTCAAGTTACTGTTAATCACGTGAAATTGAATGACTCCGTGACAGTCCACGATGCCGTCACTTCATGGACTGAAAGTGTTAACACCCAAAACTTTACAGTTTGCGTTTTGCAGGCAGGAAGAAAGAGCGGAGAAATTCTTAATCCCTTCGCGACAGTTGATTGGCTGGCTTACCAAGGAGCACCACCCAATGGAATGACGGGAACGATTAAGATGCAAAAGTGGTGGTCTGGAACGAAATGTGAACATGTAGCTTTTCCCAGGGTAAAATCACAAAATTCTTTATACCCTACTCGGAAAGGAGGCCAGAAGGAAGCACCCTGAATACCCTGAATGAAGACGAGCAGCCTCGTTTTCACCTTGGCCTCAGCTCCCAAAGTTAAGGTCACACTGTTATTTTTATTTATTCATTTACTTTTTTTTCACACTGTTATTTTGGCCTTGTCCCCCGTTCTCAAGGACCAAAGTGTTTTCTTGAACAAGACGGACCGTTGCCGTCAAAAATTTGGAATTTAAAAAAATTATCTTCCAAGCTTTTTTATGAATAATTTTTTTGGATTTTATTATTGTTACGAACGGCAAATGATTGTCTTTGCTGTACTGTGGGAGCCACTTTAATAGCTAGGATCGGACGGCGCACAAAACGGATTCTGTACAATTTTTGGGACGATAAATGTCTAACCTCAGATTCTCTAATCTTACGCAGAACAAGTTTGAGGATATACCTCTTGTTCTTGTGACCGCGGAACACGTGAGGACTGGAAAGGAGTATGATGCATCCCTTATATGGACAGAAGACCCAAATAAGGACTCATTTAAAGTCTGTCTTCGTGAAATGCAGAACTTTGATGGAAAACATGAAGACATTACCGTGGTATGTTCTCGTTTTAATGTTTCAAAAATCTTATTTTTAAAAAAGTTAAATATAAAATGGTGGAATATGATCGTCCCGTTGAGTGTAGTCCGTGGGTCAATTAAATAAAACTTTTACAAGTCACAGGGTAATTAACAGGTGTATTATCCTTTTACAGTGTTAAGACTCTCCCTTCACAATACCCACATGTTGAACCCCTTGATTTAAAATGACCACCTTACATTCAAAGCAAGCTTTAGAGGAATTATATCTCCTAGAAAAAAAGAAGCTGAAAATTCTAAGAAGTCGAACAATTCTAGAACAAATACCTTCCAAAAGCCTCATTGCGCGAACAGAATTCTCAAGACATACCAGTTTTAAGCCAGTGAGCACAAACGCGGCAGGTGTCCCTGAAGCAACTAGCAGAAACATTGATTCAGTGTCAAAACTAGATTATGCCGATCTGGTTTTCTACCCTGTACCACAATTCTTACTTCGCCGTTTGCAACGAGTTCAATTTGCTGCTGCAAGTTTTGTACTCGGTCACTATGTTAAGAACTTTTGGGATGTACTTAAAATCGGATGGCTTCCAATCAATGAGAGAAGAGATCTGAACCTCCTGAAATCATGCTTTAAAGCTTTGTATAACACTGAGACTTGGCCAGATTATCTTAAAATAATAAAACAGGAATGCGCAAGGAACTGCTCTCAAGCAATTCAATAAGATTAGTGGACCGACCGAAAACGGCACTTTCCAAGATAACGCGTCGAATCTGTTTAACAATCTACCAGAAACTATTAGAAACTGTGAAGATTACAGAACCTTATGTAACAGAGTACAGAGTGATTAGTTAGTTTTACTGTAGTTTCGATTATGTTAATCCTGCTTCTACTTTTAATTACATATTGCATAATTTGTAAATAACTTATAATAATTTGATTTATTTAATTGTAATTGATGTACTTTAACAGGCAGGAGCCACCCAGTGGATCTGTTAATAAACCATTATCATTATCGTTATCGTTGTCGTTGTCGTTGTCGTTGTCGTTGTCGTTGTCGTTGCCGTTGCCGTTGCCGTTGCCGTTGCCGTTGTCGTTGTCGTTGTCGTTGTCGTTGTCGTTGTCGTTGTCGTTGTCGTTGTCGTTGTCGTTGTCGTTGTCGTTGTCGTTGTCATTGTCATTGTCATTGTCATTGTCATTATCATTGTCATTGTCACTGTCACTGTCACTGTCACTGTCACTGTCATTGTCATTGTCATTGTCATTGTCATTGTCATTGTCATTGTCATTATCATTGTCATTATCATTATCATTATCATTATCATTATTATTATTATTATGATATGTTTTGAACCTAGGAGTCACGTCAAAATTAAAATGAATATGTCCGTTTGTGTTAGTGCGTGCAGAAGTTATCATACCAGTCAAAGCGGCTTCTCTTTCCTCTGTTGTAGCCACAGATGTTTGCCAAAAAACGGATGGCAAATTACTGATATCGCGGTTTAACTGATAGACGAGAAATGACATCCTGACTTTATTGACTAGTCATAAGAAAGCAAGAGAAGGAAAGTTACATCTAAACTTTCATTGATTGTAGTGCTCTTTTAATTGTAAAAAAACTTTGTTTCAGAACTGGCTGGTATTTGATGAGCTGAGCAAACCGTTCTTCACTGAGGGTAATTCTGTACGGTTTTTAAACACAAAGCTACCTAAAGATGAAGATAACAACGCTTACTGCCAGGTGAGTAAAAGGGAAGAAAAACACAGTTGAAATGACATATAAAAGGAAATACCGTATTTATTCGATTAAACGCCGCCCTCGAATAGACGCCGCACCTAATCAAAAGAATGATGCGTTTACTCGACGATAATAAGAAAAACCTCGGTACAACTTGGTAATTTACACCATTCAGACACTTACGATTTTATCTCAGCAAAATAAGAGAGACATTGGAACCTTTAAATTACATAATATTTACAAACGATTTACAATAACTGTTGTCAGTGACTTTTAAAAAAGTGATTTCGCAATAAACGCCGCCCTTGAATAAATGCCGCATTAGAAACGTTAAAAATTAAATTAACGCCGTGGCGTTGTTGGAATAAATACGGTAAACACAAATTTTATGGCGGAATACTAAGAGAAAAGAGGGCGGAAAAATTGTCTTAAAAATCAGAGACAGATCTCTGAGCAGCTAAGATTCTTTTCCTGTAGCAACAAAGTTCATTTTAAAAAAGCGGACACTTACTCCTTGGTTTCTATATTAGCGTAAATTTTTTTTCAGCTTATTTATTTTAAATTACAGTTTGTGAAGTTTGAAAGAAGCTACAACACGACACCCTCAGTGTTACTTACAGCCAATCACAGCAGCACGGCTCCTGGAAACTGCGCACCAGTGCATAATGGCATTACAACATGGATTGAGGTAAAAGAAAGGAGAAGTGTGACGTCACGTTGTTACTGTAGCGACATTTGTTAATCTTAACGACCTTTCTTGATAGAGACCATTTGCATTGTCGATCGATTGCTGAAAACTATGGGCTGGCGTTTTTTCTTTCTTTTCGGAAATTTATAATTATTGTCAGCACCCCGGCATGTTGTGATCCGTAAATTTTGCTACCACGGTAACGTGACGTAACGACTTCTCCTCTCTATTTAAAGCATCTTGTTTGTTGAAAATCATTGTCTTTTTTAAGCAAAGGAACAAACTCTTAAAATGATGCAATGTCGGAGTCGTACACAGGTGTACTTTTTCCTTGAAAAGTCATTATGTTGGATCGTACGGACCTGCCTGACCTCCTATTAGTGACGTCATTCGTTCCACAGGTGGAAACCTAATTGACTGGAAATCTATTTAAATTATATTGTGCGGTGGGCACTTGAGTTTCCGGCGAATTGATGGAATTGAGTTCTGAATATGTGCACCAGGTTGCTCAGCATGATTCAAAATGGCTTTTCTAGATGCTGCATGTTACATGTCAAAAATTAAAATCAGGTTAAATTTTTTTAAACTGTATAGGTTGATCATCAATTTCGTTTGTCTTCTAGCGCTAATTTATGTATAATGAGGACTGGGAGACAAAGAAAATTAAGAATAAATCTAGGTTGAAAAATTTTAACCTGAATTTAATTTTTGACTCGTAACATTTACAACCTTTGGAAGGGAGTTTTTAAATAATCGGACGGACTTATATCAGAAAGCTGAGAGAACAGACAGTAAACATCGCTGATCAGAAAAATTACGTGTACAGGGTGTCTCCAAAGTTCGTTCCGATTTTTTATTCGCTTAACTTTCACTAATTATTAACAAAAACCTTTTGTAAAACTTAGTATGTTATTCATTATTCATTTAACATTCAATACCTAAAGTATTAGTAACCAGAACGTCTTCCTGTTTGTTTTCCGACATTTTCTAAGCGGTGAGGTATAGAATGTAAGAGTTCCCAAAGCGTGTCCAAAGTCATATTCTTCCAGGCGAAGCGTAGTCACTGTCTTAGCTCGTCCAATGTTTTTGGTGCTGGATCTTTGTATGTTGTCTCGTCTACGATAATCCAGATGGTCTCTAGGGGTTAACATCACGTGAGTTTGCCGGCCGGTCCTCCTTTGGTATAAAGTTGACAAATCCTTCGGACACCTTGCTTGCATGAAGGGTGCACCGCCTTTTTCTCTTCGAGGCTTTCCAACTTTTTTTGGTAACTTTTCCCCATACCGTACGCGTTGTGCTCGAAACTTTGATCGATAATGTGAAGTTGAAATTTTTTTACCTTTCTGTTTTGTGGAATTATTACGCATATACTTACAGCTTTTTCGATAATATTTCTCACACAGTTTGTGAAAAAACGGCCATCCACTCCTTAGTTTGTCTTGTAAGGTCTTTACTTTTGACCACTTTTTAGGTCATCGTTCAGACTTCTTCAACAATTTGGCGATTTTTTTTTCGACTGAATGGCCAGAAGACCATAAAAATAGATGCCTGAGCTCTAGCACAAACATTGTAGGCCTTCATTTTCATGAGGGAGTAGAGAAAATAAAAGAAAACGATAAAAAAAAAGTAAAATACCAAAATAGAAAACCTACAAAATGGGCGGGAAAAGTATGGCGGGAAAAACCTCGCGTACGTGTATAGTTGGGGCAAAAGGTTAAAATAAAATTATAATTTCTTCAAATTTTAGTTTGAAATCGCCCGGCTTTGAACGGTTATTTAGGTAAATTTTTTACCTTAATCAGTTTACATTTGCCTAAACAAGCATTAAATGCTTTGCGCAAAATACAATTTACAATCGGAGCCCGGTGGGCAAATTGTTAGAAAGGTGTATCATCAAAAGAAGAATCTTTCCAGTTCAAACTGAAGCGAAAAACCAATTTGTGAAAACTGTCAGATGCGCTTTATTGGCACCTCTATTTTTTATTTGCAGAACATGAACGCAACCGGTTTCAGGGCGTGTTTGAAGGAGTTGTACGAGACAAGATACGATCCCGTGTCAGTGAGTTATATGGTACTTGCAGGTCAGTTAGCAAGGAATGTGGCTTTTCTTATGCAGCAAAACCTTATGTCTTAGTCAGAAGCAGTTTCACGTAAGCCACATGCACAAATGTCACGTGGAATCATTGCTTAGCGCTTTTATATCTTACTCGTGCCCAGTTGTCGATCAGTTTCCTATTGATAAAACTAGAGAACCCTGGTCAGTGTTTCCCCTATCCTATCACCCCTCGCGCTCCCTTTAATCACGCCTCTCGCGTTCTATTCCCCGCGTGCCGTTCCCGCATCCAAATAGAGAGGACTATTTTCTCAGCTTATAAGAATTCGTCAGCCTAAAGGCATTGATTGAGTAGCATAAGGTGCTAAGTATGAATTCCGGCGTATCTTGGCAATCCGTCGAATTACGTCTCCAGTACTCTACTAACTGACAGCATTAGCCAATAGCCATTAGTGAGCTAAAGACCATTTCTTAAATAAATTAAACTTTACGTTTCCACAGATATCTGTGATCCTGGATGGAGCTATTTCAATGGATTCTGTTATTTTACGAGTGAAAAATGCGTTAATTGGACAACAGCTCTAATGAAATGTCGTCAGGAAAACTCGGTCCTTGTTGATGTTACCAATGATGAGGAAAATGTTTATATTCAACATCGCCACAATGGAAAAAAATCCTGGCTGGGCTTGAATGACGTCTCTACGGAGGGTAACTTCACTTGGGCGGATCGCGGTGAGGGGAACTTTACAGCTTGGGCGAAGAATCGGCCAAACAACTTAAACGAAGAAGACTGCGTTCACGCACTCGGTCTTAGATACAACTATGAATGGAATGACGTGAAATGTAGTGATTGTCATCAGTACACTTGTAAGAAAGGTAGGATGGTAGCAATATTAAGCACTGTATGTATTTCTGTCTGTGTCAGACGCTTCAGTGGTACTTGTTACCAGTTACAGCTTGCTTTTGCAAAGCGGAAGTCAATAATATTAGCTTACACTGTTTGATGTAGCTGAAAAACCATTAACAAAAACATCTTCGCCACTTATTACAAAGCCTATCTTTTGTTTGACAATAAAATGAGTGTGAGCCTTCATATACAGACTTTGTAAAGAAACACTTTTGTATAATGAAAGATGTTATTAACAGTGGTATGCCTTTGTATGGTAGAGCTCGTTTATCGTTGTTTTCAAGAGTCACTTATTTGTTCTTCATCGCAACGAATCGACTGTGTACTGCTGGTCAGTGTGCTATTCTTCATCAGAGGATGTTGTCGGTTTTCTACATGTGACACTGGACGAAAAAACGGATTTACCTCTATAGCAAATTTTGAGCAAACCATCTGCAAATGCCACATTTTCTTAATTTTGCTCAATTTTACCCCATGACGTAGGACCAAATTTGCCATAATTTTGCATTAATGGCAAAGGTGGTAAATGCTGCATTTGCCTCAAATTTGCCGAGTGTGTAAAAACAAGGATAACCTTTACTTTATCAAGGCATTTACAGGGGTGTCAAACTTGATAGCAAAAGTGATATTTGTCAGGTTTTTGCCCAAATGGGCAAAAGCGATGGACGATGAATTTTTGAACGCTTTTGCTCCCTATAGCAAATTCGGTCAAAGTAGTCATTTCCCACATTTTTGCTAAATGTAGTAAAAGTGACCAAAACTCATTTCTCAACAGTTTTTCCCAGGATAGTAAATCTGAAAATTCATCTCATTTGTGTTTCTCCTAGTGTAGTAAATGAGGTCAAATTATCACTTCTTCCGTATCTTTTCCGTATCAAATATTTGCAAATGATTAGTTTTAGTTATAAGATTTGCTTTTTTTTTTCTGCCCTTTCTCCTTTCACTTTGTTTCCTTTTTAAGCTTCGCGACCTAACTGGAATATACAGTACCTTGATCACCTTACTAAATCGTTATGTGAGGAAAAAAATAGAAATGTACCATTGATCATTTTAAGCATTGCACTGTACTGTAAAGTGATCAATCAATGCCTAACAGAAAGGATTCCTCAACATCAAGCTTCGCACCTAACTGGCATATACCTTGATCACTTACAATGTACATGTACATGTAGCAGCCAAACATTCTATTCAAAATTTGTGGAAAAATGAAGAAACTTGAAATATTATCGGAACTGATTTGCAGTTGAGGTCAAAAGATGCAGCTAACAAAACAAAATTGTCTTTCTTCAACTATGTCCGTGGGTGTTGCTGATTTAAACTTAATTACAAACTGTTATCTGCAAAACTGGTTTGATGTTAAACTAAAGTTGTTGTAATTCACTCTATCAGTTTTAATGTAGCAGTGGTAACATTTTTGCCCAAAAGTCACGCATAAACATACAAAACTTTCTAGACGAAACATGTAAATTTGCACACAAAAAATGCATCTGTATATCTTGACAAGAAAACGATGAACCTTATTTTTATTCAAAATGTTTTATAAAAGTGAATGCCTAGAATTAGGATTCCTCAGCATCAAAGCTTTTGAATATACCTTGATCACCTTACCAAATCGTTATTTGAGGAAAAAAATAGAAATACCATTGATCATTTTTCATAAATTACTATAAAGGATCAATCAATGCCTAACAGAAAGGATTCCTCAGCATAAAGCTTCGCACCTAACTGGAATATACCTTGATCCTTACTATGTACATTTTGCAGCCAAACATTCTATTAAAAATGGAAAAATAAAGAAACTTGAAACATATTAAACTGATTTGACCAAAAACTCACTTTCTTCAACTATTCCATCATGGAAAACAGATCTATTTTTTCCCAAAACTTGGATTCCAAAATAGTCTGGAAGTATTAAAAATTCTATCAGTTTTATATAAAAATGACAAACCTTCATCCTCATTACGAAACAAATGAGACAAAACATGTTTCTTGATAAGAATCCTATCCAGATGATCTCTTGCTTGGAGTAAATGAGCGAAAAATCAAACTGGCTTAAAATATTGAGCGTCGTTGACCTGACCGTTGAATTGAATGGAAGCCCGCCAATCTCGTTCCCAGAGGCCGCGATCTTCCGTATTTTTTCGTATTTTCAGTGTGGCAAATATGATCAAAATAGTCGTTTGCCACTGTTTTGCTCAGGGTAGCAAATTTGGCCAAATACCACTTTATTCTCAATTTTGCTCAGGATGACAGATATGATCAAAACAGTAGTTTCCCATACTTTTCCCCACTGTAGCAAAGTTGATCAAATATCAGTTCGTCTGTATCCTTCGCTCAGGATGGGAAATATTGCCATATAATAGCAGTTTTCCATACTTTAAGTCAGGTAAACAAAGTTGATTAAAATATCACTTTTAAACTTTCGCTCAAGATAGCAAATTTGATCAAAACATCATTATCCACATGTTTCCTATTTTTATTTGGTACCATAAATGACTGACAAACAATTTAGACACCAACCAAAATTTCAATAAAATGACTTTATTATCTTTAATATACACTGTACAATAAAAAGTAAGCTAAATTAAAAGAAAGTTCCATTGGCCTCTGCAGGGCACTGCGTGTATCAAAAAATGTATGCCTTTAAATAAAAAGCACGTAAATTGTGAAACTAACTAAATTCATACGTGTATAAGAATATACATTGGGTTTGAAAGTACAAGTCAACACAAGCTGGTTCATAGTTATCTAAGGTTGGCACAGGTTAAACGTAACTCTGTTTGAGTGGTATACTTCAAATATACTCTTTCTAGGTTCAATTGATACTATTGGCAAATGGTCGTAAGATAACAACACGTACGCATCACTCCCAATGTACACGTAGGTGTGACATCCTTACTAATGGACAGAACATCAAGCACAGGAAATAAAATTAGCTTCAAATTATTATGATAAGCGATATTCCTCAAATAATTATTTATAAGAACTTGTAGGCAGTAAATAGGCAGTGAATATATATTTGCACCTCGCCATAAAATATATAGTGTATCTTGTGCTATTCACTGACCCAAGGGGAGATATGAGTCATTTTTAACCAAATCAGTTATATAAAAATATTATTTGTAAATAAAATGTGTTACTATGCGAAAGCTCTGTGCATTTGTGCATTTATATGATTTGGGACTATTAGTAGCACCGTGGTTGCTAGTGATTCGTGCACTAGAATCGAATTAGAACCTCACTCATGGTTGGAGGGCCGCTGGTTTCGATCCCAAGCATTTTTAAAATTGTTAGTGTGAGAAGCTCTTCTCTCAGCAGGCCACTGTCGTATCGATCGGCTGCCGTATTTTCTGCTTCTAGGCATCCACCCTTTGAAAGCTCGATTCCATTGTTTCTGTTGTAGGATGGACTCTTATGGTCCCTGTCATGTTCCTTAATTCGTTCTTCTTCATGCGTGCATCTTGCTATTTCACTAGTGTATACTTCAACGCATTTGCGAGCAATCTGATAAGGTACCCTATCTTGTTTTCGTGAGTACCTATCTCGACACCGCCGTTATATAACATATACCAATTAAACATTTTATTTTATCCTGTCTTTTAATTAGATTTCAACGAATGCGAAAAGAAGACACATTATTGTCACCCATTTGCCCAATGTGTCAATGAACGTGGATCCTATTCATGCAAGTGCAAGCCTGGGTACGTTGGAAACGGAAGTAATTGTGTTAAGGCAAAACCAAGATCCTGCTCTGAAATCAGGAAACACTTCAGCAGTAGCGGGAACTATGTGATTGATCCAGATGGCGAGGGAGGTCTGCCACCATTCACAGTTAACTGTGACATGACTGACAAGAATGGTGTTGGCGTGACAGTCATCAGTCACGACAGTGAGGGTAGAACTCATGTGAATGGGTATGAAGGTAAAGGTAGCTACTCACGTGACATTCATTACACAGGAGCGAGTCTTTCTCAGCTGGCGAAACTCACCAGTGTCTCTTCACACTGTGAGCAATTCATTAAATATAAGTGTTACAATTCTTTTTTGCTTCTCCATGGCTATGCCTGGTGGGTGTCACGTGATTCTACTAAGATGACATACTGGGGCGGAGCATCACCTGGCAGTGGTAAGTGCGCATGCGGGATGACCAAATCATGTACAAACCCCAGTCTTGTTTGTAACTGTGACGCCGTAAAATTAGCCTGGTATGAAGACGGCGGTCTCCTGACTGACAAGACAAAGCTTCCAGTCAAACAGCTCAGGTTTGGTGATACTGGTCATGATAAGGAGGAAGGTTACCATACGCTGGGGAAATTGAAATGCTATGGCGTAGCGTAAAGACCTATTTACTGTTTAATAAGAGGTGGTTTCTAGTTTACCTGTAGTTAAAGTATTTAGGATTTTGAATCAGTGTATGAGGGTCATGAATGTAATACATGTTTCTAAACCACCGTTGAGAAAGATTAAAAACAATTATTTGTATGTCGTTTCTTTCCACTTAGACTCTAAACAAGGACTGATGTGACAAAATCCTGCTAACACCTAACAGTATTATTTAAGAAAGCACTTTCTTGAGTCTTATTTTATTAGGGAACAGCGTTTCACAATGATGTAGTCCCATGAAATTTTGCTGAAGGCATTAACTTAATACATATATCTTATTGGATTGTTTAGTGTGTAGTATCTTGATATATTTTTACGAGTCACGTTGCATTTTGGTGAGCCCGTAGGACGAGTCGAAATACAAGAGACGAGTAAAAATATCTCACGATACTACACACTAAACCTTCATTCAGTTATTCATTCAAAATATTTCCCCGATTCTGATTGGCTAAAAGCACACGCATAATTCACGATAACCAGCTACTGATGGCCAAATTTGCAAGAATTTTGCGTTTAATGAACCGATGACGTCGAAAGTGCTGCCTTCTTGCAGGTTAATGCACCGTTAACCGAGAAGACCTGGGAACGGGATTGAGTTGTTTTGGTTGTGAACACAAAAATGGCAGACATTTCACTCTTCAAGAGTACGAACTAGGCGTAATAATAGCTAGAAACATGGCAACAACAGCAAGAACACAACTTGAAGGGCGACATCTGCTATTTGGAGAATATTTGCGGAGCTGAACAACCCTAAAAGTGCACTATCGAAGATGAACTTAACATTGATGGAGGCAGGCATGTTTTAGCTACGTTTTCAAACTAGGAACTATTTTGAATGAATAATAAAACAATTATTGAATTCGGCTTTTGTATCATATGAAGAATTATGGAGATCTCGGAGGGTGTTATCCGCCTCGGCCTACGGCCTAGACGGATAACACCCTGCTTGATCTCCATAATTCTTCATAAGATACTCAGCCTCATTCATTACCTGTTAAGTAATAGATTTCTTAGCGGAGCTCTAGCAGCGGAGCACCATGGGTAAGAAAATGTTGTAAACTACCCATCCGAGAAAATTTGGTAATCACGTGACCGTGCACCGACCGACCGACTGTCCGAGAGTCCGTCCGCACCACAGACATACCAATGTAAAATAATTCAATCAACAGGTATGGCAACCCAAATGCAACTCAAGGTTTTATTTGGAAAGAAATCGCATGGCCGCACGGACCTTTAGAAAGAATAAACAACAACAAAGTCGTGTCTTTTTCGACGTTATTTTTGATGTTTACACTCACGTGGATAACAGAGAAAGAGCTAGAGTGAGTGACTGAAAACAAAAGAGACGAATTTTGTAGGAAGAAAAACATGAAAATTCAATGCGGCGGTGAGACAATGTGAAATGCCAGCGGCCACCAAGGTGAAAATGAGGGGCAGTGAAAAATAAAAACGAACATGAACACAGGAAAAAAAATATTGGGTAAGCACATACGACAATTCCTCTATAAAAATAATGTGTTACTAGGAAGATTGACGATTTAGATCTACAAAACCGCGTTGTAGTTGTGCAAAACAACGGGAAAGAAAGACGAAGAGCGTGCAGCACGTGCAAATTTGTTTTTTTTTTTTTGCTAATTAGAAAAAAAAGTGTTCTGCACGTGCAATTTGTTTGTTTTTTGCTAATCAGATCTATTGATCTTGATGCCATTTTCATTGCCGTCCCCGTTTAGCATTACACGATTGAATTTTTTTTTGTTCATAAGTACTCGCTTTTAGCCTTGGCTAAATCTATATATTATTCAACTCGAGAGGAATTAATTAAAATAGAACTTAGTAAATGACGCCTAGCTACTTATTACGAGAATGAGTGACAGATTAACGTGTCAACTCCTCTGCAAATCCAGTTTTCGCGCCCTTTATGCAATGTTGTTGCTGATCGGTTAGAAATGAAAAACGTCAAACTGGTTTACTCAACAAACCATTTTTTTCGGGGTTTCGTCGGCGCCTTGAAGTAGTGTTAGACACATCATGTAGGAAAATTTGAACATTACGCTTTTGACCGTCGCCCTGAAAATCATAGCATTATGCCGAAAATTATGCTGGTGTCGGGGCATCTATATGTTCGATTGATACTGGGAAAATGTTAGCCTTTTTCCTCTCCTGCCCAAAAAAATTACCTCCATAAATTAACAACACAACGTTTTAATGTTTCTAGTACAATAAAAGTAACAATAACAGGTTCTAATTAGCAGTCATGGTTGGATTGATGACCGTCAGGCCTGAGGAACCTAGCTTTATGAACAAACCAGGCCATTAAACCAGGAAACAACCTTGGAACGGGGTGACTATACGAAGGAAACGGGGAGTCGGGAATGGAATTGTGGAACGGCGGAATTACGGAATACACGGAATATTCTAAAATATGGAATATATGGAATATTCAAAAGTAGGTTGTGTTTGACTTATTGACGAGATCAAGCAAAACTAACTACGGGAGAACGACTGGAGAACTGACAATTTGACTAACAATAGACGACTGTTTAACTGTGACAATAGACGGATCGAAACGCACCAATTACTGATTACGAGTCTTCATAGCCAACAACATCACGGCTTAACTGACAGACGACCAATAACATCGCGACGTAATTGACCATTCATATCAACAACCAGAGTATAATACCATCAACTGACGTGATACAACTCACTTCGACTCTGAAGATGACTACCGCACAGGTTGTCGAAACGTCAGTCACTGTCAACAACAACAGTCCTATTCAGGACTACGTTCACCCGGACGATCAAACACAACCTACTTTTGAAATGACTCCTGGGTTCAAACCTTTCACAGTTTTATAAGGAATATTCTAAAACACGGAAAATATGAAATATTCGAAAACACGGAATATAGGGAACATACCAAAACATGGAATATATGGAATCTTCTAAAATGCGGCATGAGAGAAAAGTCTTTAAAAAAAGGATAGTCTAATCTGGATAGGACAACAAAACTAAGATATAATAATGTGTTACAGAGAAGAGATCATCCAAAGTGATTCACACTATGTCCAGTATCACCATTCTCAAAGTCGCATTACAATGCCTTTGATCTTAACCTTTAGCGACGATATTAAACACAACTTTTACTACCGATAATAACAACATGTGTATGAACGAATTAGGTTTTGTAACAAAGACAAATAAACAAGCACTGACTTAGCAAATCACCCCGCAAAGGAAAAGATAACTGCAAATGTTATACATTATTTTTTGAGGGCAATTGAGACACTTCTTTGGCATCGTCTTTCTCCATGCTTCCTTCTCTGAGTGTGGGAAAGTGCGCCTGCGATGTTTAGGCAGAGTCTGAGAGGGGCGAAAGCGGAAGCAGGAAAACATATCGCCCAGGGTTGAATCACTTTGGATGATCTCTTCTCTGTAACACATTGTTATATCTTTTGTTGTGAGGAAATGTAAAATTATCATCCGAAGTTTTGTTATCCTACCCAGACTAGACTATCCTGGCTTTTTTTAAAGACTTTTCTCTCATTCCTCGTTTTAGAAGATTCCGTATATTCCGTGTTTTTGAATGTTCTGCGTATTCCGTGTTTCCGAATATCTCATATTTTCCGTGTTTTAGAATATTCCGTGTCTTCCGTAATTAAATCCGCCGTTCCGCCATTCCATTCCATCATTCCATCATTCCACCATTCCACCGTATAAGGTCACCCTTGAAACGAGCTGAATACTGAATCTAGTCCAGGAAAGCAGTTGAAAACCAAATTGGAGACATTTGTCTAATAGTCTTTTCATTGAAATCAATTAATGTTAAATATTGAAGCATTATTCTAAAAATGGCCACCATAATGCTTGATGCTCTAACTTAATCATTATGCCCAAAATTATGCTGGTATAATGTGTCTAAACTTCGTTCATACAATAGTGGACGAATTATTTTTCGACCGGTTTCTGTTCACAAGGAACCAAGCTAACCGTACAAAAATTTGAACGCCAAGCCTGTACGGCCCAAAATTCAGTAACCGACGCAATGTGAACACCATGACCGCTTAAATATTTGTACGAGAAATTTCAACGGCGTGGTCGGTTAACGGCGTAACCGTCTAAAATTTCGTACGCCAAAGGCGCGGTTGCATGGATGCGTGGTAACTCAGCTGGGAGACGCCATTTTGGATTGCTCAAGTAGCGACCTATGCATGGACAGGTGAGAAAAGCTCTGGCAAAATTTAAGTTAAAATTTAACCTGGTTCGTTACATGTATTTCCGTCTTAAGAGAGCGAAAATATTGAGCGGTTCCGTGTGAACGAAGTGTCCCAGCCTGCAGTGCAGGCGTTTTCTTCGAGCGCGCGAATATTTTTGCTCGCGAAAGCGCCAAGTAGAAACTCTAAAAGAGAGGAGGAAATGGGGCGAGTGAGAGGGAGCCAAGCGGGGGCGGGGAGAGAGAGAAGGGAAAACGAAAACATTGTGAAAATGAGAAACTCCCTCTGGCATGTAGACAGTTGACAGGCTTGTTTTTGTAAACAACAGAAACATGAAGACTTTAATTGTCCATGGGCGTGTTGTTCTCATTGTTTCAGGGCTCTTTCCGTTTCTTAAGACAGTACTCGCTGTTTTATATTTTACTTCCACTTTAATCACACACACGTTTAAATCTGCTTTATGTTTTGGTAGATTAAAAAAATATGAATATTGAAAAATAAAAGCATTTTTATTTTTTCCCCTTTCTGGCTGGGAAGATTGGGCAGTTCGGATATAATTATACGAAATAAGCTTCGTGAACACGTTATTTCAGTGTAATTTTCTGTATAAATTATGATAATTCTGTCTTCTAGCCGTTATGGATGGTATATGTCGGGAGTTTAGCCATGCCAGATGCTCAATAAAATCTTTGCATTTTTAAACGCAGTCAAAGACGCGCATGACTAAAACGGTGTAAAAAA